GCCGAGGCCTCATCGCTAGAGGCCGACTCCAATTGCCTCTTCAGGCCCAGGCGAAGCGAGCGCCTTTTGCGCTTTGGAGTACCCTTCTGGTGCTGCTCCACAGCTGAGACCATAGGGGTACTCGCTCCGCTCCTCTCCGAGGCAGTGTCGGTGTTCGACACTACCTCCACGTTTCTCGCGTCCTCCGCGATAACGTCGCCGGATTTACTGCTCGGCGACGGGCAGGTTTGACATTTGGTGCTCCCCCCAGAATACGAGTGGGAGCTGCCGGAGCCGTTTGGCTCCGGGAGGGATTCCCCAGACACTGTGTGCCCGGTACCCTCCTGGGTAGATTTCTCTGTAGTTGGCCTCATGTCATTTTGTAAGTTTTACGTCCTTCGACGGGGACGCCTTCGGCACTGGACTCCCTCCAGCGACTCAGCCCCTTGCCAGGCGTCAGAACGTGGGCTTAGAGCATTTTTTATAGAGGTTTACGTCCTCGCGGATCCGAAGATCCACCGGTCCTGTCCATTCAGGATTACGGCTGGGCCGGACGGGGTCTGCACCAGACCGGGTCCGTCCGCCCCAGGGTTTTTTATAGAGGTTGCCTTCCTCGTAGCCCTCGAAGAGCCGTCATTCCTGACTGTTGCCAGTCAGGGTTACGACATGGCCGGACGGTGGTCTGCGTCAGACCAGTGTCCACCACCTCTGGACAGAGCCAGCGGCAGTGGACCCGTCCGCCCCCAGCCCGCTCTCCCCTATGCCCTCTGCCAAACAGAGGGACATGCGGAAAGCAGCCCTCCGAACAGCCCTTGACAGGCCGTTCCCACCTCGGCCGGAATTGGCCGCAGGCGGCAGCGCCTCTCCCACCTAGGGAGAGAGGCGCTGCCGTCCCCGTTGCCCAGGGTGCACCACAAGGAGGTTCCGGACCACGCACCCCAACAAAACGTTCCTGAGATTTGTAAAATACTAGCTTTTATCCGCTTTTATTAAATAAAATATACTGGTAATTTTTCATTCGATTTGTTACCAAGTAGTTGCAGGTTCTAAGAGCCCAGGTACCCATAGCTTTATGACGTGAATCTATTACTAATACAAACATTTAACTTAACTGGAGTGATTAATAACTTTACTTAAATTGTGTGACCCACGTGACTAAATCTAGACTTTATTGCTTGCGCTTTGAGAGTTCATCGTTAGAAAGATAAGAAACAAAGAAATTATTTTATTTGACAGGAGGTTATCAATTCGGATGTTATTTTTAATGTATGTTCGGGCATAACTTCGTCATAAATAGACGGATTTTTTAAATTGTTTTTGTTCGAAAGAGTTTATTGATTAGATGATGAGTTTCGGAGACAGACAACGGAACTCCTGGTAGGTTTTTTGTGCTTTTTGTTAGTATTGTTTGAAGTCGGTTCAACTTTACAAGAAAATCCCATAATAAACACAGAGTGGTTTACTAATTTTATCATACATCTGTTAATGAGGTGTAATAGTTAGCGTTAGTATTATATTGAATCTAACTTCTAACTGACTTTGATTGTACTTTGGCAGGCAGACTAATATAATATTCATGAGACGTTCTATATCACTAACTTAGCCTAATAAATGGCTAGCTACACATTACCAAATTTGACCACCAAATGATCAAGTATTGGCAAAGTATTCGCTTTCATTAACAAACCCATGAACCAGGAATATTACATATGAAAGTATTCTCTGTGATAATGGTACATCAATTATTCTTCTTTGCTTATTTGATGTATCTATTAACATCGAGTTGCTACTATCTTGCGCTATGAACGTAGCATAAATATTGACATTTTTGTACAACGCTGAATCAATTGGCATCACAACCATATGGATGATTTCTGAGTAAACTAAGAGACTTTTTTGTTCATCTTTGCATTGATATATAAGTTACTAATTTTGACCGATGCCTCGCTCTACTAAAATGTATGTCAATCAGTATTATTAAAGACAGTACTTTTTTAAATTAAAAAAAAGTTTGTTAAATACATTCAAAATTATATTCTTTACAGTTACTACTTGCGACTTCGTAGACCACTAGTAACGATACATCCTTAACTTCAAAACATGTTTTAAAAGAAGTTTTCCTGTCCAGTCTATTTTTGGCTGATGTATTCTACCTGTAAACCTACCAATTTCTAGCGTCTAATACAAAAAACCCAGGGTGTTTGTATAAACTTAATACCCTTTAGACGTTCCTAACACGGCCCTGTCGCACAATCCGTTTTAGGCTTGTAAGTCCTACCAAGGACTTTCATATAACCTTGCAGGAGTCCTTAGACTCCTAAATCCTACGCTGACCCAAAATTAATTCTTAGCTGGCGTGTTCTACAAATAAACGAATTAAAATATATGTATCTGCTCTTCATGTCTCCAGTACGATAAACCAGGGTTTTAACCTAAACTTGTAAAAATCATAAATCTGGTCCTGACTCCAAATCCATTTTAAACTGACGTGTTTTACCTATAAACAATCTTCATACTAATTTTTAGGCCTCTAGTACAAAAAACCTAAGACTTCTTTAGTAATATCCAGCTATATTATAAGGATTGTAAAAATACTAATTACCTATATTTAGTTATTATGTATGTTTATGCAAAAAAACGATGAGTAATTATTTGATTTGTTTTGCCTTTTGCTACTTTGTACGGGCAAAACCGTGACATAAAAACACCTATAGTGCTTTATTTATTGCAGTACTAGGCGCAGGCGAAATAGGGCGAGGTATAAAACGAACTGGAACAAATTCTAAATGTTATTGTGGCATTTGGAGCGCCCATAACAGAGCCAAACAATTGTGTTCTCTCTTACCACCTCTAATTTTGCATCAGACCATGTGGTTTTCGATGTTATGAATTGATTACGTACGTTCTCTTCCAGAAGTTTTGTGTGACTTATGACGAATCGGCTTGCCTTGATTGAATTATGAAGTTTAGAGTTATATTACATAAAATATTAATGTTATAAATCTTTTATGTAGAAATTTGCCAATTAGAACACTTAAAGTTGTTAATCCTGAACTTTATGGTTTTAATGCATATAGCAATTATCTACTCAGTTTATGTATAAACAAATACTTCTACATTGTGTATGTTGTAGACAATTAAATATACAGTTAGATACTGAAAATATACAGTTTCATTAGAGATTGTAGGTCACGTGTTAGTTACAAGCCATTTCCTTTTCAGCATTCAAAATAGGTATTTGTAAAAAAAAAAAAAAAATTATTTCAGCATAAATTTCGGGTTTACTTTATTAAACTCACGTTTTCTAATTTTGTCATCTAATGATTTGGGATATTTTTGATGATGCGATATTGATGAATCTACAGCAAATCACAGATGACTAGAACATTATATTGTAGTGGTGAAAACGAATGTAACACAAATTCTGTGGCTTACTTTTGCGTAGTATATAAGTATGTAGTAGTATATAAGTCCACCCCTGCAGATGGGAGATAATTTATTGGCCTATGATGCCAAGGAGAAAGCTGATCTCCTAGGCAAATTCTTTGCATCCAACTCGACTTTGGATGACGGGGGAAACGTACCGGATATCCGGTTCACACAAAAATCAGTGGTCACTTAGAGGGTAAGGTCAAATTGGCCTTGAAAAAGGTCGGTGTCCTGAACAGATCGAGGCAGTATTTCACTCCGGCCCACCGCCTTCAGCTCTATAAGGCGCAAGTCCGGCTGCATATGGAATACTGTTCTCATCTTTATGCAGGGCACCTTAGTACCAGCTTCTCCCTCTGGATCGCATCCAACAAAGAGCGACTTGAATCGTCGATAGCCCAAACATCTCCGATCGGCTCGATATATTATGGAGAGTGCTCCGAGGAATAGTTCGTACTAATACCAGCCGCAAATTTCCGCCATCCACACGGCAAAATTTTCGTCCTCATTACCTAGATAGTTGACGCTCCACTAGCACCCTAGCAAGAAAAGTAGTTGGTTTGGGTTGGGAACACTAAGTAAAGTATAGATATTATGCCCTTTATTCACTATCATCATTCATAATAAATGTTTATTTTAAATGTTTACACTCCTAGCACATCGATTCCTATACATATATGTAGTCTTGTATCTGCAGTGCATAATGTTTTGTTTATTCTATATAATCGAATTCTATAAAGTTCGAAAGACTAGTTTAGCTTTAAATGTAATAGTAATTCATACAAATGTAACATCTAAGATGACTTAAATAATTCGGTATTGTATCGTTCGCCAACTGGCGAGGCAACACTGAGTTTGTTGTGATTTATAGTGTCTGCGACTTTCCATTCGTCTATTTCCTACCTTGTCTTAACTTTAGCCTTATCTTTTTATTTTCACTCATAATTAACTTGAAATCACTAAATAAAGCGTTCCGTTTTTGTTGACAACAGTGAGTTTTAATTCTATTTAACGATAATCATCTTCAGCATACAGTTATTGTACATACTTACAACATAACAAGCAGCTAGCTTAGACTTACAACACAATAAAGTACGTAAGAGTCGTGGGGCTTTCAGTACAGCGCCTATTTGTAAAGAAGATAAGGAGATTATAATCTGTGTATACTTTAACTGCATTGTTTCTAGAACTTAAGTCAGGGGTGTCGAAATTTTTTTTTTCCTTTGACTATGAATCTGTTCTGCTTTTTAGTATTCTAAAGTATAAAAATCATTCTCTGTTTGTATGCATTTTATAACCTGTCATCATTCAACATCATTTCTCCAATAGTCTTGAAATTTTGCACATAGCTTGCCAATTTGATTTAAAGTAATTTAAGCAACGGATATAGGACAAAACAGTAATTATATATAAATAATATACTTAAGTACCTAACATTAGATATATTAAAAAATATAATAGATTTAAATTATAAGTAGTCAATAAATTAAAAGTGTTCAGAAGAATATATTTTACGCGAATATTATCAGCTCATAAGGAAACATTTTTTTAGCTACTGTGTTATCCAACATTTGTTTTTTTTTTCTGTTTAGGTATAGCACTCCGACCTTTTGGACTCTCTTTCATCTACCTCTTGCTATTCCTCGTAGCGCCGACAGCACAAGTACCCAACTCAAAGACACTCAATGGTAAGAACTGAATCATCTTATTCTTTTAAGTTAAATTAATGAAACTAAATGTTTATTGTACTTAAACAGTCTTCCACCCATGCGTAAAATCCTAACGAAGTTGAACATGGAAGTGTATGTACTTAATACATCTATCGGGTCAGAGCATAAATAATGTCAAATAATTTAATACTCTATTACAGTAACTGAACCTCAGTTGAACTAGATGGTGAGGGTTTTTTTCTATGACTAGCCTTGAGAAGACACGCCGAAACACACACCTTGAGTTTCTCAGAAAAATCACTTATGTCAAATGCGCCAAATGTAAAATATTTTTTTTTTATTTTTCAGGATGGCGGACAAAATTCTTATGCTTGACCACAGTTGTATCATTCCTATTGCTATTATGTCACGTAACATGGCACATTGTGCTAAGTTCATTTCAGCCTTACGGCTCCTTACTCAAAGACTACCCCATTCTACAAACCATTGGACACAATTTAGGTTTAGTCTCTTACGCCGAAATAGATGCAGTATCAGCCGTGCATCTTTTGGCACCTGAGGTAGGTGTATAGATTATTATATTTAAATACTATTGAAATAGTTACAGGATCAGAACGTTTTGAAACGTTGACGGCCAAAGGTGGTGAAGAAAAAAATTTGGCTTTGAACCTTAAAACAAGATTTTAAATTCACTATACATATAAGACTATATATTGTGAGAATAGGTCTCGATTCATGTAGTTATGTAAATAAAATTTAATAAAACTACTCCTTAAAAATACAAGTTTGAATTGTCTAATTACTATTCTATAGCGGTTACTATATTTATGCAAAATTATTATGCCCAACATTTTGTTAAGTACCATAAATTCAAAAATTTAAAAAAATACTGATGTAAAAGTTTAGTTATTTAATCCTCAATACTATTTTTTTTTACGTTCTCCTTTCATCAGAGAATAGACGAAATTGTGTGCTGATATTTAGGTACTATTGTTGTAAATACTATAGCTTTAACAGCCATGGCTTTAAAATATAATAGATAAAAAGATATTTATTTAAATTTATATTTCTTTTTTTAGCTAGTAATGTGTGCTGCGTCACTACTGGTATATATGACCGTTAGAAATTTGGTACCAGCAACACTGTCAGCACCTGAAAACAAATCATCGAAACACCAAAGTTATCCTGTTTTGACTGCGGCCGGTATGTATTGGAATTATTTTATTGAATCTTTACAAGAGCCCTATAAATATTATACTATTGAGGTAGCCGATCCCTAGAAAATATCAATACAAAACGTGATTCTGGCCAACAGTTCACCGTTAACAGCTTAAGTTACATATAAAACAAATTGACCAGCTAAAACTAAGAAAACACACATGTTTTTCCTTGCTGTCATGATTGAATAAGCCGGAGGTCGTTGGTTCAATTCCCACCCAGGACAAATATTTGTGTGATGAGGACGATTGTTCGTTCTGTTTCTGGGTGTAATTTATCTATAATATGTATGTATTTGGAAATATATAAGTATGTTTATCAGCAGTCTGGTTATCATAGTACAGGCTCTGCCTAGTATGGGATTTGAAAGGCGCTGCCTTAGTAGTACGGTACGCGACTGCAGTCCATGAGGCCTCGGGTTCGATTCCCGGAACGGGCAAAATTTTATAGGGTTTTTCTGAGAGGAAAAATAGCCTAACTTACTCCTTATATAGACAGACCTGGTAGTAAAATATTATCAAAATCAGTCTAGCCGTTTTAAGGATTACCCGGTTCAAACAGACAGACAGACAGACAACAAATATTGAAACTGGTTCTTAGGCATAGGTATCGTGCAAATAACCATGTGACCATAAAAAGAACCTATTATTTTGACATTACAAACAGACAATTCAATTTCATTTATTTGTATAGATGTATAGATAAAATAATTTTAAACGCCAGAGTATGGCCGAGATAGCTGTTTGAGGCTGATATTCGGTACTTTTGTGTATGCATATTTTAAATAGAGCCAGGAATTGTACCTAAGATAAGACTGTTAGTGTAAAAATACTTTAAGAATTCATTAAAGGCTTGATGATTCTATATCAAGACCTCTAAAGCTCCTGTCTCTTGTTTTATACTCAAAGTCGCTTTGACACTTTTAACATTTTTTGTGGCAAAATTGTGCTGGATGATAATAATTGTTTGTGCGATACACTTATAATTATTCATGTGTGCATTTGAAAAACCTTCTATTCAAATACTATTAGTTACTCTGTACCCTTCCATATATCCGTTTGATTTGCAAAGAATAAATTACAAGGTATACATACAATATAGAAGGAAACTGCACTCTTTTTATTTTATTTTTTAGGAAAATACATATGCCTCATGCTAATAATGTTCTCCGGTATAATGCGGCCTAGCATCACATCAGGGATTTACTTCCTAGTGTTTATGGGCGCAGCAACGGCTTGGGCACTTGGACGCCCTCTCGAAAAAGGGTTCGCAGTAGTTGGACGTTGCGTCATGGCCATAATGGCAGTCCACAGCGTTATAATTCTAGCCTACCAGTGCACGTATCTGATTGAAATGTACCCTCCAAGTGAAGATTTCGCTAGGTAAGAAAAAAGCAATGAATTATACGTTACATGAGCATAGAGTGAACAAGAGCCCCGATCTTGCAATAGATAGTTCTCTCTATCTCTTTCTAGTTGACCTCTGTGGTTGGATGGGGAATATGAGAGGTTAATAAGTGGCCAATCGCAGCTTAGCTAGACAGAGACAGAGGGAAATGTCGGGCATTCATCTCTCTCGTTGCTTGTACCGCTTTCACTTACAGGCAGCTGTACCCCGTGTTCTCTCTATGCTTATATGTCTAGGGCCTCAGTACTCGTGGTCTTCTTATCTCATACAACTGTAACACTAGCACCTGTTAATGTTGAAACTAATTGTTACATGTTAATTTTACTAATTGTTACATGTTAATGATGACAGTGTGAGAATAGTTATATTTTGAATTGTAGATATTTCGGCCTAACGCAATTAGTAATAATCAACGAAACAAATCCACTGGGTTTCTCTTATGAAGTCACGGACGATCATATGTGGGCCACACTAGCGAGTCCTCTCGTCATCCTTTTCACTTATGTCGTTCTCGCTATAGAAACTCGAGAACTATTTAAACCAAAGGTATGTAAGCATGGTATTTCATTGTTTTGGGTTCTTCTTACAATAAGCGTGAATTCTATTTTGACTAACAGTAATAATAACAGCTATATGCTTCTTAAATAATTTCAATCGGAGTTTGGCGACCTTCATTAATTAGCTAAGTAGCATAATTATAATAAAATAAATGCCTCCCTATGCGTCTAATGCTATTTCCAGCCCTACGCTGTTAGTTCACCATTAAATATAATCTTAACAAAATTGCCTTTTGTTATTACTAACAAGCCAATTATCACAGGGAGCTTTGATTAGAATCATGTATAAATCATTAGAAAAATTATATCTCTTATGCTATCGTGCTGGGAAATAAGGCGAAAAAAAAGAGCGCCTTGACCGGCCTAGAGTCAGGCAAGCTGAACGGTTCGTTGGTGCGCGGCGTGTCCTTCCACCGCGGGAGCCGACGCGCCAAGGATAAGTGGAAGAACGCCACTAAGAAAGTTCGAGTAAGCTGCCGCGAAAAATTACGTCACTTGTATTTTGATGCACTTGTTGGTCTGTGATTTTTACACCACGTTGTACCATAGTAGATTGGGACATCAGTTCTGAATACAAGTACAACAATAGCAGTTTTAAATATGTTTATAATTTTCCTGTTGATGGGTCAAGTGTTCACTTATTAAGCTCTGTATGATCACTTGTATTGAGGATTAGAAGTTCGTCTTAAATAGGCAGCTAGTAGGCACACAGTAGTACATAATAGGTGCGTAATTCCACTTATTTAAGTAACAGACTTGCTTTCTTAGTAGTTCTTAGTGTTCCTCATGCATGTGTCATATAAATCTTGTTATTAAGTACAAATAGTTTTTTACTCAACTAAGCACTGGTATGAAAGCACGGGCTCTTGGGCTGATCTACGATGGTTTATTATTTCGGCACTCTTAATTTGATCAAAATTATTTAATTTTATTTTTGCAATCTGCTCTCATTCTTTTATAGGTTGCATATACATACATAAATTCCCAAGCACTTCGTGGTGACGCCGGTGAAAGAGCTCCTGTAGGTATCCTATTTTAAATTATTTATATTATGTGTCTGTGGGAAAATTTAGTACCAAGGCATGCTTGGCTATCATTAAATGTCTAAAATACGATTAGGGTATATCTCGATAAAGAAGTAAGTAATTAGCATAAAACGCTTATTGCGTGTTGTTTTATTTTTATTGACTATTTTTCAAACTATACGATGAAATCACTGATGTTAGCCAAGTATGTTAATGTTTTGGACAATTATAACGACCATATAATAACTGGTATGTTTATTATCTTAAATGTTTATTATATTATTATTATGAATGTAAACAAATCTGCACATTTTAATTGCTTTTTATCGCACTCGCACATACTATCTATTGACTTTTTTTTTTGTGTCACACACTAGTGACAGTAAGTACTTGTTTGTTCATGTTTCTGCATTTCTATGCATTTGCATGGCATTTTGTCGTCTTTGGTACTTCTTTCATTTTAATAGGTACTTTTAAAATTTAAAAGTTTTCTAATCTAAATGTTCATCAAGGAATATAATGAGACTAGGAACCCCCTTACTGCCAACTGGGTTCTTACTATCGGATCATCCTTTCAGGAATTCTGATAACTCTAAATACCATTATATAGGTATTTTGCTGCTTTTAAAGCTTTGATCCCGTACGCATAGTGATCTGATGACATGTGTGTGCAACTGATCACATCTTACAATCTCTGTGTAATCAGTCCCTAGTCTTGCAACGTTAGATAGTATTAATTGTATCGGGCATTTCCCATTTTACACTTATTCTAAGAATAATTTGCATCCCATTGTTTACCATATATAACTCGAGCTGTGTGATGAATAACTGGGACTTACTGAATACTTATAAGGCCATTTTTTATTTCATAAAAGCCTATTTTATACAAAAAGATTTCACACCTGATTTGTCTTAAGTAAATTCTAAATTATCCGTTATGAAATTGTATTCTGTCCCTGTATTGATTTTGTGTTATTAATATTTAGCTTCTACGCAACGCGAGTCCAACAAAGCGATGGTCCACCGTGCGCACATCATCTACAGGACGACCTCTACACCAGGACTCTACGGGCTCAGTTATTGTTCCTGATGATGGTAATATGTTATAAAGTTATTCAGTCAGATAATATCACTTTAAAAGAAGGAAAACTCGAAATGAAACCCAACTCGATTAGGTCGTCTTGCTAACGTGGGAACAGTATTAAAAGTCACGAACGGGTTTTGCTTGAAGGCGATAAAGTTAGGTGATATAAGTACATACGGCAGTCTCAAAAAACGCCCAAGAAACCGTCACTCCACAAACATATCGTTGATAATCAAATTACATGCTTGTCAGGTTGAGAAGCCCAATGAGTGTACAAGAATAGGGTCACATCACATCACATCAACAGCCTTTAATAGTCCACTGCTGGACATAGGCCTCTCCTTAGAAAGAAGGTTTTGGCCTACTATACCACGCTGGCCAGGCGGGTTGGTATAGTAAAGAATAGGGTATTTTATTCTAAATGAGAAAAAAAAATTTTTATTTAAATTATTAACAGACCTTAGGCTAAGAGCAGACGGAAAATGTTAGTTTTACTTCTTAAAATAACAATATTTTTTTAAGACACTGCGAATGCTCGTATAAGTGTAATACCCTATTGACACTTTCTCTGCACTTAATTTTAGTGAAGGGTTGCTTCGGCCATTTAATATCTATTTTCTTTTACAAAAACTAAAGTTTTAGTATTGATTTATTTGGCGTTTTGGGTGTCCCATGTTCACTCCTCCCACGCCCACGCTTTCAAGTGGTGCTTTGAGGGTTAAAGTAACTATTAGATAAAAACGATGCACACGAGGACTAATATTCCTTTCTTTAATTACAGACTCCCTTCTAGATGACGATGACCCAAACTTAGTCGATGAAATTATTGCGGCAATAATTGACTTCTTCCAAGTTCTAGTCAGGTACGTGTTTTAAAGCTAAGAGAAATAAAAAATGAACCTATGTACTCGTAGCTCCGCCGTGTTGAATTGCTCTGTACAAAAATATGTGTGCATATAATTAATGTGTATAAGAGAAATGTTCACACATACCACCTTAGCCTGAGTCTTTTTAAGTTTAACGTGTATTTATGTATTTACAAAAAAAAAACAACTAAGTATATTAGATTTTTTTGTGTAAAACACAATTATTACAACTATGTGTGAACTCTTATTATACTACATAATAAGAGGTCACACATATTTGTAAAAATTGTTTTATATGTCTAGATGCTGTATCTTATTCCTTAGAACTAGTGAAAATGCCTTAATTAATGTGGCCAACGAATGATGAATACAAAAAAGTATTTACTTGGACATGGGTGACATTTTTAGGGTAACTAATTAAAGTTGAATTTACAGATCATCTTACATAGCAACAACGATCACAATGATGGCGTGGAGCATAATGTTCCATTCATGGCTCACATTCGTCTTCTTAATGTGGGCCAATCTCGTGTGGCTCTGTCAAGACCAGCGCTCCTTCATGTTGAGAACCAGTCCTATATTAGTTTGTTACGCTATGTTCCTTCTCCTCGCTCAGTACATATACGGCATGAACCTCACTGAAGCGGAACTACCTTCTAACATTACGGTAAGGAGCAAATGTATAATATGTGGCTATTTACGAAATTAGATGATGGATATTAGTTATAGTCTAAGGCGTGTGTCAATAGATGAATAAAGGCGTTCGCGGGTTATTAATAAGGCATTTCTGGTTTGAGATTTTATTAGTCAATAAGAATAGAATGTTTGTGAATGATCGAGCTTCCTTACAATGGCTATAATTCATATTTTACTTGTACTTGTGTTTAAGTTGAGCATAGGCTATAGTTAATAATATTTTTAGCAGTAGGTACATATGCCACATGAGAACAAAAATAGGATAGTTTATGTAGATCAAGTAAGTATGAAACTTAATCATTTTAGGTTATACTGTGGTGCAACTTACGACCAGATCCATATATTGGTCATTCCAATGTGAAAATTGTACCAGGCGTTTTTCATATTAATTTATACTACTTTTTACTCTTTTAGGAAGTGAATTTACGTCAACTGGGCCTAGGCCGTGCAGATGGTGAACCATGCGTCCCCTTGCTGATCAAGTCCTTGTTTACGTGTATGTTCTGGGTGACTTTACGACAGCGCATACAAGATATTCGTCAAAGAAGACAATCCGCTGTCATAACTGATATGGCGGCGCCTTTACAGCTGACGGTTTCTACAGCGGGTTCTGGTAAGTCTTCTTAAAGCTAAAGTTTTGAGGTACTTTAATCTAGTAGAAAACAAATAAGCAGTTTCAATACAAGATGTACCCCAGTGACGCAAGTGAATATTTTTTATGTACCCATAGAAATTACTAAAATATTTCTTTACTTCTTTATTTTTAAGAGTCAGTAGAGGCTCCGTTTTACGAAAATATTATGTATTGTAGTTGTTAGCTCCTAATTACCCTCCACACCATAGTAAGTACAGTAGCCAGAGTTATCCGGCCTATTGTTGTTCGGTCTGGAATCATTATGGAACCCGCTTGTTGTGGATATTGATGCCCTTACTGACACCTGAGCAATGGTTGGCAACATTTAATCGCTACTCAACAAGTTTGTCTCGGAACGCTTTTAGCAGGCTGTAGACGTGTTCTACTCTCAAAACGTTTCGCTGGTAAGCTTGCTTCTGTCGGTTGGGTACTGTCGTTTCAGTATATTTTTACTAGAGACCATATGTGATGGAGATTCACTATCTACCACCGAACCCATTAGACGGTTGAACCCTAACTCTACAGCTCAGCCCTAAAAATTTGTTTACTTTGTTATATATTACTATCTTTGTTCCGCCTGCGTGTATGTCGTTTATCGCGGTAAAAAGTAGGCTATTTTCGTCGCTGATAATATGTAGCTATTGGTGAAAGAATTTATAAAGACAGTCTAGTGGTTTAGGCGTAAAAGCGTAACAAACAAACAAAACAAACTTACTTTTACATTTATAATATAGGTATAGATGTCAAAATCCAAACATTTTGTAAAAAAAAGATACGAACATTCTCGTTAATGCTTAAACAACCCCTAACATACAATCATGTGTGTATAAAATATGTTATATGCTACAAACAATAATTCATAAATGCCAGGATTACAATGTAAATATTACACATTCATAGAGCACTGTACATATCTTACGTAGCGTTTAAATCCACGGTCCCCTTTTATTATGTTTTATAATTAAAGAGTATTTGTTTATCTAAAGTGAAGCCAGTACAAGTTATCTGATGTATAGTCCAAATAAATGTTCCCTTAAAATACGTGTATTTTTAATAACTGTCCTATCTAATAATAATATACTGTATATACTTTATCTTATAACTGCAAGGATTTGTGAACGGTAATTTTATTTATTATTTTCATTTGTAATTGTTTTATGATTCAGGCTTATTGCTTTTACACTGTCTTCCGATCCCACAGTAGCTATAAAAAACCTTCAAATACGCGTAGAAAATTCAAGTACCTTCTATAAGGCATTTGGCATCTTAGACAAGTAACACCATTTTTTATTCACACTGCTATTGTACCATTTACCATAGTCCACTTCACTTAAGATCTATTAGAAAGAAGAATCTTTTAAAGGATTATATATTCCTCTTTAACTGATTCAAAAACAAAAGCACCGCAGAGTTTTGCATTATCGTTCTTTTTGCTTTCACCTACAGTGTAAATATTTTAGGTGTGCATGTAGGTTTAATCGGTCGTAATATTGACGTCTGCGCAGCCGTTACCACGTGCTTTAAAGCAATGAAACTTATACAATAAGTTCTTCGGTCTTCTTTATCCGTGCTGTGCCGTATCCGTGGTATTTAGATTGTACGAGTAGTAGTTGTAGATTGCTTATAAAAGCTTAGGGAAGGTTGCGATTATTGGACCATATAACTTAAAGGCGTCATTTCTAATTAAATAAAAATGATAGAATAAAACTTGTGATTATTTTTTAATCCTTTCTTTGTTAAAAATACAATTCTATGTCCATTTTAAGTCAAAGTAAATTGGTTTTAACAATATAGTCATAAAACTATTTTTAGATCCGTTGCTTTCTTTGGATTACTGTTGCATCGAATGGACCGCCTCGTTGCTATAAATGGACTTAGAAACGTTTGGACTGAAGGTCCAATCATGGTTACTTCATTGAAACACACCATTTTAATCAATTTTTTACGTACTTACACAGTATGGCATATTTTCTCTTCCAGACATTTTCTTACTCATTTCTGACGTCATCTTGGAAAATAAACTAAATAAAAAGTTGTAAACTAAAGTTTCTTTGATTAAACCAGTCATGGATTCAGTATGGGGTAACACTAAGTATAGTCACATTCATATGAATTAGCACAGGGGTTTTATAAGTGTGCACACTGGCACACACTTATAAAACCCCTCCAAGACTTATAACACGCCCCCTTTTGTTGTCGGGGGTTAAAAATTAGAATGGATGGTTTTGTTTTGGTTGCAATTTTTCTATGAAATAAGACAAACATGCTGTAATTATGTATCCATGGTGATTTTACTTTTAATATCCCAAATAATTTCGATAGTGTGTAAGGTATTGAGACTATAAACTATTCCATTGTGCTTATCATACATGGTGTACATATATGTATACTTACCAGACACGCTGACAGCGTATTGAATGTTATTTAAAGCAATGTAGTTATTTCCAACGAAAAATTAAATACATTGCTTACTTTTCCACTATAAAATTTTTGGCATTTAACTCATACATAACAATCTCGTAAAAATCACACATGCTCAAAAATAGCCATCGATAGACATATTAATGTTTCAAAGTCACTATACGTAAGTAAATTAAGTCCAACATGTTGCTGGGTGTTTATTTTCTTGACCAGACAAAATATTTTATTGATATTACCTTTTAGCTCGAACCACTTTTGTTGATCTTTTGTTACTTAGTTAATAACTGGCTGGTTAACTTTTAAATTATTATCTTAATATCTTTAATGTTTGATCTGTGTGTTAATTATTCCTTATTAACTTTCATGTAGTACTCGACGGGCAGAGGGAAGAGGAAACCCGATCTCGTCTATTGGTGGCACTGGGAGAGTTACTGCGTGCGGCGGCGGCCCGTTACTGGATCTATGTCGTTGTCATCATGCTGTTTGTCATCGGCATAACTGGGCAACGCATGACCATATTCCGCATCATCTACATGTGCCTATTCCTCGGTTTTGTGCTGATGTTCCAGGTATAGATACAAATTCCAAAAAACGTAATTATGCTTAAATGTCAAAACAAAAATGAAAATCTTTAATTAAGCGGCTAGTGTTATAGGGCTACCCGTGTCTTCAACATGACTTGCAGTATAGTTCAAAGTTATAATACGCGCTAAATAATTACGCCAAACCTATTGTTGCGCAGGTACATTCGCAAACACACGTACTGAGTATACAAATACATTTTATATATTATTAGGCTACAAACAAGTAGGTAGTAATAAGTAGTAGCAGTGATTCTGCTTTTAAATAGTTATTTAGAACCTGCTATTTTTCCTGTCCTGCTTTTTTTTTGATACGGAGTTTCGTCTCGGTATTTTGAGAAACGCATATAAAGCATACAACAGAGATAACAAAAACAAACAAAACAGATAACAAGTAAACAAAACAGATACTAAACACAAATAAAACAAATAACAATATGGACAGAAACTATAACAATTATGTGCATAACAGTACGTTAGAGCATAGCAGTGAAATTATTTAATACCCCTCTGATACCTAAGGTTGTGTTTTGCGGCGCTACTCGCGCGAACTTCGTTGAAGCAAAATAAATTTAACCGATTTACAAGAATAGTGATAGAAATACATAATTCTACTCCTGTTAAATTTGAATTGCAACTTGTTCTTCATTAACGATAATGTTTTGCTTCCAGATAAGCTGGTACTGGTGGCGTCGTCTTATGTATATATTTTGGATAATAGTGATCATTTACTCTATGATAAATCTAATATTAATCTACATATACCAGTTCGACAACTTTTACATGACGATTGAAACCTATTTGCTAATTAATCAAAGATTGTAAGTATTTTGTGTATTATTTATTATCATAACTTAAAAGTTAAAAACAAGAGCAGATTTAATTTACATATATTTATATAACCGTTAATGCAATGACATGACACACTACAACAAGAAAATGTTAAAAGAAATAAGCAATAGACGAATACCTGTAACATATATACATTCTTTTTTAAAATTCATAATGGAGCAAAATTATTTTACACACAGTAAAACAAACTTTCTCGGTTCTGGAATAATTTTAAGTTTAATTTCAGACAACATGACTTGGGCTTGGAGCCATATCCGCCTGCGGATCTATTTGTGAAGCTTTTGACGCCCACACTATTTTTAATCATAACGATAATGCAGGTCCACTACTTCCATAAAGACTTCATGGCACTGTCGGACCCAAAAACGAGGTAAACAAACGCTTTCTTTAACAGACATTATTAAAAGTTCCAAAAAACTGCAGTATAGAACTCAAAATACAAATCTTTCTCTGTATTATCATTCATCGAAAGTCAGATCAGTCTTCCGAGTGTTCAATAAATTTGTAAATACCTAAATTATCCGTGCATACATCAATACAAAACTATGAATGTTTGTTGTTATTTATTTTTAATTATTTTCCTTCTAGAACGAATAGTGTAGTTGCATCGAATAACGATCCAGAGACCAGCAAACGTCTTAGTCAAGCGGGCGCATCTACATTAAAAGATGACGTATGTTATTTTTTTATGTATTTGTTTAAAAAACGGAGACTAAGTGGTACTACCGATCTTAATAAATTATCTTTGATCGATCGAAAGATTTTTTGTTTTTTTTTTGCTAAGATAGATCGTGGATGGCCAGATCTTACTGTCAGAAGCCGGACGTTTCACTATATCATTAGCGTAGTAATCAAACATTCTAATACTGCCAAGCCAAGCTAATGGAACGTATCGAGTATTATAATGTGCTTCATAATTTACTTTTTGTACTGTTATCACAGCTATTTAGCACTCTTTATCCGATCCCACTCCACTCTAACTAGTATCATTTATATAGTTAACGAAATTTGGCGCATAAATGAGAATACACAATAAATATTCCAATGAGTGTTCGGGTTCGTAATTAAAATTTTTGTTTTTATTGCAAAAACGTTTATGGCCAGACTATATATGTTATGACTACATTATATTTTGATTTGTTCACCTATAACCTACGGAATATGTTTTCATTAACTGTAGTAAATGTTCTTAAACCTTATAGTAATATACTGTTTATACATATTCTTAAACCATATACTTTTCTTAGCTGCCACCGCTCCCTTCTGAGGAAGGTCACGCGCCTGAAGAAGAGAATACTGAAGCAGACAACTCGATCGACAACGAAGTGTCTTCTATAAATACTGGTGCTTTCGGTAAACCACTGCGACGGTAAGAATTTTATAAGTAAAATTACTTGTAAATTAATTACTGGTAATAAATAAGTTAATTAATTACTTGTAATACATGTAAATTTAAAAAATTAAGCATCGCTGAATAAGTCCAAAGTCAAGAAAAATCGTGTTAGAATTACCTTTTAATTATTCAGATTCAGATAGATTATGTCTTACCATTCATGCTAATGTTTTATCTCGACCGTCAACTTAACCATGTTATATATTTAAATTGTACATCCGTATGTGTGTGGCCTGTTCTTACTTCTTAACTTTTTCAAGTGGAGAGTCACCCTATGCTAGGTTTTTATGTCAACAGACTTCAAGGAAGATGATCCTCTTTATGTATTTTACAAGACATATATTTCATATTAATTTTAAGATTAATAATAGTTAGCGCAAATTCTAGATTATTTCGTTCCCGATCAATTTGAAAAGTTGTCTTTTTCCTTTATCAAAAAGGAGAATTTACTTTAAAACCTGGAAGTATAATTTAGCTGATCACTTAGTTGGCTTAGGTGAGCTGAGATTGTAAGCAACCTATTACGGTATATTCTATTGGAATATTGTCTCGATAGTCGTAATAAGCCGACTAAAACAGTTTATTTTTTCACTTCAGAAAACTGACACGTTCACGTTCGTACCAACGTTCAACAACTGAGCGGCCGTCAACTGAGTTGAAAATACTTGTAGCGCGGGCTTTTAAATCTGCCAAAGAAGTGTGCGATGCCTGGATTGAGAAAATATTTACTTTCCTTCAGATACATCTCATTAAAATTGTATTCATCTCGTGTATGCTCCTCTGCGTTATGAATGTAGGTATCCAGCTTGTTTTTTTTTTTTATTTCAATAATTCTTTTTATTTAAGGTACAGCTGGTATGTGGCGAATTATGGTCAGCTTTCCCCGCAGGCAGAAGGTGTTAGCAAGTGTGCCCAAGTTTATTTACAATATTATTAATTGCAGGTTTGCGCAATGCACGTTCCAATAATGGTAATAATATCGCCAGTGTTATGGCTGAGAGCTAGAAAACAACGATTTGTTGTACTTTTTATATCGACACTAATAAGTGTTTATTTCATGGCTAAAATGACCTATCAAATAGGTTATATTAAACACTCCACTTTTGATGTCAACTGTACCAGCGTGAGTACTTAATGGAATATTATTTTTAATTGCTTTATATGTGTTCATTAAGCAAAATACTAAAACAGTAAATACACGGTAACGATATGGTATATAACCTTTTTCCTAAATAGAATGAACTGTTACATTTCAATACAGCGTTATCAAAAAGTTCACCCTAAACAGAACGAAATGCGATATGAAACCTAACCTCCTTTTTATATGACTAATGATAGGTTTGGTCTTCTAGGTTGGTGAAAATGACACTATTCTCGAAAGAACTTTCAACAATGCAGAATGGGTGGGATTTAATAAAACGACGCATAATAAACCACTAGTTTCAATGCTTAAGGGATATATAGGTCTCTTAGCTCTTTTTACGTTTTATGCTCTCGTCAACTATAGGCAAGGAGCAGTGAGGTGAGATGCCGGTTATATTTATTTTTCTAATATTAAAATTTATCTGTGTATATTATCACGTCCTAATGCACACATGTTGTTCATTATCCAACAGTGAACGTGCGAAAGATCGTAAAGAAAAAGTAATGTTTCCCGAAGTCACTCGCAAAGAAGCAGATATTGACATGATACACTGTTTGAAGTATTTAATCAATTATGGATTTTATAAATTTGGTGTAGAGGTAAGTAGGGTTAAAAACAAGTATGGTCAATTCGCGTTAAGAAAATAGTGACGCATCGAACAGGTTCCAAACTTTCGTACGAAACAATAATTTCTTGGTACTTTTCATTGGACTTTTTTAACGCGAATGGCCTATTTTGTTTTTAGATAAATTTAATATTTAGTAATAAATGTTGTATGTTTAATACAAATGCCCTATTCTATTACAGATAACCCTAATTTGTCTAATGGGAGTAATCGGTTCTCGTATGGACGTATACGCAGTGTTGTACGCTATTTGGCTGTTAGTGATGGTGTCACTGAAGCGACAGGTGCAGGCTAAGATTTGGACGTGGTTCACGGCATGCATCACGTTCTTAGTGCCGGCACAGTATATGATCGCCGTTGGATTTCTCCCCCAGTTCTGTATTAGATATCCCTGGGAGGGACAGGCGGAGGCAAGACATACAAATATTTATTGTACAGCAATTTTTAGTTATTGTAGTCCGTTAAATACATATTCATATATTATACATTAAAAAGTTAAAATTTATGTCACAATGGCTCTAAAAACGTATAAACATAGTATTTATTCGTTTTTTTTTACTGTGGGCGAGCTATGTTGCGACACTGATGGGCCGGCTCGACAAGAGTGATACCACGGTCGCATAGAAAACTCGTGATAAGTTATCTTTCTTTGCTTTACACCGAGTGAGTGAGGTTACTCACTCGAGTAACTCGGGTTTGGACTCCCAAACCCTTGATTTTGGAGGGAAACGCAATTGCGACTCTTGAGTTGCAGTAGTCACGGAAGTCACTTAACATCAGGTGACCGAATGCTAGTTTACCAATTCTAAACCATAAAAAATGGGTTTGCCTTAATGTATATTTTCGCCACCTAATTATACATTATAAGAAATAAAATATACAAAAACTAAATATTGTTATCTTTTAGCAAATGAAACATATTCGCACCTGGTTGTTCCTGCCGTACGCCGAACAACCACCGCACGCATACAAGCTTATCTTCGATTATTTCCTACTAATGTTCGCCACCCGACAAATGCGAGTGTTCAATGTGGAAGCCCGCGAGGCAGAAGCTAACCCCGGGGGATGTAACAGCGAGGACATCGGTCAGGACTGGGAAACTCCTAATTTTGTGAATCCAGTGCCTGATTTTCTCAGTTACGTCGGGTAAGTTAATAATTGTAAATTTGTAAAACAACTCCTTCGGCCATATTGGAAACTAATGGTTGGAAACCAGTTTCCAAAACAGAATTATTTCTCTTTTATCGACACCAGATTTCCAATAAAGAAAATTAATTCTGTTTTAGAAACTAGTTACCAGCACAGAATGTTGGATCTTCTTTTGAAACTCTTCTAAAATATTTACAAACTTATTGATTAGAAAGAATTTCCTGGTTGTAAGTATCTAGGAAATTCCAGCCAAACGACCTCTTTTGATAGAAATGAATTCGTCGACAAGGTCACATTATTTCTTAAAATATATGTATTTAGAACTTATAAATCACACGTATTTATTTAATTATATGGATGTAATAATACCACCGGCCGTGTTCAGCACAGTATGTTATACAGAGAGTTCTAAAAGATATATCAAAGCTTTATAAAATATACTCTGTTCTTTATTTTTAGACAATTTACAAAATATGAACAAAAAATCTTCAGTATTTTAGAAACACGTTTTCTTTTGTTTTCATAATTTCCAAAATCATGTGTAAATGCAGTCATAATACATTGACCTCAGGCGGCGATCAGCTGTATACGCGGCGCGGTAGCATCACACGTTGGCCGTTGCCGCTTTTACTACACTCGAATCGAACGAAATATTTTGATTATTGCGTAACCAGTTTGAAGGACACGCGTTTTTAATTAGTTCATCCAGTAAGTACAGTCAGTCGGCCCTTAGCCACCGCGATTCGCAAAGTGTTATGCTGTTCTGTGTCCTTGTAGATGTCTCACGACGGAATATCGTAATAATAATATTGTTGTTGTTCGTGAGATATTTGTTTAGAAAGTTTTAATTGATATGTTAAAAATTGTTTAGTCTTATTGCGTTCGTCATAATACACAGGAATGGTGTAAACAATTATGTTATCGTGTGGGTAAGACTTTATGTTGTAACGATTCCCGCTAATTTTATTTTGAAAAGTGTCAATATTAGTTTGTGTTGTGAAGTGTGTGTGAAAATGAGTGTATTATTATACCTTTAATTTTATTGGGTTATCGGTATTAACATCCATAATGCCGCGAGTGACCTTCACAGCCGCGGAATATCCTGACATGATGTTAATTTACGGGGAACTCTATCAAAACGCATCTTTACGGACAAACCGAGGTATGGAATCAATCGTGTATGTCCTACGGACTGCCGAACTTTTCGTAAGGGCGGTACAAAGATTACGAGACAACCATAGTACCTACTTTTTCAAGTGACACGTACTGCCGGATCCGAAGCTAGCCAAGCATTCCCGAAATAAACACGTGAATAAAATCGTATTTTTAATAAATTGATTTTAAAAAGCAAATGAAGTAAGTGATAGTAGGAAATAAGAATGTAAAGTTTGTCGTCGCTTTGATGTCACCGACATTGCGACGCTGCCATGTACAGTTCATCGACTCATGTTAACAATGGTGTTCTAATTCGGCAATTATTTTATTGTATTTATTTTGTTCTAAATTAGCATTTCTGTATTTTCGTACTAATTTTCTTTTTAAATTTTAACTGACGTATATTGAACCGTGTTATCTGTTATTTAATTTATAGTTATGTATATACTACTTTGATTTCATCTTCTTTTCTATTTCCTAATACTCTCCTCCCCTTCATGTTTTCTCTCAGTACCACGGTTGCCTGTAAGAGATTGCCTCTGAGCGATAAGGCCACTTGTACTAACCTAGTTTAAGGTAATTATTGTATATTATAGCGTATATACAATATAGCGATACATTATTATTATTCTACTAGTAACCACTGCTCGCACTAAATATTAAAAAATCAAGTCATTGAGGATTTGATAATCAATCTTGATATTGGAATGACTTCTTGTCATTGTATATAAGAAACTAAGTCACCATAAAATTATTTCTAATCAAGGATTTTCGGTTGGAAGAGTTTCGAAAGAAGATCCAACCTTCTGAGTTGGTAAACAGTTTCGAAACAGAATTCAAAACAGAAGGAAAAACAACAACTAAATCTAAAAAAATAGAAATTATTTAGTGCTCACAACATATTTATGTGTGTGTTTACAACATATGTTATGTTGTGTTTTATTACTCTAGAAATTCTAATTAATAAAAAAAATATGTTGATTGTAGTTGTAGCATTTGAGCAATCCCATGGTAAGTGGTTAGCACAGTTCAAGGACTATTTATTAGCCTTATAAATTGTAAGCATTAGTGATTTAATAAAAATATTTACAGATCCTGGCTAGATATTATTAAGCGCATGGTGTTCCTCGGGATGCTGTGGGTGACATTGGCGATCATGTTCATGACGGGCACCAACAGGGTTAACTTATTCTCTATGGGATATCTAATCGGCTCTTTCATATTTTTGTGGCAAGGAACTGACTTCTATTTACGGCCTAAAGAAGCCATTTTACATTGGTAAGTAAGAAAAAAAATTGCTTAAGAGTTTTGTTGAGGGATAAAATTGTTCGCTCTTGGCTACATACATTACTTACGTAATTAAACTTAGATCTATAATGTAGGTACCTAACATTATAAATCTAAGTTTAATGTGTTTACAGTACATTATAATACCTTAGTCAGATTTATGACTTCAATATGCAATAGTTAGCCTTAATTTTGTTGTATTTCAACAAGTGAGGTTAACGGTGCTCAACCCTCCCCACCCTTATTCAGGGAGGGGAGCCTAAAAGGGTGGGAACGCACTTGTGACTTGCAGGTGTCCATGGGCGACGGTTATCACTTACCATCAGGTGACCAGTCTGCTCGTTTGTCCTTGTTATGTGCAATAAAAAAATGTCATAATTGCCTGCCTGGAAATTGGATGGCCTTTTGAAAAAAAAATTATTTTCCATGACACCAGGTGGTCGTGGCTGGTTCGTTACAACGTAACAGTGGTAGTGGTTAAGACACTACTACAGATCCCCGGCTGTATATTTGCGTCGGTGATGCAGGAGAACTCGTGCTGGCTGGTACAATTACTAGGTATCGGATGCGTTGACAAATTCGCTGGCGGCAACATCGCTAGATTCCTCAAAATGCAGTATGTCAAGGTAATATGTTAGAGAATTTAAGTACGTAGCACATAATAAAACATGTTAGCAGTTTTATCGTTAAGGTTATGCAAACCACATAACCTATTGTCTGGTGATATGTATATAGTCCATTATAACTTAACTGTTTATTTGTTTTGTATTAAAATTTGCAATGTAAAATTTTTGGTGCAACTTTTGTAGTTTTTTATAGTAATCTTTATAAAAGGCAAACGGACCATGCCTAAATAAGATAACAGAAATAGTTTCTAGAACCCATTGGCGGACCACACACACAAATGTGTCAGCAAAGCTTTTCATAGTTTGTATGAATAAAATTAATTTCGCATATTGAAATTCAATCATGCTTGTGTAATGTAACTATTTCGTCCTTTCCGAAAAACACAACGTGACTTCAACCGTAGGTAATACATTAATAATTGTTGTAAATGTTGGGGAGGTAAGTAGTGAAGTTTTGTATGTTGCTGATATTAGTTTATTAGCAACATACAGAACTTGTAATCGCATGCCCTTTACAACGGAAATGGCAACACTAATCTTTGAAACTGTTTTAACCTTCTTTAATAATCTATGTGGCAATGTGAGTGTTGCACGTTTAACACCGTATCCATCGCAGTAATTTTTTTCAGGTGTTCGGTCTTCATGGCTGGAGAGCTTCCCGTGTAAATTATTAATCTTGTATTTATTTTCTTTAACTGTAATTTAAATATCTGTAGTGTAGAAAATCAATGTTTAGTATCATACTTAACCACTTGTAGAAATAACCTTTATGGCTGTCGTTTTGAGTCAAGTTTTGATATCTTAGGCTGTTGAAAATAGAAGGCTTGTTCTTAAGAGGGTACCTTAAACGAATTCCAATATTTAATAAAGATTCAACTCTTTTCTTAGATATGAATCTATATAATATGTATACGGACAATAATAGTGAAATGTTTTTTTTTCTACAAATATGACATATATATGACTGAGTGCCTAATAAAAAGATTTTGTTAAAAGTTTTGAATTTATTAAAATGTTTAAGTAACACACATTTTACGCTTACAACTTGTTAAAGTTTTAAGATTAAAACATGATTGCGCTACGTCACCATAAGTGAGACACCGATGAATAAAACCGCATACAGTTTATATTTAAGGCGCCCTCTTTAGTAGATTAAACAACTGCCAATTGAGAATCACTTATATTCTTTATGCTAGAAAGTAATTAATCTTCAGATATCATAATCATCGACAATGTTTACTGCATCTTATCTTTTACTCTGTCTTCCTGATGGCGCTGGTTTCTATTCTTACCGAAGCGTCTGCTTAGAGAAGCGACTTTCATGTCGCCTCTGCAGCCAACCCTACACGACGACAATGATGTCGCGTGCACTGCGCGCAGGAACTTGTTGTGCCATGTCTTATGTCCTGTTAAGTCTTCATCGGGTGTTCACACAGTTTAATAAATAATAATTATTAAATATTTGTATCTTATTATTATTTAATTTTAAATCTTAATAAGTCGCAATCATTTGAGTTTCCAATCACGTAGTTATGATTTGCTATTTCAAAAGTTTGCTTAAGAAACACTTCATTCTCATAGTAAAAAAATTCTAACACATTTCGCCTGGATACTGTATAAAACACTTAAGAGTACATTGTCTAAAAATCACTGTGATTCCTTAGTAATTTGTTTTGGGATCATTACCAAAAAAATAAATAGAATCAAACATTGCGTGATACATATGCAGAGCGTTTATTTGAAATAATTAGATTGTACTGGACTGGACTGTAATGGATTTCTGTGAACTACTTACAATTTTAGCAAGTGTTCTCTTGTAATTACAAGTAATCGACACCAGTAGCGGACGCAGTGTATTATTTTTGTAGTTTAAACCGAAATAGAGTAAATAGAAATGCCTACGAGGGTGGTTTGAAAAGTTTCCGACCTAACAAAGATACAAGACTTTTTTTTAGTGTTTTTTTATCTGGTGAGTAAGGATGGTCAAGCAGTTCAAACCGTAATTCTTGGATTTTCGCCATAGCAACCGCATGGCAACCGCCCAAAAGATGTGAGACGGTGCGTTGTCTTGGTGAAACAGGTTTCTTTTTTATCTGCAAATGTGGCCGTTCACTGTTTGGACTGTATTTTTGTTTCGGGCGTATAATGGTGTATCCAAGTTTTATCTACAGTAATTAATCGGCGCCAAAACTTGGATTTATTGCACCTAAACTGCGCCAATAGAGCGTTGGAAATGTTCATTCGAACACGTTTTTGGTCTAACGTGACGTAACGTGTCTAAATGTTGATTGAAAAGAATTTATTTCTTACATATTAATATGTAACAAACACGTTCTTTTGACGTGTTCATAACCTCTGCTCTCTCTCTTACTTTGATTCGGCGGTCGTCTAGTACCATTTGGTAAACTTTAGCGATGTTTTCGTCGGTAGTTGCAGTTTCTGGACGTCCCTAACGCTCAACGTCTCCCAAGCTCTTACGGCCACGTTTAAATTCAGCTGCCCAAAATTTCACTGTGGTAAATGATGGTACAGAGTCCCCATACACAGAATCCAACTCATCTTTGATTTGCGTAGGCGTATTGGCTTTCAAAAACAAATATTTACTGACAGCTCGATACTCGATTTTGTCCGTTTTCATAAAAACACTCACATCAACTCACTCAAACGACTGTTAACTGTCAACAGATGAACAACAAAATAAACTAGCTTTTATTCACTAGTGCTGCCATCTTCGTGTTGAGGTCGAAAACTTTTCAGTCCACCCTCGTAAAACATTAATTTTACATATTAAGTTTACTCCATAATTTTATTCATATATTTATTAGCAATGAAATATCCATATCGCAGACCGCATCCTTTTTTGGCAATATACATCTTATAAAGGCATTAGAGAAAAATTAAAATAAAATATTTTAGTCAGCCCCTGACGCAGAATTGGCTTATTTAAAATATATGTTTAGGAATTTACCACATCTGTTATGATATTTTGATTATGATACAATTTATGATATTTGTACCAGTACCTGAGAGCCTTGACCCTTGAGACTCTTGAGATTCCGCGTAATTCCTATATTATATTTATTCATAATTCCTTTATTTGCGTCGGGGGTTAAAAATAATCTTCGTAAATGAGTAACACAGTGATTTTCTTTTGCAGGAGGCTGCCTGTTCGGTTCCCCAAGAAGACATAGGTTTGGCGTGGGATGGAGTTTGTTTTGCATTCCTTATACTTCAACAACGATTATTTCACAGCTATTACTTCTATAGAGTAATTGATGAAAGCAAAGCTACAACGGTGCTTGCGTCAAGGTAAATAGCATAGGATAGGATATCTGCATGATTGAGTGCTGTATGCTTTAGGCATAAAGGGCGCTGTTATTCTCCGACTAAGTAATCAGAAGGGTGGGTATGTTTTTACTTTTTACTAGTTTTGTTTAAAATCCAGACACAATTCCAGTCTGAAAACAGTATTCAATTCATGGACAGGAAAACCAGCATAAAAAAAAATATTGCATCATATACTTCTTTTGTATGTACCCATTTAATCTCTCATTTTATATATATATGTAAGTATTTTTATTTAACCTTAATATGAGCACTAACTATGATGACTACATACAAACTACAGTACTTTACAAATAACCTTGTGAGAATCGCACCGAAAATCGCTGTTAAGCTACTTTTTCGTTGCTTTAAACCTCGTGAGTGATTTTCTCGGAACCCGAAATCTCCCCTCCCCTAATTCCCGAGTCCGTCATAACCACTGGTGGGTGGTATCCGAGGAGATTTCCACCCAGAAAAAAAAGGTGGAGAGGGGACTCAAACTCTTGAGCTCGCTCCCTATACTACAAAAATAGTCGAGGTATTCTTGAACATTACTTAATCCTTCCTTAATCTTCCTTTCCTTTAATCCTAGTCTTTTTATTTACAGAGGTGCAGAACTTATTGAGGAGCTCCGACAAAAACAAATGCATATACAAGAAAACCAAGAAGTAAAGATACTGGAAAAGATCAAAGTTAAAATGGAAAGAATAAAGGCAAATCAGAAAAAGATACAAGGTGCACTAACCAAAACTGATCGCGAGCCCGTACATCACGACGCTGGTAAATATATTTATTCAGTTAAAAAAAAATTGCAATGATAATTATCTTGAACAAGGGATAAGCGTACTTAAATTTATTTTAGTTTTTAACTTAACCTGATACCAAGGGAAGGGAAGACTCTTCCTTGACTTGAGCTGCAGTTATAACTCATTACAAAATGAGAAATGATGATGAATACTAAACGATGATAAAATGATATATTATTCTTTTAAAAGGATAGTGTAATAGGTGGATAAAAACTCGTATAAACAACCTCCAGGCAGCAGTGACAGCCAAAGGTGCCACTCAAATAATGGGGATCGGTTTACTTTTGGTTCTTCCTAAAAAGATATATCCACCAGTCTATATTATTAACATTTAATAAAGGCCCGCTTCCGATTATGAGCTATTGCCAAGGGTCGAGGTATAAAGGTCGATATGATTATGCATTTTATAATCTATAGCGGCGTTATTTACATTATTTTACTAATATATCAAAAGGCCAAAACCAGAGAAGTTCCATTTATAAGTGTTAATATTTATTGAATATTTTACTTTCGCTTTCGCATTCTGGAGTAGAGGAGGAAGAAGAGACGATGGCTGGAGAATCGGAGCAAGTCCCATTGGTCCGCGGGGACTCTGACACTTCTCGCGGGTACCATACACCTGACAGTCCCGTATCCCCGCGCGGATTTCACACGCCTCTCAGCGAAGCCTCCGCCCCACCATCTCCAGTAAAGGGTCAACCTCTTCCCGTCCTACCCGCACTCCCCGCTGTTCCCCCATCCGCTGGAGGACCGCCGTCACCATCGTCTGCACTCATGACGGTATCGTTGGACGCATACCTTGAACCTCGACGCATATCCTTTGAATCTCCACCTTCATCGGAGTTACTCCAACGTACCAGTCCTGAATCATATCCGGTGTTCTCTCCACCCCCTATTCGTCGACGGAATACAGTTGCTAGCCCCAGCGTGCTGCAGCGAACGACGCGAACATCGATCATATCTTATTCGAGCCGAGCCGAACCGAACTCTCATCATACGTGTAAATTTATTATTCGGACTTGTGTTCCATGTTGACTCACGGCGCTATACATAATGGTAGACACTGCAAGTTTTTCGTGTTTCGTGAAGAATGGGTTTGTTAATGCATTTGAAAAAAAATATTGTTTGCAGTGTTATTAGAAATTAAGAATAATTGACAATAAGTACTACCCTATACTGGTAAACAGATAAGCATACTGTATGTATTACTATATACATATATGTATTTCTAACCGTACGAATAACACGTTAAACATGTGTATTTTTATAAATAATAATTTACAACTTGCCCTGTCTACCTCTTTGTATTTGTGAGCGCAATTGAACATACACAGTGTGTTTCACAGTGTACATAATGTAAAGCATATTTCAGATTGTACGTCAATTTTGTGAACCTTTATTTTTATACATTTTCCCTGTCGTATAGGATTTGGGTCACAACCTGTGAATAGGCGTCGAGTATACACAAAGAGACACGAAGGTAAAGAGACCTGTATCACGGGCGGGTGTTGGAAGTGCTTATCCTTTTATACTGTCACAATGTGCTGGTCTTTCAAACTTCATTGAAAAATATTTTACCATAGAATGGTGACACATATCTTCAACCACAACTTCCTTCTATAACCATTTGACTATCGTTATAATAAATACGAGCATCAAGTGTATATTGTATTTTATCCATTGTGACGTCCACTGTTACTAAATAAAATTTTGCTTGATTAATCAATTCCTGATGAATATGGTACTTAACCGCTCTCAGTTAATATTCATAAATTGTGAGTTCCTTTATTAATAATTCTTATGGTTTGTGAGCTGGTGTTTAGTAATGCTTTTCTCTTGTAGCGTGGGGCAGACCGACATATTATAGGCCGCCGACGACACATCAAAGGGGTAAAGTTCTATAACAAGACTCATTAAAACCCTAACTGTATTGAGTTTACTAACCCTTTCTCAGCTTGTCGGTGATGGTATTTAGGCTAAATTCATCGCAGGGGCGGGGACTGTCTTACTCGTGTCAATTGAAATTGTATATTTTCTATAAACTTTAAAGTTGTACATACAAAACTAAGACAGAATGCGCCGAACCCATCGGCTTAAATTGTGTTCGTGCCTATGTATGCCATAGTCAAATGTCTGCATGTTAACTGCTATGCTTAAAATCTTTATTTATAAAGCATGTTGCATGATTCTGCAAAGAGAAAGCAGCAAGAGTTCTAGATTTTAGAATAACAAAGCTGTCACACAAATAAATTAATTTTTATAAATATGTACGAATGCACTGTGATTCAGAAATGTCCTAACTGATATTATAGATACATATATCAAAATTTGTGTTGTAGGATATATTACAGCAAATTATGAAAGAAATCTGCTGTAATATACGTGTATTTTTACAAATTTTACAAGTACTCGTAATTTATATAACTATTACGGTTTCCAAAGGGCAACGTTCGACGTTATAAAAGGTTTCATTGCAAAACATGGTTACAAAAATTAAATTTGTTTGTGCTGGCTTCTGCCAAGCTCATTTGTAACTCAATTCTAGAACTTATAATCTGAAGAAGCTTGTGTGTTTATATGTGCTTATGTGTTGTGTGTTTATATTTTTTTATGTAAATCTTACTTAGATACGTATTGCTCACATTGTTTCACAATATCAAAAACAGATTAGTTATATTTTTAAATAAATACTTAAGTAATCTTTTAAATGGGTTTTTATTTTAAATTTTTGTTAGTTTTTAAACATGATGAACAAAAGGAGCACAGCTTGTTAAATTATTGTATAAATGCTTGTTGCAAAGTCGTGAAAAATAAGCGTAACTGAAAAGTATGGATAGTGAGTACGCTTTTTTAACCTCTTCTATGAAGATTTATATTTAAAAAAATCTTTATCAGAAGAATATTGAAAAAGGACTGAGGCCACTTGGTTTAAAATGAAAAAAAAAATCTTTTTAACACACAAAGAAGTTTTGTGAATTCATTCGTAATTTCCAAACTTACACGAAAACGATAATATTTTTCAGTTACGCTTATTAACCGGCATTCATATTTCTGATACATTGCTTCGTACATTACAGCGGTTCGATCAGGTGACTACTACATGTTTGACGAATTTGACGATACTGAGATTCAAATCAAAGATGATGACTCAAGTTCAGATGAAGAAGTGCCCGGAAAACAAATGGGCTTCGGCAGGGTGAGTTACTTTATGCTGTTAAGGCCTTTACAAAATCAATCCGCAAGATTATCTAACAAATCCTTTAGGTTACATTAAAAGTTGTTTGACATTAAGTGGCTCAAAATATTTTATTAATAAAAATTACTTTTAAGGTAAATGTACTAAAGATATGGTAAACCATATAATCTTGCTGATTAATTTGTTAATGTGGGACTTGTGGGTGCTGGTTTATGTATGTAGTTAGTCGGTGATAAGAATGGGAACATTGTCATCAGTATTCGTGCTTATTTATCATATTATCACAATGCACGAATGTGCTTGTAATGAATCTTAGATACTCTGCAGCGTCGGAAATACCACGCTCAAATTGCATTTCTATGCGAACACCTAATTAAATGAAAATAATAATGACATACTGAGGCAGACAATGATTCACTATAGTGTAGTATTTTGGTACCTTGGTAATTAGCATGTATGTATATGAGTAAATTACATTGGGCATATCAATTGGTGGTGACATTTTTACTATAGTGCGTCTTGGGTGTTCCAGCATGTACGCTTCTTAGAGTATTTAATTACAAGAATCGGCATGTTAAGCTGTCCTATTATGAATTGATGTAGGAACTATATTTCTTAATACACATATGCCAAATCAGCTTTAAGGTGACTAACCCCAACACTGGTAAAATTGCATCGCGCCACTCAAATCGGTACAAGTCTAAATCTTGTTTAAGTCCATTTGGATCATAAGGTAATTCATTTTCTTTTCGTGTCCTATTTAAAAATATTTAATTAACATTAATATGTATTTACTATGCAAAAATATCGTCGTTGAAAAATAATCCTTCGTTTCTTCGCATTTTAAATTCTATTTTATAAATATGTGAAAATAATAAATAATTCTTCTTACGCAACTATTATTTCGCCATTCGAAAAGTTCCTTTCTCCTCTTACTAAAGTAGTACAACTCCTACGTCAAAAGTGAATTGATAGGGTAGTTATTTACTATCAATCAAATAACATAGTTTGTTATTCTGTTTTAGTCAAAGGCTTTGGCTTCCCAATCGATGATTAACAGGGCTCAGGAGACTTAAGAGAGTATCTTTACGATTCTCGCAATGACACGGTTTTATGAAAACATAATATTCAAATTATATTCAATAATAATATTCAATATAGAAAATCAAAATTTCGAACCCCCCACGACAGGATTGGATCTGCAAAGAAATTCTAGATAAAATCATGATAAGAAACAAAATCTGGCGTAAACTAAAACAGGACCCTAATAATGAAGATTTGCTTAAAACTTTCAGAACAGAACGAAAAGTTACTAGTCAAATGATCAGGAACACTAAGCAGAAATATTACCATGAACAGTTTAAGAAATGTACAACAGATCCTAAAAAGATGTATAACTTGATTAATACTTTGTCTAATAATAGAACCAAGTCAGAACGCACTCCCCCTAAATTGCTGACAGAGAGCGGTACTTTAACGAATGGTAATATGATCTGTAATGAATTTAATTGCTTCTTTTCTACGATTGGCTCCAACCTTGCAAACCGTATACTTACACAAAAACAACACGATATCATAATACCACTAGACACCCGAACATGCAACACAACATTTACTACTTTCACCCCTTGCCGATCTCGCGAATTGTCCAAAATAATTAAAAGCCTTAAACTAAACTGTAGTACCGGGATCGATGGTATAACAACTAAATCTATTAACTGTATAAGCGAACTGATACTAGACAAACTGACAGACTGCATAAATAGCCATCTGGCTTCAGGAATATTTCCCGATGAATTAAAAATAGCTAAAGTCACTCCGATACACAAAGCTGGTGCGAAAACTGATCCTAATAACTATAGGCCTATCTCAGTACTACCGATAATTTCGAAAATATTCGAAAAGATACTTCTTGCGCGCCTAGAGGAGTATATGACTTCAATAAACTTCCTTTTTGAACGTCAGTATGGCTTTCGACCACAGTCTAACACCTTATCGGCTACAATAGACCTCACGACCAAAATACAAATGAACATCGATAAAAAAAATATGGCGCTTGGCTTATTTATTGACTTCAAAAAGGCTTTTGACACCGTAAGTCACAAAATTCTTCTACAAAAGCTTAAAAACATGGGCGTGTCAGGTGTGGCTTATGGAATGCTTGAATCATATCTATCTAATAGGCGACAGATAGTTAAAATAGGCGAATGCCAGAGTAAACCACAAAATATCACGTTTGGAGTTCCTCAAGGTTCCCTGCTAGGCCCACTATTTTTCCTAATCTACGTGAACTCCATTCACAAACTCCCACTACATGGTCAAATGTCTTTGTACGCAGATGACACGTGCCTCTTCTATTTTGGAAATTCCATACCTGAAATGATAAATCAAGCTCAACAAGATCTAAATTTATTACTAATCTGGTGCCAACAAAATCTTCTCACAATTAATGCATCCAAAACATGCTACGTTATATTTCATGCCAAAAATAAAAAAGTTCCACCTCACACCCCCCTTAAAATCAATAATGAAATACTCGAGCTTAAACAACATGAAAGATACCTCGGCCTGCGACTGGATTGCCAACTAAATTGGAACAGTCACATTGAAAACATTAAATCTAAACTAACATCACTCTTGGGTTCACTACGTAATATTGTTCATTGCCTACCTTTCAATGTCCGCCAGCTTATATACAATTCACTAATAAAGCCACACATTCTGTACTTAGTTGAAATATGGGGGAATGCAGCCAAAACAAATCTAAAGGACTTACAAATTGCACAAAACAAAATTATTAAAATGCTGTTTCATTATGACTATCTGTCACCTACAACCAAAATATACAAAGACACGAAACTTATGAGTATCAAACAACTGTACACATTTTGCACCTGTATACTTATACAAAAAATACTTACTAAATCCATACATTCACAGATATCTTTTACTAAAATACATGAAGTTAGTAACCGTAGCAGTCGTAGAAAAGACCACATTTTGGTTCCTCAAGTACGTACTTCTCTAGGCAAGAGAACATTGTTATACGAGGGAGTGCAACTTTTTAATAAATTACCCAAAGACATAAGGAATGCGAACTCGTTTAGTACTTTTAAAAGAAAACTCAAGCAACATGTGCTCGAAAATATCTCACCCACCTAAAACAATTTTTAATTACCTATAATATTGTTACTATTATTAATTACCTATAATATGAACTCAGTGCAAACATATTATCTACTTAAAATAAACAAAAAAAAAAAAAGAAAATTAAAATTAACACCACTATTACGATCGTGTGAAATGAAACAGTACTACTGTGCTTTAACCTGTATTGTGACCACGAGTCCGCATTTTGCAAACCTATGCGAGGGTACACTTATATCTCTGTCTCTAGTCGTGTAAAATTTGAATACCCACACCGATTGATTACTATAAAAAGTATAATGTAACCGTTCAGTGTCAATTACTTAACGAAAATGATGTAATATACAAATGTTTGAGTGATGAAGTATAATATATTAGTGTATTAAGTGAAAGAAATGTTCTCATGTAAGTGAAATGTAAATTTCTTTTTGAGAAAAATAAATTCTTTACCCACAATATTGCTGATTATAGTTTCTACCCTGAAAGATCATTAGAAGACCCTGTAGAAATGTCAATATATATTTCCACATTGATTTTATCTTGACTAAACAACGATGGGATGTTGTTAGGTGTCAAAAATCCGTCAACAACAACAACGTAACAATTACTACTATTTCGCAGTTTGTCGCATAAATTCCTCCAAGTTTTCATTATTAAAATAATTTCTTGTGAATAATCAAATCACTGCTTATATAAAAAAATATTGACAGAGATTTCTTTGAGTATATTCTTTTATACAAAAAAAAAATCACCTCTTAAACGTTTTACGCGAAAAACAATATATCGACACATAAGTTACAAATATTTCGATACTTAACGATACGAAACTAGCGGTTTCTTTTTTTATCTCTCCTATATCTCTCCGCTCTCTCTTAAATCCTTGAACTGACCAATTTTTAAAACTCGGTAATAGATATCAATTTAAGTGTTTATATAAATATATATCAAAAATATCAAATGAAACATACTTTGGCATTTAAATGCGAAATACGATTTCAAAAGTGATGTATAGCATATATGAGTGGTCGTGGTCTTACAAATGTGTCGCGTGGGAGCAGTTGCTAGCCGAGGCGGTCAGGACAGACTTGCGCCGCGCCGTGTCGCTTCGCCGCGCCTCCGCTCCCAGCGTGCGCTCTTCTCGTTCGCGACATCTCTCCGTCGGCGATCTTCCGCACTCCGACACGCGCGAGGTAATCCTGCCTCACATCACACTGCACTGCGGCAGTAATAAAGTCTTCGCTGTCAGATGCCTAATTATTTAAAATTGTATGATTATGACCGGACCGGATACCGGACTTACTTGTAAGAAATTTCTAAAGAAATGATTTTGTTACTTTACGATCATAAGTTACGATTTTTTTCTGTTACGAGTAAATATTTTATTCCTAAATAACGGCTTTTAAGGTATTTTTAGCGTTTACAAATTCTTAGAGTCCAATAGTTAACTTTTTTAAATATTCTTGACTACTCGATTATATTAAATAATACAGAAAGGCATCTGGCTTCGGATACTTATGATAATTACAATATTCATGCCACGAAATAACATAGAAACTGCAAAGGTTTCAAGCCGAGGTAAAGTAGTGGGGCTGTTTTTTTTTTAACTCGCTTGTAATTTTATTTCTGCTTATTGCATGCTTTGTATGTTACTCAATGAATTAAATGTATTAAGATTTTTTTTTACGATATGACTTTATACCAGTTTATAAAATTTGTATTTGAAATTTCAGCAATATTTTTTATTTTACATTAATTAGCTCATATTGAAATTTAATAAAAAAAGCCAAATGTGGAATTTATTTATTTCTGTTTGCCATCTGGTTCATGAGACTAAAGTATGTTGTATTATTTAGCATCGTCGGAAGGAGGAAGATGTGAGAGAAGTTCACGAGGCCGATGTGCAAATCTCAGAACGGGGTGACTTACAATCAGATCAAGAGGATTCTGCACCTGGTTAGTATCTATGAACATCTAGTTTTCTCCCAAAATATTCTTTTTTTACTCCCATTATCAAGTCTACAAGTATTTTTTAATAAAGAAGTTAAAACATTTATGATAATAAACATATAATAATTTTGTTAGGACTGACAAATACATACTAATTAATACATTGTTTTTAATTTATATGACGACTAAATAACGACGTAACCTGCCTACACCGTAGATTAGTAAGTCCTAATAGCGTATATTGATGATACCGTATTTTCATATAGCTGGAGAAACTATTGTGGATAAAATAAAAAGATACCGAGAAACTGCATGGGCATTCATATCGAGCATCTTGGTGTCTCTCACCCGACATCTTATGAAGTTCTCGAGAGACTATCGATACGTATCCCGCACGCTCTCTATAGAAAAGAAAATACTAAAGGTATGTTGCTTTGTTTCACCATATCTTAAACGGCAGTTGAGATGTTTGCTATTGAAGTATTTGCAAATATATTGTGATCGGAATCAAAAATTGCGTACAATTTAGGGAAATAATTCTCTCCATATCCATTATTAACTATACTGATTCGAATGGAATCACAGACTTAATACTCTGAGGGAGAATAATCACTGTCATTAACCAGTTCGGCCCTAAGCTTGGTTTTGTTCATACAATATTAAGATCTATCTATCTATTTTTTCCATGATGTTTAACAATAAATTAATAAAACAAAATCAATTAGGTAATTTGCTTATAACTTTCAAATCACTTTCGTGTGCTACTTCTTTAAGGTATTACCGTAAAGCAAGAATTTCCTCAATTAATTCTTACTGTTACTTATGTAAGATATATTTAGTTAAGATAGAAACATTTTACATTTTAACATTTTAATGTAAGGTATTACAATAACGACAGAGCCAATTATCATATATAATTTTAAACCAGGAGAAGGAAGGCTTCGGTATTGGTCTTCGAGAAGGCTCGCAGATGATATGGGAACCTTTACCAGAATCACTCTTGGCAACTTCCACGCATCTGTGAGTTATAGTTTCATATTTTTATTTTTATACACAGTAAGCACACATTATGAAACATTTTACATAATTTTTACTTTTATACTAAAAAATAAGAAAATTTCTGTTCATATGAACAACAATCAGAACACTCTACAGAGCGCTGTGAAACGCGCTACCGGTATATGTTAGGTACTGAGAGGTTTATTACTACTCCCTAGGTGAGGGGGAGGGAAACAAGTCACCATACATGCAGCAATAGATGCCCCTAAATAAATTACGACTGTAAGGGATGGCAATCCGGTGACTTCAAGTAACTTCTTAATTGTTCTATATCATCTAAATCTGACAGAAAATAAAAAATCGATACATGTTTTGCATATTCTGAAAGCTCATGCCTGCAAGACGTTATCAAATGGGATTTTCATTTTAACGATTAACATTCATTTCATTGTGGATTTATTTGTATACACTGATGATCTTAGTAGGGCTTGTATCACTAGAAACGCTCATCTTAACGCACGTAAAGTGTAGTCATAGATTATTTTGTAGGTAGTAGTATTCCATAAACAAGCGTTGTTTAATCCATTGTCTGTGATCTAAAATACGAGCACCACGTTTTTTGACAAAAGGAACATTACGAGGTCAGTCTGGAGTATTGATAATAAGTCAAAATTGTAATATATTACAATTATTCGCATAACAAGAAAATCAATGTCGGTTGTACATTTGCAATTTTATTTCCCATATGAACAAAGTCCTACTTTTAATTAAGTTAAACAACGCTTACTTTAAAAATGTTATTATATTTACTTAGTTCTTAGTTAGTAAGTAGTATTTTGTTTGCATGCTGCCTAGAGCGGACGAGTCGGATTCTATTGACAAGAATCTACTCGCGCCGACAGTAGACATGGGGTTTGTATTATTGCCACCATTCATGTAATGATAAGAGCTTAATAGAAATTAGAATTGGAAAATGTAAAGTACAAATAGTAAGAGAAAAATATATTTTAAATATTTATTTGAAGTAATTGTTCTTTTTATAGAACAGTATAAACTAGTAGCAATTCATGCGAGATATACAATTAAAATAAAAAATACATTTAGTAAGTTATCTTTAGTAGTTTTTCAATATCGGATTAATAGAATACAAGGCATACAACACACACTTCTTATGGCTGGAAATAAAATAAAATTAAAATTTCCTGGGACATATTTACACATCGTTTGAGCTCAAACGTATAAAAATACAAACAACATTTAAATATTCATTTATTTTCTAAATTTGTTAAATATCCCAGGATTATTGACTAAAACTGCTTAAATAAATTATAGCTCTTTGTTTAACTTCTGATTAAATTAATTCATTTTCAATAAGAAGCACAGTTTATGTCAATGAACATCGAAGTAGACAATGATGTTGGGGGATGTTTCCAGCCGTAAGTTAAGTGACATAAGTGTTCCGGAAATTCGCATACTGGCGCCGAGCATGGAGCGGGGACTGGACGCGTCGCCGCCGCCTTGCCGCCGAACACCGTCGTCGCTGTCAGCGAACACGACACGCCCCAATAACGACGACGATGACACGTCTGAACACGAGAGCGCGTTTAGTTTGGAGAGTACCGAGAGGTGGAATCATACATTCAAACGTATACTTGAACTGCGAATATCGTAAATCCGATCTCGCAGTACAAGCTACGTTCAATATTTTCAGCGCTTGCTAATGGGCTTTAAGTGTATCTTTTTAAATTTACGATTCTTAAGGTCTTTTTAAATATTAATCTTTGATTTTTATTCTTACACTTATATTTCATATCGCAGCTTTGCAATAAGTTATACAATCCACTTGTGTAATGTAATTTAATCCTGAAGTCTTCAAACTGTTAAGTGTCAGGAGGGCTCCTAAACGAATTCCCGATGACGTAATAAAAATTTATTATAAACACATTTTACATGTAAAATACGCAATAGGATCCACCATATTATATAGTGTACGAGACAGTGTTGTAGTTGTTACTTCTTAATTTATAACGGACCGCGGTTGTGTTTTAATATAAATGCATGCAAAGGTTTTGACAAACTCTTGATGAAAAAGAAGCGCTTGTAAACAGAAAAAGAAAGACAGGCGACAAAAGACAACTGAATCTCAATCAATTTGTCAATGATTATTAAATGTCTTTTTATTGATAAAAACTAAAAAATAATATTTTGTGTTTTATTTAATTAATATTTATCTTTCATTAATCGGTATTTAGAGAAGGAGATAATCTTTCCCTCTAAACTTTTAAGTTTATAACGTGTAAAAATGCTTAATACTTTGTATCATGTTTTAATCATTACTGTTTTGTAATTTATTGTACCATACTATGTAATAATTTAATGTCCACTAATAATTAAATTGACTTTGCGTCTAAAAATTAAATCAAACATTTGAGTTCTAAGCACTTTCTTATGGTTTTCAGCAAGGACTTGACCACACTGGAAGAACAAGACGATTCTATGTTCAAGCAGGATCGAAACGCATTAGTGCATTTCATAAGCGCCCTGTGGTATACAATTTTAGCGCATACCGATATTGTATGTTATGTCATGGTGTTTATTAATCAGGTAATCTAATTGTTTTACATAAAAGACATGAAACTAATAGCTTTTACGTAAAACTATTTCAAATATCTACAATAAATATATATTTTTATTATTAATCAGTTCATTATTATAGCGGATTCTGTAAGAAAAGTTAATGTAAATAATTTAATGACGAAGTACAAAAAAGTCGCATTCCAATATATAAATTGTTTTTTTTTTACAGATACAATCGGCGACTATTCTATCGATACCGTTACCTTTAATGGTGTTTATGTGGGGTACACTCTCTGTCCCACGACCAACAAAAACTTTTTGGGTCACCCTGATTGCGTACACTGAAGTAAGGATTGATTTTGTCTAACGTTTGAATATATTGTACTTTATATTGAACTCCTTGAAAGCAATTTAAATTGCACCAAATATTTTTTGTATTTATTATTAAAACAAAAATTTGTGGTTGATGTTTTACATCAGCAAAAGCAACAAAAATGACTAAACAGATCAAATGAAAAGGTCGAAATGGAACTTTGCGAAGAACGAAGTGAGGCCGGTTTTATAAAATATTGTTTTCTACGTTACTTATGTGTAATGCGAATGCATCCTACTATCTATCTCTTGTAGTTTGATTTTTACACCCTTTCACAAAACACGTTGATATTTTTGATGACGTTTTGACTGACAAGGCGTGCATGGAAGTGTATCATTTTGTTCACAGAGTACCATCTTAACTTTTTTTTTGTTTGATCTGATATTGTCGTAAGCATTACTACTATTCCTACATGTTATGCACAGTACTTCTTTGACTTGTTAACTATATTTTTTTACATTTTTTATTATATTTGGTTTCATAAATTACTGAAATTGGATTTGATTTACATATACCTATTGTTAAGTACGTCTACATTATCCTGTTTTGCATTTAAGGCTTGACATGGTTATTCGTCTTATGACAAGAAGAATTACCAAAAACTATACTTATTTATAATTTTCACAGGTTATCGTGCTGATAAAGAGTATGTTCCAATTTGAGATACTACCATGGAATCAAAAGGCGATACCGGCCAATATGCCTTTCACAGCTCCCCGCATCATTGGTATCGAGAGGAAATTCAACTACGCACTCTACGATCTACTATTGTTACTTATCATCTTTTTACACAGGTAACAGTACAGTACAGTAGACTACTTCTCATAGCTGTTGACTTTTTAGTCAACTATTGAGTAGCTTGCCTTATTAGTAATCCAAACCCCTACTTTCCCTAAAGGTAGTAATAGTCGTCTTGAATAGGGAATAATGCTCAAAGCTTTATTGTTCAAGGTTCATGCTTAAATCGCTTGGTCTATGGAAAGAGTCCGCACCAGAAGTAGAATTGAGAGAAGACATGGAGTATCCGCTAACTCCTGAAGACACACAATTGGTAGTGGAAGGACGAATACATGAAGTTGGGCAGAAATATATCCACTTGCACGACCGTACAGGCCCGTGAGTATTTTTTAAATTGTAATAAGATTGTGTTATTTAGTCAATTCACGACTTTTTGCCAAAGTAGCGAATTGACTAAGGACTCGCGATTAACACGTGAGCACTTCTATTCTGTACTTTATTCCGGTTATTTGAAAAACGTTCCCGGATACTAGCCTAGTGAATCCTAACATGATTCCCTGAAAAAACGTATTAGTCCAAGTTATATACCATAACTCACAAACAAAAGTTTTGCTTTGTATGTTTCGTTAATTCATTTCTATGCGTTGCAACGCCTTTTTTTGCATTTCCCACTAATTATTTCTTATTATTATTAGTGTACTTAATTATATATTATACAAAAACGTTCACGTCATTTACATGGCATACTTCGTCTCCTTATAAACGACGTGTGTGATTTTCTCGACGTCCATGATTATGACTTAAATTCTGTTTTACTCATCCTTGACATAAAATTGAGACCTGAATCGTGTTTTAGGAATGGCAACTTTGGTAAAACGTTATCTGTAGCAAATAAGTAAACTCCCCAAAAATTTCGGCGGCGTAGGCGTTAGAGAGCATAGAGCAGATAGTACATAGCGAAGTGTGCGGATCAGACAGTCTTCACCGGCTGGTGGACCGGCTGTACCACGTGCAGGCGACGATCGAGTCGGCCGTGCGCGAGCTGAACGCGACGCGCTCGGACCCGCGCGTGATGCAGCTCGTGTGGCAGCGCCTCAACCCGCCCGCGCGCAGCCGCCGCGCGCGCTGGCGCCGGCGCCGTACCCGCCGCCCGCGACGGTACACGCGCTCTACAACAACCCTCACTTTTAAACTGTCGATTCTTTACGAACCTATACGAAAAGTCAGCTTTATTGACACTATTAAGTTCGGTCTCACTTTTGTCACGGTGGCTCTTGGTGAAATACAGTTGCAATTTTTAGCCGCCTTCAAAAAATATGTTTTATATAAGTTAAACATTCTTGTTTGTTCAAATCTTAACGTTCAATATTTGGATGCTTCGAAGTCAGTTAAAAAGCAATGTATCACCCTAACCTTTTTATGTTTTTTAAAGCTTTTCGAATAGGTTGTTTCGGTTATTTTAACTTTAAATATAGTTAAATGTTCCAAATGTATGTAATATGTGGTTAATTGTATTTTTTAATAACTAACTTAATAGTGATTGTCAGTTTTGTTGGTTTACGTATAGTTATAGTATTATAGAAATTTGATTACTTAATGATAAAGAAGATAATATTATATATATAATTATTGTTAATTATTGGTACTGTTGTTAAGTAGACTATTGTGGATTTAACAGTGTGCACTTTCCGCATGGGTGAGAATGCTAAAACTTAAAACTTAAGATATACATCTTGACCAATTCACCAGATCGACCGTCCACGATCTGTTGGAAAATGCACTCTATATAAGAGATGTAATTGTAAAAGTTAGGGTTAATGATAATTCAACTGTACAATTTGACTAATAAGAATCTTGTAAATAGCATTACAAAATCAGCTATGAACATTATATATATTAACTAATACTATGCTTACAGTTCTGATGACGTCAACGAAGATGATATACCACCTAATAATAAAGAGTCCGTGGGTCCAATGCGATTGCACGACTATGCCACCAGTTACGTGTACGGCGAAAGCGAGCCTGGGCCTTCGAAACCAACGGAAGATGACCATTACAAGTACGTAAGCACTTAAGTTCATACAGTGTATTACGACAATAACGTTGTTCATTAACTCTTACTTATGTCCCGTTAATGGGCACTGTTTACAGCTTACAATCAGTCGAGCTGTATTCTTCTTAGTAGTATAAAATGGTCAAATGAGATAGTCTCCCCAAACAAATGACCTCACCCAATCAAGATTTTTTTAGAGCAGCTTAAGTAATGAAAAAAAATTGAATTAAGGATGGGCCCAATATATTATAATAAAAGTGGAAATTTCATCAACGTCCCAAACAGTTATGAGATGTCTCTGGGGACGTTTTATTACTTAGTTACGTGAACAGATATGTTTGGAATTCTTGTATTGTATTGGTTTTTCCACACATTTCTGGCCATAAAACGTGCCGAATTCTTCGATAGAGCAATGTATTGGTTTTTCTACACATTTCCGACTTAAAAACGTCCCAAATTCTTTGATAGAGCAATGTACTGATTTTTCTACAAATTTCTGACCAAAAAATGTCCCAGTAAGTCGTTGAACTCTGTCTTAGACCAGCAGCTAACTGTCGCGATCAGACCATCTAATAACCCTTCCTTTACTTAATATGATTATCTAAATATTTGTTTGCAGAGTAAATGATGATCAAGAGCCTATTATAGCAGTAACAACTACTTTGGAAGATACATACAAACATTATCCTCAAGTGGTTTTACTATCGTAAGTATTCACCTAAGGCGTATACTACTCATCCGTTTTATGGCGTTTATTAATAAACGGATAGATAAAAAAAAACAAGCCTTAACAACGTCCAAAGTGTCAATATTTACCAAAAATATTGATTATTACTTATGTAATTCTCAATACTAAAGGCCCATGGACCGACCATGGATTGCTCGTCACGGAACCATCACTATAATAATAGATATAACCAGCACTTTCAACCAATAATTTTCTATAAATCTGATAAATTTTGACAAATTGGCCAATCATTTTCTTTCCTCCGAATGAGGCTCAGCATCATCTGCCTATAATAGTCCACTGCTATACATAGGCCTCTCCTTAGAGAGAAGGTTTTGGCCTACTTTTATTTCATTAAATAAATATCTTTATTTATATTAGATACTTGGTGGTCATAAGTATTGAATAATACCCTTGACACTACCGGTGGTGACATCATCATCATCATCATCATCATCAACAGCCTATAACAGTCCACTGCTGGACATAGGCCTCTCCTTAGAAAGGAGATTTTGGCCTACTATACCACGCTGGCCAGACGGGTTGATATAGGGTTTGTTTCAAGTTTTCCTTCTCTTTGCAGTGCTGTTGTCCTACGTAGTTTGCTCCCTTAGTCGCCTCTTACGACACCCACGGGATGAATAGGGGTGGTGACATTCCGTATTCTTAATCCGTCACCACACGGACGATGGTGACATAGGGATCGAAAAATACCCTTGAAACTACCGGTGTTGTCATTAGGTGGTATCACGGGTCCGTGGCGGGATTGCTTATGGCTCTTCATCTGATTTTATTAGAAACGTTTAAGTATCATATCATAAAGGCATTATTTTCTGGTTGCCTGAAAGTATTTAGTTGTTTTTCTATTATCGTAAAACACTATCTTTTCGTGGTAAATTAGGTAGTAGCTGTTTATGGTTCCGTGACTAAACTACCCGTGGCAAGTAAGTTATTGAAAATATGGTTTGAAATCAAGAAAAAGGGAAACTTCAATGTTTATTATCTCATTTTTTATTAAATAAAGAGAGAGAAAGTATACTTTTTACATTGTTTTATGTTTTACAGATTTAAACGTTACCTTCGTCCGACACACCGTTTCTTTCAACGAATGTTGGCGCCAGGAGCTCGCGTCACCGCAGACATTTACGCTTATATGTTTCTGTGTGACTTTTTCAACTTTCTAGTTGTTATATTTGGATTTGCAGCATTTGGAGTAAGTGCATCCTACCTAATTCTAATAATACTCTTAATTAATTCTGATCCAACCGGAGTTTTCTTTGACTTTAAAACAGTATTTCTAAATATCCAAATCAAGATATGACAATAAGACTGTCTGATGCAGCTACCAGCTAGCACAATAATAATAATTCGGTAACACACATGTAATGTTGACAAATTGTATCTTTAATGGGGTGTAATTGCCAAATCTCGCACCTCGAGCCTCCTGATAAAAATATGGTTAAAAAATATATATTAAATAATGAAAAGACGCACTAGCTTTTTGATATATTAAAGCATAAAATTCGAGTCGAGTCATTCGTTTTCAGATAATATTATCATATACAAATGTTCATACGCAGTTACAAATTCAATAGTACCAAATATCCTAAAACTATCGTGCCTGTAATATAATGTTTGCTTTAACAGACACATCAAGGTGACGGAGGCGTCCAAGCGTATTTGGAAGAAAACAAAGTGCCGATCCCATTTCTAGTGATGTTGATCTTACAATTCGCGCTGATCATTATCGACCGCGCGCTCTACTTGCGCAAGTTTATGCTCGGCAAGATATTGTTCCAGTACGCACTCATCATAGGAGTCCACATATGGATGTTCTTCGTACTGCCTTTCATCACGGAGAGGTATGGCCGTATGAGTGTGGTGCCACTATTATCTCTTACTGAAATTTGATTAATTAGGAAAAATATGCTTCGGTACAAATGGGCAGACCAGACTGGAGAGGTACCACAGCCTCAAAGAAAATCAATGTTAGCAGAGTGAGGTCACCGGAGTACAAAACCGTACCGCCGCCTCGGGTACCAGTTGCCGGGAAACCAGGTTTACCCTAGAAAGGAAATCCCCCTGATTCTATGAAAGGGCACTTAAAAGGCGGCTATACACTTGCGATCCTTGAGTTGCAGTTGTCTATGAGCGGTGGTAGTCACTTACAATCAGCTAGGGCGCACGTGCAAACGAGCCAGCTGATTATTCATTATTTTATTTTATTACATTTTTATTTATTATTGAATAGCATTTTTTTTATATTTATAAAATTTTACTTAACAACGAAAAATAAAATTACATTGTAATTAAAGACAAACAAGACCTAAGTTGTCGATTGTTGAATTATAACTATCTTTGTCTTCGCAGAGTTATCAAACTGCCTCTAGAGCAATTACTTTTGCATCAACATACAGAAATGATTAAAAAGTCACTGAGGTTACATAGACCAATTTGTAATATTATATTTGAAAGATCCTAACTGAATAAACATTGTCACCAGAACGTTCAACGCCCTGTTACCACCCCCGATGTGGTACATGGTGAAGTGCATCTACTTACTTCTATCTGCGTACCAGATCCGTTGCGGTTACCCGCGACGTATCATTGGCAACTTCCTCTGCAAATCCTACTACTTCCTCAATATGATGTTCTTTAGAGCGTAAGTTTAGAATTTAATTAAAATCATAAAGTACAACAGTTAAGTTTGCACCTACACAAGCCATTTTCTACTTGCGGTGTACAATACTATAGGTTTAAGTAGGTATATAATCTTTTAAATTGATAGTTAAATGTGACAGGTTAGATAACAATGGTACATTGTCTCATTTTTTCACATTTTCACTCATCTCACACTCCGTCTGATTCAAAACTAGGCGGAGCCTGTGCTATGGTAACCAGACAGCTGATAAACATACTTATTTATTTCTAAATACACACATATTATAGATAAAATAAACCCAGACACAACAAATGACGGTGCTCATCACACAATTATTTGTCCTGGGTGGGAATTAAACCCACGACCTCTTGTGTACCAGTCAGGGTCACTAACCACTAAACCAACAGGCCCATCAAGTCACATTATTAAACACTTTCAATTAGCATTTTTTTATAATGTTTAAATTTAATTTAAAATATATAATTTCTTTATTTAATCTATTTGAAAGATTTAAGAATTATACAAGAATACCAAAAAGGAAATAAATTAACAGTTAGTAGTTTAGTATTACTAGTATTACTAGTAGAACCTCACCAGCTTCATGTGACGTCACTCTCTGAGACGTAAACTTTTCCTAGCATATGTAGTATGTATATTATTTGTTATGGAAAGAATATACTGTCATTTCTATTTAATATAATAAATCACACTGTACGACAGTAAATGACTCTTATAGAGATAAATCTCACAAAAAAGTCGCCAGTGATCTACTGTTCTGTACCTTTCATTATCAAATTATTAATGTCATTTCTCAATATAATTTTTGGGCAAATATTACAGGCAAATAATGCTCTAGTAGTGTTGTTTAAAAACGGTCTTTTCCCATTGTTTTGGTGCCTGTGTGGAAGATATATCTTCTGATGTTTAACCTAGTTTAAAGGTAGTTACATAGAGAGATAAGAAGCTAGACTGCAGCTTATTATCCAGGCTCTGACAGGTTCAAACTGCTTAAATACTATTTACATTTAACCCATTACAGATAAATTTTAACTAAATATAAATAAATAACTATATTATAATTCTTGTGCTTATTATATATAGTATTCGTATGTACAACTAATCCGCCGGTGCATTACTAAATAGATAATACCATACCATACTCATATTTGCTCAAACAGATTTATGGCAATACCGTTCTTATTCGAGCTACGCACACTCATGGATTGGATATGGACTGACACTTCTATGACCCTCATGGATTGGCTCAAGATGGAAGATATTTTCGCTAGCGTCTTTTTGCTGAAGGTATATTAATTATTTTACACACATCACTAGTGTTTAATAGATTTTTTTCGAACTCTAGCCATCCTATAACTAATCAATTACAAGAAGGTTCTAAATTGGACTCGTTTTAAATGTCTTAGTTACGCTGTATTCGGCAATGTATGTCACACACATGGATGTCAAAATAGCGAATATAAATAACCAGGGGCATGATAAAAACGTATTGTTGTGCTTTGTTTAGTACTGATAATTTTCAAATATTTTTTGAAAAAAGATAAAAAGATAGCTACATTAAGTTTTGATGTGCTGTTTCAAATATATGTCATTGTTCTAGTGTTCTCGTTACGTGGAAGACAGGTTTCCGCAGCCGCGTGGCGCTAAGAAGTCTAATACGACGAAGTATTTGCTGGGCGGCGGCGTTCTCGCATTCGTCATCGCCATTATTTGGTTCCCGCTTGTATTTTTCGCATTTGGCAACACGGTAAATATTGACTAGTAGTCTTCTCGAGTCGTATTGTCGTGTTACATAGCCCTCTGTTTCTCTGTTCTCAACAAAAATTCTAAATAATACAACCAGATTTTCTTAAACTACTTTCACATAAGTACTCAATTGTTTTCATAAATAACCGTCCCTTAGTTACTACTTGATAATATGTATTTCAGGTAGGTCAACCGAACCCACCAACCGACGTAACAGTGAAGATTCGGATCGGACCATTCTTACCTGTGTACCAAATGTCGGCGCAATCGCACAATATTGATGTGTAAGTTTTCATCACTTATATTATTTGTGACAAGAATGTCTCCAGATTAAATTATGTGAATGTTAGATTCTCCGTGTAGTGACGGATTAAGAATACGGAATGTCACTACCCCAATTCATCCCGTGGGTGTCGTATGAGCCGACTAAGGGCGCAAAACAACGCAGGACACCAGCACTGCAAAAAGAAGGAAAACTTGACACAAACCAACCCGTCTGGCCAGCGTGGTATAGTAGGCTAGACATCCTTTCTAAGGAGAGGCCTATGTCCAGTAGTGGACTATTAAAGGCTGTTGATGTGATTTGAGATTTTCCTGGATAAAGAACTATAACTGTACTTCGATATAAATAAGGACAAAATACTTCTTAGGGGCGCTCGCAGTCTTACATACTTAAACTGTAGAATACCGAATTGACGTGTCACCCAGTGAACGTGCGTACGAATGTAGATTCGTCTTTGGAAGCTCATTCATAGAACATTGCTCGTTTCTAGTTTCTCAGAACAGGACTACACTCAGCTCAGCAACATGTACCCGCGCGACCGCACCGCTCAGACCTTCCTATCCAACTACATGTACAACGACATCGCCGTCATCACCATCAACCCCAACTCTACCATGAAATGGGAGATCTCACCGCCTGAGCTCGAGCGGCTTAAACGAGAAGCCAAATCTAGTAAGTCTATATCGTATACATACATGCACGTGTACGTATATTTACGTATACTGATATAAATGTAAACATAATTCTGAAATAAAAACAAGATACGTAATTGATATCATACTCATTTTGTCAATTTTCAGAAGAATTAATGTATGGGTATAAAAATCGTATAAAAACTAAGCTAAAGCTGTCAATTAAATTACTTTCTTTTGATAGTTCAAATGTAAGATCTTATTGTTTCTGCCGAGCAGCTCAATAATACAAGGCTGATTATAATAAATATAGTTTGTCGCGGCTTCGCTCTGATAAATATAATTTTTCCATCCTTCACATCACATCACAACCTATACAAATAAATAAAATTGGAGTGTCTGTTTGTAATATTGAAATAACCGCTTTTTACTAAATGCATATGTATGTTTACACGGTACATATGCCAAAATAACAATTTTTACAATTTTTGTCTGTCTGTCTGTTCCGGGTAATCTCTGGAACGGCTGGGCCGATTTCGACGGGACTTTCACTGGCAGATAGCTGATGACATAAGGAGTAACTTAGGCTACTTTTTTTAGACTAGCTTCGCCCTGCGGCGTTGCCCGCGGTTATAACAACAAACGCGGGTAACACCGCGGGTCTCAGCTGGTTATTAGATAAAATGATATAATAGGATTGAGTACAAATAATTTGCTTTAAACAGATGCAACATTGATGGTGAAATTCACATACGTGATCACTCACCCGACAAACGCAGTACCAAACCCACCCACAATAGAGGACCATCGAGAAGTGCCGCTCGAAGCGTACATAGACGGCAAACGGAACCCCGAACGGGAGACTCTACAGAATCTGTTAGCTGGACCCACGACCGATCTTTGGTCAGTATTTTTCTTGTTTTTGACATTACCTAACAAATCAAATTCTTGCGTTATAACTTTAAACGACACAATGTAGACGACAGCATTGGGAATATCTCACGGTAAAAAATAAACATTTTTAGAATGAATGGTTAAATATAAAAACATTTTGAAAAAAATGATAAAGTTTAAGACTTCATCTGAAATACCCACAATTTTATAACTTGTTAAAATTTGCTCTAAATACGGAGGTATTTTTTTTTCATATTTTGATCTCATTTGAGTATGATTTTACTATACCAAAAGCTTTTTTACTTTATTAACGTTTTTCAACAGGTTGAACGTGAAGTATTTATTCCCAAAATTTGTAAAAGTTTTTAATAAAGGTACGACGAAACCAGCTTCTCAACTGATGCCCCGAGTTTCAGATAATGACAGTAAGTAAATTTGGACTCACGATATTTAGATCTCATAAATTTTCGCGGTAGACTGAACTGGAGGACCGCATTGCGAAACTTTTTATATGTTATGTTTTGAGCTGTTTTCATTTTCACAATTTAAAAAAACCTGATGATGTTTGATTACACTTATCAAGAAGTAAAAGATGTAGTACTGTAAAGTTATCTTTATTGTTAATTAAAAATTAAATTATTATTTCAGGTGAAGATTCACGATTGTTCCGTGACGTACAATTACGCTTAGAAAACTTTGGGCACAATTCCTATTGGCGTGTACGGGAATCTTGTTCTTTCCGGGTAAGTCACGTTTGATAGATATATCACTTAAAATATAGAGGTACGTGGCTAAGTGGTAACCGAGTAGATCCTAGCCAGGTCAGCCTGTGGATGGGTGACCATTCTTAACACATAGAGGCCCTCTGTGCCTTGAAGAGCACGTTAAGCTCGTTGATCCCGGTTGCCATGCGAACCTCAGTGGCAATCTTTACTGGTAGTTGGGAGTCCTAAAAAGTCCCACAAGTCTTTCTACAGAACTTCAATATCGGCTAGTACTTGGGCTGAGGAGGTCTGATGGCAATCGCTTCACGTAAAAAACGAAGTTCAGCCGTATCGTAGTAGACTTATAGCCGACCCCTACCTAGTTTGGGTAAAAAGGAAAGAAAGGAAGTTACTTTAATTATAATTAGGTTACCATAATTATAACCCAAAGCACATTACCACAAGTAAATGTATTATATTGTACGCTAGACGTGCCAAAATTCCGGCCTTCGTTACCTCGTACGCTACTTTTCATGAAATAACACAAGACAAATATAAAATTTTGCTTTTTCGTTTCAGGACCCATTGATTCCTATACCACTAAACAACTGCAACATGCTTGTGATGTACACGTTTAATGATAAGCTATTCCCTGAAACATTAAACTTTATATCTGGCAGTGGGTGAGTGTAATAAAATATTTTAGTATTTAAAAAAAATTATAGGTTTCATAATCTGTTACAATTGAAATCTTATTAAGGTGTAGTGATAATAAGAATAATAGTAATTTGAGAAGCTAGCTATGTGTTTCAGTGTCTGAGTTCATATCAGCAGGTCCATTATTAATAATGCATTTGGTTTACAGCATCATCGGATTGTACACTACATTCGTATTCTTGGCATCGCGAGTGTTACGCGGATTCTTCTCAGGAATATATACCAAGATTATGTTCGACGACTTACCCAATGTCGATAGAGTCCTGCAACTCTGTTTGGACATTTATTTGGTAAGTTATTCAGTTGAAAGTAACTTGTTTGTACAAACAAAATGGGGTTAAAAGAAACTATAGTTTTAATTTGGTAAAGAACATTGAATCTACCAAAAGAAGGTTTATGTTTACGCAACGGCGAGATAAAATATGATTACAGGTAGTAGGGTATTTTTTTTTATTGCCTGTATTTTCTTTGATTGCTTTCTATTTATGGTCAATTGATGGTTATCTTCTAATCCATATGTAGTGGAATGGACAGCCTAAAACAATCCCCTTCGTTTATATCAAATCTTATTCTAAGTTAATAAAAAACTACTCAAGAAAACACGCAAAGAATCGTATGTAAAAAACACATGCTAAGACGAGATCAGTGACTTATCGAAACTGCAGCTGATCCTCGCATAGATCCTCCCTTTTAAATCACAGTAGTGGACGAGGGTGACGTTTTCTTGCTACGAAGTAATTACACATGAAATGAGACAATAAAGCATAGAAATCTAGTGTGTATATATATATCTAGTATTAGTGCTTGGTACCATAATACATTCGACAAACAATTAAATTATGCTACGAAATCTAAGTCATTGGTTAGAAGAAATAATCCAAAATTAAACTTTTATGAAACAATCACAAAAAGCCTTTGACATACCAAAGTATAGAATTCATTTTGGGTTTATTTTTTATATTTACATTTTTATATATAAAGCTGCGTGGAATGAATAAAAAATCAAGTGTCTTTATTTTTTTACAGGTTCGAGAAGCACTGGAACTTGCTTTAGAAGAAGACCTGTTTGCTAAATTAGTATTCCTCTACCGCTCGCCCGAAACTATGATAAAATGGAGTCGTCCTAAGGATGAGGAGAATGAAGATCAACGTGCGCTATCGCCCTCGCGCTGAGCTACGATCTCTTGTCTAGCCGATCTAAACAAGTAACAAGAAGACACAAAGTTAGCTTTTGCTAAAGTTTCTGATAAGCTCTTACTAAGTATCAGCACAAGGACTAATACACAAAGTAACCAACAAGTAAATTGTCTTTGCTAAAAAAAGTCAAGAATGCCCAAGTGCTAACTTAAATTACAAACAACCATTAAATTAATAAGGTATGCAAAATATAAAGTAAATAATATTAAACATAAAATACAATGTAGGTAGGTATCTTAAATGTTTTGTATAGGTTTGCTGACATTTACATTTATCTTCATGCATAAAAATGTTAAACTAAAGCATACTTGTTCTAAATGTACAACTATTTACGAGCAAACAGCGCTTGCTGTGGTGTTTTAATTTGATAGATTCGATAAACATAGTTATATATATATATGTAATCTCTTTAATAATCAGCTTCACCAATTTAAGCAAATTCGAATACTTTTAGGTTGGTAATTTTGTGTATTTATCGCTTCATGTAAGCCGTTTCCGTGTTGTTTTGTGCCTATTCCTAACACTTCCTGTACGATAATTATCCAAATATTTACACACATACAACAATCTCGATCTTTGAACAAATTCTGTGTGAAGTACTGGGATATGAATGATAGGAATTATGCAATATGTAACTTCAATCAATTAGCACTTTATCTTGTTTTTACAATATTTTATATTTACATCAATTGATTCCAAAATGGATGGTTTATCTAATTAAAGGAGAATTCGTCCAGTACGTATAACACTAGGAACTTTATATCTAACCAAGTAATTGTCAAAATAGCCTTACAAAATCATCAACTTAGTTATTTCTATATTTCTTTACTGTCCTTGTCGTCCATATGTGTAATTAATTCAATTATAAATGACTGTATTATATGCAACATCGATGGTAGATACGTAAGTTGTACAGTAAGCTAGTAATTATTTAAGAATAATCACGATGCAGTTTTATTTTGTGTCGTTCGCATTAGATTTGGAAAAATCTCCAGATGAAGTTACAAGATAAACTTTATACATATGTCGAAAAATTTATTATACGCATCGGTTAAATATTTTGCAGTGCCTCCAGCACCTCTATTTATGTATAATGCGCACAAGCTAGATGTATATTATGTAGTACCTTTGTACTTAAATTTAATTTAAATTCGGCGTTCCTAGATTTACTGTATTCAGTAATTTTAATTACGAAAAGGCGTCACGAAAAATTACAAATATTACTTTTTTTTATTAAACTCCAAAATGTTACATTTATTGTTTCGTCGTTCTCTATAGTCTATAACAAGATGTTTATATTGTTGTGTTATTTAAATGTATATATAATCTCAATCTTTATCGAGAAGTTACCATTGCAATATATTATTTATTAAATAATCCTTAATGCGACCACTAGTTACTTTAATTGTTGCTGAAGTACAAGTGTGCAATCTTGATATTATTATTTATTTTTAAATTATTCCTGTTATATATTACGCAGTTAGACAAAGACGGTGCAGAGCCACCTATAATGAGCAAGTCAGACAATTAATTTTGGTTTAGGGTCTCTCTGCACATACTAAAGGATTTTACGAGTTATCAAATAAACTGTTTTTGTACCTCATTAAGTAAACATTTTGCATTTCATATTACTTAAATTATTTAAGTAAGATAAATATATTGTACACATTTGTATTATGGTTGTTGTGTTTAAGCTGCATTTAATGTTGTCGATTTGTGATAATAAAAATCGTATGAAATGTTTATTGTATTTTTATTGACTTAAGGGAAATACAAATCATAATAGTTACGAATGTTCACAATTCTCTGTGGTTCAAATATATATTATGCTTAACTTACAACCATCAATCTTGGTGCTATATTCATTGACATAAGTTCCTGGAACAGTAACTTGGCGGCATACGGTAATCGCACTTGCGAGATTTGAGTCTTATTTTTACATCCTTTACATTCAAATGTATTATTCCGTAAATTTGCAATTGCGATCAAACCACAGAAATTACAAACGTGTATCCGATATGGGTCGGACACTTCGAACAGTCGTTCGCGCAAAAATTGTGCAGCGCCGTGGGCAATTTGACAGTCACGTTCCATTTCACCAAAACGTAGTCCACCATCTCTAGCCCTACCTTCCATAGGTTGCCTCACTAAAATTTGTACTGGTCCTCTAGCTCTAGAATGTATTTTGTCATCCACCATGTGTTTCAAACGTTGATAATAAGTAGGACCCAAGAATACTTGAGCATTGATTTTTCGGCCTGTATGTCCATTGTACATAACCTCATTTCCACGAAGATGATAACCATACTCTTGCAACAAGGAAGAAATTTTTTGTACATTAACTGCATCATTAAATGGAGTAGCATCACCAATTTCTCCTTTATTAGATGACACTTTACCTTGAATACATTCAATCAAGTGACCAATAGTCATACGGGATGGGATGGCGTGTGGATTAATAATAATATCAGGGGTTAACCCCTCACAAGTAAATGGCATGTCCTCTTGGCGATATTGAATTCCACAAGTTCCTTTTTGGCCGTGACGCGATGCAAACTTGTCTCCAATTTGGGGAATACGTACTGAGCGTACTCGAATTTTGCAAAACTTATATCCCTCACTGTTTAATGTTAACATTACTTGATCAACAATACCAGTTTCACTGTTACGCAAGAATGTAGATGCATCTCTTTTTGAATAGCGTTTTGTGGTACCTTCTAATTCATCATCATTTTCTGGTAATGTAATGGTTTTTCCAATAACCACATCATCACCAGAAACTCTTATACCGGGAGCAATGATACCATCATCATCAAGTTTGTCATACAAGGCATTTCTCATTCCTTGACATGTTTGTCTTGTCGGTTTTTCAAATTGTTCTTCTTGATCTCCAATTCTTTTTGATTCTGAATCTTTGTATGATCTGTAGAACACAGATCTAAAGAAGCCTCTCTCAACTGCTGAAGCATTCAAAATAACACTGTCCTCTTGATTGTATCCTGTGTAACAAAGGATGGCAACAATTGAATTGATACCTGCTGGTAATTCTCTAAACCTCAAATACTCCATTGAACGTGTTGTAACCAATGGTTTGTGCGGATAGTATAAAACATGTGCAAGAGTGTCCATTCTCACATGGAAGTTAGTGATGTATACACCCATAGCTTGTTTCCCCATAGCACTCTGATAAGTGTTCCTAGGGCTCTGATTGTGATCAGGGAATGGAATAATAGATGCACAAACACCTAATATCATAGCAGGATGAATTTCACAATGAGTGTATGTGGTACAATAGGCATACTCCTTTACTTGTGCTAAATCATCAGGGCTCATAGCTATCATTACCGTTTCCTCTTCCAAAGTATCAATGTATTCAACTACACCACTTGCTACCAAATTTTGCCATCCATAATTGTTGAAGTCTCTTTCCTTAAGGTCATCAATATGTTTTTTCTTGAGTAATAAGGCTCCATTTTCAACTATCAATAATGGGCGACAAATTCTTCCAGCATCAGTATAAATTCTGATTTCCCGATCTCTTATGTCACGAATCATGCTCACTTCTGATACAATAATGTCCATTTGACGTCTTAATTTTCTCAAAGTAGCCATCAATTGTTCAGGATCTCTGTGGATGCCAACCCAACACCCATTCACAAATATTTTTGTGGCGTCAGCTATGGCTGAAGGTGCAATTTCTTCTAAATTTTCCATAGACCATTCTTCCAAGAACTCAAGAATTGGCGAAGGTTGACTACCCACAGAAATGTAAGCCATCAAAGCTAGATTTTTTACTAAACCTACAGCAGCACCTTCAGGAGTTTCTGCAGGACAGATCATTCCCCACAAGGTATTGTGCAACTGACGGGGTTTAGCTAATTTGCCATCTCGCCCGATGGGAGAGTTGACACGTCTTAAATGTGACAGTGTAGAGGCAAAGGTCAACCTGTTTAACACCTGTGATACACCAGCTCTAGCTTGGTGAGCTTTCTTTTGATCACCCCAATTACCAGTAGCCAATGAATATCTAAGACCATCTGTAATAATCTTAGTTTTGATAGCTAATTCTAAATTAAAGTCCTTTCCCCTGTCAATAAATTTCTGAGCATACATTCTGACTTCTTTTAGCAGGTTTTTGAATAAACCTCTAAATAAAAATGCTAGTAATGGACCAGCCAGATCTAAACGTTTATTTCCATAGTGATCCCTGTCATCAAGCTCACGACGACCCAAAGCAGCCAATAACAACCTGTGAACCATGTAACCCAAAAAATATGCTTTCTTAGTTTCACAAAAATCTGAAACTCCAACATGTGGTAACATTTCTTTTTGCAAGATTTCCCTAGCATATTTAATACGCTTCTCTTTTGTTACCCCAGGCCGCGCACCACGAGCACCAATAAAGTTAAGTGCCACATTCTGTTCTTGAATCACAAATGCTTCGTCAAGAGAAGGTTTCACCATTTCCATCATTTCAGGATCATCAAAATCATATATAATGTGTTCCAAAATATCTCTGTCTGCCACAAATCCCAGAGCCCTAAATACGATCATAATTGGAATTTCTTGCTTAATATATGGAACAATTGCAATTATTCTTTGTCCAATAGCAGATTTTTTTATATTTTGTCCTCCACGAGCCATCATGTTCACCCAAAGAGTTGAAGTGGGCCTAGAGCTATGCTCAAGACAAGAACGAATCTCTGTTTTATAAGCAAACTTTCCATCTTTCATACTGAAGACATAGACAGTATTTGTGGCCATCTTTTCTTGGGCAATTAATACTTTTTCAGATCCATTAATAATAAAATAACCACCAGGGTCAAGGGGACACTCATTCAGTTCAGAGAGATCTCTGTCAGTCAAATTATTTAGTAGACAATAAGTAGACCTCAACATGATAGGGATTTTACCAATAAAAGTTTTTTGATGTTGTGTTTCAACAGGATCTTCATGTTCCTTTACAATGGTTTTTGTTATGTCTACATAAAGAGGTGCAGAGTAAGTCAAATTACGAAGACGCGCTTCATTTGGCATCATAGGTGATGGCGCACCGTCTTTCTCCCAGTGAGTAGGTTTCGAAAGGTAAATTTGGTCAAATTTTAGAAGATATCGTGGAGGGGTTTCTATTTCACCTGATGAATGTTGAGCTTCAGCTTGTAACTCTATTGGTGGAGAATCTTCTACTATACGCTGCACAGACATTTGAATAAATTCATCAAAACTGTCTAGCTGCTGACGAACTAGACCTTTTTCGTCGAAATAAGCGTTGATTACAATCCAACAAGCTTCTTGCCATAGTTCTGATGATATTTCTTCCACATCAATTTCCTCATATTGATCATCTTCGGTATCATACATGATATGAGTGGAGAACTATTAAGTTCTCCAATACATGAACTGTACAAATAAAAAATGCAATTTTTTATTCTAGCGCACGTAGTTCTCACAGGACAGGATAACTAAGTTTTGATTGACATACAACCACAAAATGGCGGTCTATATAGTGTAGTCCTATTTTTTTTTTAATTATTTTTATTCATGACCATAGATACAAGTCTTTCAGTCGAAAACATAGATGGGTTTAAACTTACTTAGGAAGTCTAGTCCTATCATGATCAGTGTTGCTATGTTACCTTAAAATTTTTTTAATAAAGAATATAAAGGTTGGTTCCAATTATGCGTTGTAATTTAAAAACTATTATAAAGGTTAAATTACTTTAGTTAACGCTCAGACAGATATGTGCAACAACTATACAATTAACAATATTTTAAGTCAGTCATGAGTACTAATCTAATGATATCAGGGCTTTCTGTTACGATGTTTATTTATTAAGTTTACTAGTTTAATTAGAGTAATTAACAATGATATTTACGTAAGTAATATACAAAGTTTAAAAACAGAATAATAAAGTACCATTTTTGCATTTTATTTCTCATTCGGTACTTTCATTGAAGACATTACTATCTCTTCGGTATTCACTTACAAAACCACTGTGGTTTTTATAATTGTAAGTATTTAAGTAAATAAGTTAGGAATGTAATTTAAAAAACTTGGACGTGATCGAGTCGACATTAACAGACATTCACAACCTACATAGATAAAAGACATTAACGAAAGACACATAAAAAATTCAATTGCAATTAATTACGTGTCATACTAACCTTTTTCTAAAAGAAATCTAGATAATCAGCAGTACGCGAAAATGTATCTTTTGAGTAAGTAAAATGACTTGCAGGTAAATTGGTCATTCATACCGCTTTCACAAAGTGGGAATGGTGAGCGATTTCTAGTAGTACTATTAATTTTATTAGTACTTACTCTTATTAATATTGACCTTTACGAGGTTTTGAAAGTTGAGAAACAATATTTTACAAAAGAGGAGACTTGCTAGCGTTGTTCACCTTGTGAATAACTTGTTGCTCATTTTTAATATCAAATCATTTTATTTAACATTGACTGAATATTTTTACGTCTACCTTTAATGAATTCCTTATTGTCTTGTCTAATTCTCTTTTCAAAGTTGATGCACCAACTTCAGGGTTCACCAAATTCTTAAAAATCGTTTTTATCACGATATTTAGTAAATTCGATTCCAGCACCTTATACCTCTCTTGCATTATCAAAATAAAATGTTGCATATTAATAATTGATTAAATAAAAAACAGTAGCAGTGAGTTGTGAAGCAAGTTTGTGATTAAAAAGTATTTTTTTAGAATATTTGTTAAATTTAATATATTTTTTATTTTTACATTGTGTCTTCTGTATGCACTTACTTACTATACTTTTAAACAGCTGAAACAACTTTAATTATTTTTTTCGATTTTCACTGGATGGTTTATAATAAATAAATTCTCGAAACTCTCTTAAAATGTATTTTACAATAAAATATAAAAATATTTAACTTAAAATTGAAATTGTTGAATTGAAAAATTAAAAAGTTTGCTTTTACTTATGTGTGTAATCTTCGGACATTAAAACAATCTCTGGCCGATCTTAATATCTACACTCCACCTCATGCCTCATCACATCAGCCTCATAAATAATTATAAATAAAATATTTCAGAATCCTTATGGAGAAATATGGCTACTTTAGAGAAATAATGAATTATTCTAATTTTCATTTATTTATGTACTGGTGTTCCTAACGCTTTAAATTTAATTATATTTATTAATAAAAATATCAGGATACATCTTAACAAGACTATTATTATATGATTTACAAAATTTATCGATCGAATCGATCATCAGTCATCCCTAGTAGATGTTTTGTTTGAGCATAGTTTGATTGAGAACAACCTGTTCAACTTTAATTTGGCGATTTTTGAGATGATTCATTCGGACTGAAGTGTGTTGGATTGCCGTTTTACTGTATATTGAGTTGCATTTATATAATATAATGGATCCTTCAAGAAGGAATAATACAGATGAACAACGGTGTATTATTGGCCTACAAGATTTGAAGATATCCAATAAAGTTGAAGATGTTACTGAGCAAGCGCACGGTGCTGTAACATCGAACTCAAGTTCTCTTGCCAAAACTCGACCTGTGGGCGCAATAGAGAGCTTTGTTCTGGATAATAGCCAAAATAATCGTCAGGATTACAGCTTTTACGAACGATCAAATGTTATTGCTGCGTCTAAGTTCGCTACACCCAAACGAGTAGAAACTATTGCGTCGATCAATAAACGCGATATAAACACTGCAGCTCTGCCCTCGAGTCCAACGCGTTCTATCGATTCCATATCACAAAGGTCACTCAGCTATCAAACAGATGACCTATACGAGATTCCAGCTATTCCAAATGCTCACTTGCCACCACCAGTATATGAAAATGTAGATTATTACGGTGAACAGCGATCGCCGCAGCCGCCCTATTATCATCAGCTGTACCAACAAGCGCCCCCGCCACCAGTTTCAGACGGTTACTACGATACGCGTTACAGTAAAGCTCAACCCCAAGTGCCAGTTAATTCCAAGCCTAAGCTAAATCCATTAGTGTATGAAAATATGTTGTGCTCAGATAATGATAAAAAAAGTGAATTCAAACCTCAACAAAATCATGATCAACGTTTTATACAGCAGGGCTCAGTGCCAGGTCCCCAAGTACCTAACACTAGTATCACCAGGAATATACAAATGACAACAAGTGAGAAAATCAAAACAGATAAAGCCCTACCACCACCACCATATAATGCATGTCAAGACAATCCCAGCAGTGATTACACAGTGATGAAGTCTGCTCCCCCAAAGTACACAGATGTCAGCGCCTTTTTGAAGAATGACAATACAATTGATGACAAAATTGTAACTATACCCTCTACAGCAATTTATGCATCAATAGCACCAAGTGCTCAAAGGCCTAAAGCAAATATTGCTACTGAGGTTCAGACAGCTACAGCTAGTCCTAAGTTTTTCCACCCTAAACCCAATATTTCAAACAGTATTGCAAAAGAAAAGCCTTTGTTAAATGGGGGATATAACCCGAAATCAGTGATAGTTAATAGAATGCACATAGTGGAAGACACCAATGGTTCTGATTATGTTTGTATGATGGGAGGTTCACCAGCAGCAGCTGTGGCTACAGTAAACAGAGACAATGTGTCAATTGCCTCTGAATCCATAGGTTCTCGCAATTTAGTATCAGGTCTAACATCTTTATGTTCTCCTGCACAGTCACCTGCTCCTAGTCCTACCCCTAGCTCTGTCTCTCAGGTATCTGGAGGGTCTAGAGGTTCTGGTGGCAGAAGCAAAAGTTTATTACCATACAGCATTACTCCACCACGTCCATCAGGGCCTAGTGAAGCCCAGCGGAAAATAGAAGAGCTTACTAGACAGCTTGAGGAAGAAATGGAAAGACAGGATGAGGAGGGTGAATACTTTGGTAAGAAAGTAAATCTTTATAAATATTGAGAAACATTATAATATGAAAAAAAAAACACAAAATACAATTTGTAAACAAGAACATTTAAATATACCTTTCCTTTATTATAAAACTATTGCCTTTCACCAAATAAACAATATTGCATTATAACCTTCATTTAAATAATATGGCAGATTGTATATAACTTCAAAAGGCACAAATTTAATTAAAAAGAAATAACACATTAATAAAATAAATATGAAAACTATTCAATTACTAAGGTGTCCACTAGATATTAATTTGAATTTCATTAACCAAGTTGTTATATATATAACACATCATCGTTTAGAAATAGCCAATGTTTAATTGATTTACCCAATTATAATGATTATTTACAAAGATGGTAAACTGAGAAAGACCAATGAAGACCTTAAACATAATAATGATGTTATCGGCAATTTAATACTGCTTCCAAATATTTTTTTAATGTCAACATTTTTTTGTCAGGTATCTGTCATACGTGTGGTGCTGGTGTAACAGGTGCAGGTCAGGCTTGTCAGGCAATGGGTAATCTGTATCACACTAACTGTTTCATCTGTTGCTCATGTGGACGGGCACTTAGAGGCAAAGCCTTCTATAATGTGCATGGCAAAGTGTATTGTGAGGAAGATTACTTGGTTAGTAATTTATCTAAGCATTCTTTACACTACATGATTTTACATTGACTTCACTTTAAATTGTGTTGTTTCAACAGTACTCTGGGTTCCAACAAACAGCTGAAAAATGTGCAATATGTGGACATTTAATTATGGAAATGGTAAGTCATTTCTTAACTATAATATACCTATTGTAAGAATCAAGTAGCTCAATTTATTGTGAAGGTGGATTTAATATTTCTTCTCAATTTTTTTATAGATTTTGCAAGCAATGGGCAAATCATATCATCCAGGTTGCTTCCGATGTTGTGTATGTAATGAATGCCTTGATGGGGTGCCCTTCACTGTGGATGTTGACAACAAGATATACTGTGTCAATGACTATCATCGCATGTTTGCACCAAAGTGTGCTAGTTGTGGCAAAGGTAATGGATCCAATATCCAAACCCAAAATATTTTTATAAACCACATTACAAGGCCCAAAGTGTGTACACAATAATTACTTAAGCAATTACTTCATTATATATCTATACTTAAATTGTAAAGAGAGATAAGACATTCCAATCATATCAGTTTCAAGAAATTGTTTTATTGAACAAGTCTTTAATTGTTACAGGTATAACTCCTGTTGAGGGAACAGATGAAACAGTAAGAGTTGTGTCTATGGATCGAGATTTCCATGTCGACTGCTACATGTGTTGCGTGTGTGGTATGCAACTCACTGATGAACCTGATAAACGCTGTTATCCCCTAGCAGGTAAACATAGATCTATAGAAAAGTTCCAAATTGAGTTTAATATACTAAAATATTAAAACTATAACAAATATTAGCTGACCTTTTTAAGTTTTATATAAATTTTGTTTATTGAATACAATGAAAAAATATCGACTGTTAATGTTTCAGGTAAATTAATGTGTCGAGCTTGTCATTTGGCCACAATTGGAGCAGCAACAGGGCCCGGTTTGTCACCAGCACCTCATCTCTCGCCTGCTTCTTACCAGTATATGGGTTGAAAAATTATTCTTTTGACTTGATCTATATTTAAGAAAAAAAAAACATGCATTAAACAAAGTTCATGATTTTTACAAGTGCTCAAAATTCCTATTTTAAACCATGCATCTGTTAGCATTTAATATTATTAGCTTTAAAGTAGCTATTGTAACTACTATAAACTCAAGTATAATGATTATAAAAATGTTGTTATTATTCATAAGTAGACAAATTACTCAATATAATGTGATTGTATGTAATTGTAACATCAAAACATTATTTGGTAAGTAGGTCATCCCCACTTTAATATGTAAGAGACATTAGATATAATTCAGTCTATAGTATGATAAAAATGTTTTCAATTTACATTCAATTGTAAACATTTTTATTATTTACTTAAAGTTAATAACTTACATGCAATATTTATTGTTTGCGAGTGAAAATTGATAATAATAATGTAATGTTAATGATTGTGTACCTAATTGCTTAATGAATATGCTATGTGATTTGATAGAGCCAACAGCAGATTTGCTTACAATATTTTGTGATATTTAAGTTTTATTATTTCATACATCGTATTTAAAAAACAATTCCCTATGATGTTATATTGAACTTTATACTAAATTGTGTAGGCCTAAAGTCAGTGTTAGGATTTTGTATCGTAAATTAATTGAAAGCTATTTTCATCTTTTTTAATTGATATACAAATGATTAAGAAGTAGCAGTTTGGTGGTCCAGGTATTATGGCTGCTAGTAAATTTGCCATTGACATGAAGTGCATTTATTAATTTTTACACACTAGACATGACAGCACTTCTGGTTATTTTGCAATATTTATATATTTTACATAAAACATGCTTAGTGATGACAAAAAAAACCTATGTACTTTCATGGGGCCTGCACATTAGTATTGTGTTAGGATAAAAGATGTAATAAAACATTCCAGTTATGTGCTGTCTTGTTTTGTACTTAATATAATTAAATATTAGTTGTTTTTATATGTACATTTTGATGAAAAAAGTAATGTGATTATTATGTAATTAATTATTTTATATGAAATAAACATGATTTTGTTTAAATAAGTTTTTAATTGTCATTAGTACTATTTTCCTTAATTGATTAATTTTTTTAATTTTTTAGATTCAATTTAAAATATGTCTAAGATGCTAGTGTTTCTTTTTCACCTTGTTCTTTAAGTTTCTCATTTCTGACTTGTATCGTTTCATTTCTTCCATCACTTGTGTTCGTTTTTTCTGTTTAAGTGTTTGATACTGTTGCTTGCCTTCATTGAAGCGGTCTTGAATTGTACCTTTTTTTTCATTGTACATTTCTTTGAGCCGCTCCCTTGAAGGCACAGGTTTAATCCATCCCATTGATGTTAATTTTTTAATTGCATATGTAGTTCCACCTAAAAGATTATATTATTTGAATATGTCTATATTTTTCTAAGCTGTAGTACATCATCTGTTTCCTTTAATGCTTCAATATCCATTATATTTGTATGAGCATACAATATCATATTTTTTTAATATAGAAAAGACTACAAGCACTTCTTATATTATAAAATATAAATGGTGGAAAGGCAAATAAGTACCAGGAAACATGGTGGCTGTCTTACAAAAGAGCACATAGAATAGTTGAAAGCATAGTTACAGCAATTTATGGCTTTAAAGGCCTTTACTACTTTGTAAGTAAAATAGAAGATTTATAATTACCTACTGTGACTGCATATCGCAGTGGTGTCACTAACTTGTATAATGCCAATGCAAGAGCAAAATAACCTGCAGTGGACTCTCTTAACGGAGATAATATTGACTCACTGATGCCTAGCGATTGCAGTATACCTATAACATCGATACCACTGCAACAGAGTTAAAGTTTTTGGAGATAGCAAATATTAAAAAAACAAATAATGCTATGAGGTTTTGCACTCACCTTCGTACAGCATAGTAAAAGCAACCAAACCAGACGCAAGATGTAGCCATGTGTACGGGTAATACCACATACCAATAATCCTTATACATTTCTTTTAACCTCTTGAGAAGTCCTGTTTTACCTTCATTTTCTTGAGGTTTGTCTGATGAACCATGGTGTGTAGAGCACTGTCTCAAAGGATTGAAAAACAAGTTTACTTGTTTTGTTTCGCACTTATGAAAATATCTTTTCTGATAGCAAATACCACTAGCGAGAATCCTTGTTGTATCATTTCTGACAATACTAAATTTCACCGGTTTAGTTATATTCTGTAGATAATAACAATTTCTAACGATTGTCCGACATGCTAAAGACATGTTAAAAAAGTATGTATAAACGGTTGGTTGCAAAAAAAAACTTATTAACTATGCATTTTCTATTACTATTCGCATGTAAGTGATTTTCTGATCGACTTTGTCAGATTCTGCTCGGTTCTCTGACTTTAAGTTGTTAATGTCAAGTATTTAGTCTATGGTAAAAGAATACAGAAATTAGAGATGTTACGGTCTGTAATTGTGTCAAACCGTGTGGAATCGGTAAGACAATTCATGTGAATCGGTTCAAAACGGTACAGTTGAAATTGCAGTAAACCACAAGCAGTAAAAGTCAAGTGACTATTTGTCAGATTTAAGGAAGTGTAAATTTCAGTCAGTAAGTGATATAAAAACATGAGTAAAGCCCGTGTTAGCGAAGTTAGGACTTATTTTACAATTTGTGACACTGAAAGTATCATTAATATTATAAGTAAATCAAAAACTATGAATCATAACAGTTGGATTATCTTGCCAGATCCACCCAGTCCATATAGTTACAATTTTCTTTTTGTTAGTCTAATTCATTCGCCAAACATTCGCTTCGTTTCTTGTGAAAACGAATGCGAATGGCAATAAATAGCGTGAACGAGTGCGAACGTTCGTGCATCACTAGTCTGCAATATGTCACTGTGATATGTAATACTCTAAAACACCTATTTAGGTAATTACTGTTAACACCTTAATGAAATATTTATTAAAATATATAATATAAATAAAATACAGGTATATTGTTTATCTAAAAAATATGTAAGTAAGTGTATTTTGAAAATAAATATATTTTGATACCCATATTATAATATAGTAAAGTTGAAGGGTGTTTTCTTTTTGTGTTTAATCTGTAGATGTAAAACAACCGATTTAAAACGTTTTGAATAAAATGTTGTCGTTTTAAACTCCAAATAAATCGTTGTCTGACGTCATCTTTCGTTTTAATTAGTTTATAAAAAACCAATAGAAAGTTTCTACCTACATTACCTACTACACGAAAACTTAAGTTTGTAGGTGTACCTATACTGTTATTAATTATACTATTATTATGATAAGACTATACTACGGAACATCTTTAAATGCAATATTTTTATGCCCGCTCCGATCCTGCCGGCCGCTGCCACCCAGCTTGACAGTCGTTGGGTATTTTACACATCTAATATCTTCTAAAATATTGATTTTTGAATTTTAATCTACATTCAATAACCCTTTATTTTTTGTACCTTATATTTAAAAGAAATGGTTACTGTAGGTTATTTTTAGGAGATAGACATTTACTATCGCGGACTTTTTTTGTATATCTTTTTGAGATATACAATTTCGCAGTACGATATTTTGGCCTATCTCGTAAGGTTTAGCCAGCGTTTGCAATGTAAGTGTACAAAAACTTCTTTTTTCAACAAATCTTAAATTCTCTGATTTCGTCTGCTATAGTATGAATGTATTATATATCTAAACCTTCCCCTTAAATCATTCTCTCTATTGGTAAAAAGCGCATTAAAATCCGTTGCTTAGTTTCAAAGATTTAAGCGTACAACACTAAAAAGTGTCTTTATACTATGTAAAAAGATATTACACACTAGATTAGAAGACATTATTAACACAATGCCGTCCGTTTTACTTGCGCAAGAAAAACTCAACATTATGTCTTCAAGGCCGTCGCGCTAGTGTCGCCGCCGCGAGTAACGACGTCAACAAGAGTGTAAGTTTGGTTTTAAACCGAATCACTTTGATTATTTATATTGTTTGAAAACAATGACAACAATGTTTATTTACCAACACAGTTTTTAACTTAACAATAGAGTTTTTATAATTTAGGTAGGTAATACCTACGCTTGGTCGGACAGACCAACGAGAACTAAACCCGCAAAGTATATCAATATCAGTATAACACACATATAAAAAATCTTTACACAGTTACTCCGTCATATCCCTACCTCAATAAAATATAGTTATAATTAAGAAAAACATATATAAATACAAATGGTTTATTTCGGTTTTAAACGGGTTTTTTTCGTTGTAAACGGATTGGTTTAATTGGACCGGCCTAACATCTATAGTTTAAACGCTCTTATCTCTGAAACTATCAATCTTTCAATCATTCTTCATATATCAGATAGAGAATTCATTGAGGAATTCATACGTTGGATAACATTTCACGAAGATCTTTAGGAGCGGAGCAGTGACCATTGCGAAACTGAGGAGATCGACTCGTTTTAAAGGAATAGGTACTTATTTAATACAAACATAATACATTAAGTTACTTTTATAGTGCGCCGATGTTACATGCACATGCATAGACCCGTGTACAAAAAACACGTAATCGCTTTCATGAAACATACCTTCCTAATTAACATTTCAGTATTTTTATTAATATTTAACAAGAATTACAATTTAAAAAGAAAATGTACCACATAACTTCTACAAAATATATTTATGTACTATAATAATGTACATATCTTGGCAAACACTTAAAAACATCAGGAATTAAAACATAATGTGCTTTATTCTTGTATCAAAAATAATATCTAGTCGCCATCATAATAAGATAAACGCTTCCTATTAAGTATAGTGAATTAATTTTACATAGGTACCTACTTAGTACAAGTATATTTTTTATCATAACAAAATTTGAATAAACCGTTCCATAAAACAACAAAAACTAATCAATCTAACACAAAGTAGTAAAAAAATAAATAGAGATTCTCTAAAATAGCCTAAAAGTTTGTAAGAAGTTCATGCACAGATTAGCAATAATTAGTGAAGAGTACTTACATCTTATTTATTAACTTTAAATTATTAACTGTAAACGTTGTTATTAACTTTAAATGATATACTATTAACTTTATGATGTAGGAATTTTAGTCTCGAAAATTACTTAACAATAATATACCAACCAAAATCAAGTGGTAAGTATATTAATATACCACTTGAGTTACATAGATTGGAAAATTACTATGATGGCCAACCAGTGATTCACAGGACCGCTATTGCATACACACAAAGATCATTAATGCCCTTCCTTACCTACTAATTTTTAAGAACCATGCTTACTACTAATCGCTTAGGTATATAATAGGTACGCGTTTTGGAAGATATTGAACACTGATATATAATATGTCTACATCTAATTAAATATGTTTTAGAGATATGTAGAAATTTTCTTCATTTAAAAGATATGCAAAGAGAAGAAGATACATTGTATTAAGAATACCTAACTATTATATTGTTAATGGAGAACTTAATTTTACAGTTTGTTTCTATTATTATTAAGCTAAGATTTTTTATATTAAATTTTTGGATTTCTACTTATTCCTTATCAATATTCAGCACGGCACCTTTGCCATCATCATTCTTATTTTGCCACCCAGTGCTGCCTGTTCGTATCTTACTTCTAAATGACATTATTTTATCTTGCAACTCATGTTTCATAGGATTCGTTGTATACATGCATACTTATAGTATTAACTGCCTTTATGTGAGCATCCAGTTTAATAGGCTGTTTACACGCATGGCGAGCGGCGACAAGCGTTCACAAACACAAGCGTGTAAACGGGGTGTTTTGCTCGCGTATGCTCGTCGTCGATCAGTACTAGTATCGGTTATTAAACACAGATCAAAGAAAGCTCGCGGCAAGCGTTTGCGACGTATTTACACGTTGGCGCGTGCGTTTGTAAAGACTTGGAGCTTGTGGACGTTTGCCAAGCCTCCGCACACATGTAATGCCTAGTTTACATGCGTGCAAGTGCATGAACAAGCAAGCGGCAACCTGTTAATACGTCGCAAACGCTTGCCGCGAGCTTTCTTTAATCTGTGTTCAATAACCGACACTAGTACTGATCGACGACGAGCATACAAGAGCCGAGCCAAACACCCCGTTTACACGCTTTTGTTTGTGGACACTTGTTGAGGCTCGGCATGCGTGTACACGGTCTATAAAGTAGGCATAATAGTTTGACGCATTTAAACAAATTATGACGAAAAGGAATAGGAACAGAAAATCAGTTAGTCGTTTTAAAAATCATTTCTAACTAAGTGGCACTTTTGTTAAATATTACCGACGAGGGAAGCATGACTATGGCAACTTGTAGGCTATTTTAATCCATATCCTATACTTTAATGGTAAAGCTGTTTTCAAAAACTATGTGTTTCGACTTCGAAAGATAAAGAAGGCGGTATAACAGGCAGGACCCAGTGTAAAGTTAACAAGAAATAACTGTTTTTTATGATCAGTACGATCACGGATATAAATGCAACTTATATTTTTTGGTGCAGGTTGGGTTAACAGTATGCTGAAATAAACATAAATCAAGTCTGATATAGCCCAAATTCGCTTATAGGTACGCGTTCCGTAATTATCATTTAGGTACACTTTACTTTAGAAGCTGAAACAATTATTCACTAAGTACTTATGTCTACAATTAAACATAATCAACAATTTGTAATATCACAGCTATTTTACAATATTTGCATCATGATTGCTATGAGCAGTAGCAATATAGTTTCAGTTGATAATCATGCATGCAACTACTTTGATCACCGTATAAGTTAAGTCGGCTGATTGAGCCAGATAAACTCCACTTTTCGTCTCTGTACCGCAATGTACCCTCGAAAACACCGCCTCCAGGTGATGTTCGTACAACAGCCATATACTCCCGCCAACCTATTTCATTTTTTCTTGGCGTGCCAGCCACCATTTCTGTTACTTCTAGCACTTGTTCAAGTCTTAGTAATGCACATTGGGGATATTCCTCCAAAAAAATATTCAAATGCGTCACAAGTTGTTCGCCTACGTTACGTGCCTCAGTGCTTTCTGAGAGCATTTTTAATTCCTTATGACAAGTGCACCAGTGGTCATCGATGTCCGCCATTTTACAAGTACGATTACTAGGTATAGGTAGAAACAAACTTATGCATCTGTTATGTGCATAAGATGTTTCAGAACGTTTTTCAATATTTTGGTCGCTTATGGCGTCCAAGTTGATCAAATCGGCTAGCGTTGTATATATATCAAAAGGTGTAGTTAACCGCTTACTGTTTAGTTTGATATTTCTATATGCTAAACTGTAATTTTCTTGGAATGACGGCGGTAACAATATATGTACTAACGGCAGGCGTTCCTCTAAACGTCCTTGCTTTGTTAATCTTATTGGGCCCCACCTTATACCATGATCGCTAAGTAACATTATAACTGTGTTATCTAAACGATTAGAATGATCAAGTCTTTCAAAAAATGATTTGTAGCTGTCGTCCATCGCCATTGGATAATTTAAGTAGTCATGGCTCATTGTCACTTCCCAGAAGAACCCAAAAAGTTTTGATAATCTCAGCGTGGACATCAAATCTTCAATGTAATCCAATAGTACGTTATAAAAATATTTATTTCCCATACAAATGAATGAATTGAAATCCTTAGTGTTGCCCGTATTAGCTTCAGCTTCATGTATAAATGTACGAAGATAGTAATCTGTAGGAGACTTGATGAAACCATATTTTCCAAAGTTAAAAGTACTTAGATATCCACTATCTTCACCGAGCGCAGTATAAAAGCCAGCCTCTCGAAACCACTCCCAAATAAAAGGACAGTTATCAAAGTTGGCAAAATGGTTAGGCCAGCAGATCCTCTTTAAGTCAGTTTCTTTGACACCCATCAACATAGGTATTAAGTTTGGAAATGTATTGTCACCCACTTTATTGTAACCTAACAGCTCTATAGCACCTTTTTGTTTTAGAAAGGCCAAGGTCTTCGGCATTGTTCTATAGAAATTTAATCTGGATATAGCGTCTATTCCCATAACAATCACGTTATAGTAAGGAGCAGAGCCTGGTGATTTCAATTCAGATTTCATAGTTTCACCTCGGGAAACTTTCGATTTCGTGCGAGCAAATAGAAAATACTGTTTGTGAAATATTCTTTGATCAACTACGCAACGAACCCTAACAAATTCGTGAGCTACCTTTATATAGTTATTGAAATCCACACAAGCTTCGTATCGAGCCCTGTTGTCTGCTGTTATTGAAAATACATCTTCGATCGACGACGGTCTGTGGAATGCCTCATAACAACAAGAGAACGACTCATCTTCCAGCGATACGTTATAATATTGTAGCATATCCATATCTACCCATATATGGGTTCTGTTGTGTAGTAGAAGAGTATAGTTGGCATTTGGGCAACTTCTCAACCCAGTAGGAGGCTTGTTAAACGATTTTATAGATTCATCTAAAGGTATTAAAAAAGGGATAGTGCAACCTTCTGTTTTTATCGTGTACCTTTCTTCTTGTTCAATGTCGTAGCGGTGAAATTCTAGGGAAGTGAGGGGTTGATCATTGTTAAGAAGTAATATTTCAGTGCGATTCGTAATAGAAATGATAAGAAAACTGCCAAAGAATAGCGTGGCAAGGAGGAAAATATATTTGAGACGTGTTGACTTTGACCATAACCTTGCGCCACTTTTCACCAGCTGCGCCATACTGAAATAAAAAATGAATAAATGTTAATTAGAAGATCTAGAAAGGATCGTTGGTTGGAAGAATCCTGATACTGTCAGTGTCATGATGCCATACATGCTGTGAAATGACATACCTTCTCATGATAGTAAAAAAATGTGATCAAGACAGCGAGTCTCGAAACAAACGGGGTATCCTTAGACACATTTTATCATTGACAAACTTTCTTGTTTCCACGACTCACTCGAGTCGAGTTAAATATAAGAGAAAGCCTACCGTGTCTTCATAAAGCGTAAAACAGGGCGTTGTGATTTATTATTATTATCTATTTCAGATTCAGGAAAAACAGTATTTCAGTTTTGTTTTGCCATTATTCATAAAATAAAAATTACTACTAAAAACTATTAAAAATTATTAATAAATTATTATAGCGGCGGTAACTCCCGTTATGGAGGACTTTTTCGAGAGGAAACACGAGATCCTTTCATACCTGCTGACGCAGGTAATCAGAGCAAGGAGGGACACAAGAGGGGGCTTCAAATTCAAAGTCAAAATATCTTTATTCCATGAAATTTCTTTTAAAATTCCTTGAAATCGTCTTTTATTTAAATCTAATTTATTTAAATCTCTGGGATTAAATCTAGGAGCATCGCATTTAAAGGAGCCTCGCGAGGTCCATTTATGTGCGAGGCTGTGGGCGACCACCTTCGCCCATTCCTAGCTACGCCACTGCTCCAGCTGGTATTCGATGAGAGAATTATCTAAAAAACTTGGCCACCTTTTCAGGAGGTCGTTAGAAGGTCTCCCGATTGCAACAGATTTTCCGGGTCACCATCTCATATAGGCTTATTATGATACATGAGTATAATAATATATGTAATTATGTATTATTTAGCTTTGGCTTGCGGATTCGTCCGTATTAAAGTATATTATATCAACCAACTATAATTATTGATTTTTCTTTCCCCAGCAAACAAAACTTTTAGTAAGATGAAGGTAAAAACGAAACTTTTTGGTATTTGTATTTCCTGAGTATTTGTTGTCTGTTGTGTTTGCATTTTTTTGTGAATTTTACAAAAAAAGTGGATTGTAACGTGCAAAGTAATGCAATGACAGCCTTTATGTAGTAGCTATAAAAAAGTATAGACGTTAATAAAAACCTAAGTACATGAGTTGTAACACTGTTAAAAGGCAGGTAAAGGCACATTTCGCTAGAATTATTTAAGGACGCTGCCTGACAAAGAAGAGAATTCCCTGACAGTACTAAAAGTTTGGCTATCTTCTGAGCACGTCGGTATCCTTGAATATTAACTATATTTTTGAATATTAACCGGAATTAATATTAATAATATTATTTTTGAAAGGTTACCCACAGGTTGTCGTAAACCTTTAAACTTTCAGTTATCCTTAAGTCCGCTCTGTGCAAAAAAAGCTTTTTAATTAAGTTCTCCCACCTAGATTAACTACGTCTTTGCTAAAAAGACTTTAGTGTAAAAAAACAAATATCCTTTTATTCCCTTAAATCGTTTCTGAGTGAAAATCTTTTAACCGTCTTTATTAATTCTTTAACCGAATAACACCTAATAACACAATCCAAAACCTTTCACACAGAATTGAGAAAATCTCTTAAACCAAATGATTCTTAAGTGGTGTTGGTGGTTAATAAATAAACTACACGCATCAATTTTGATAAATTTCTTCTTCATAGGTCGAATTTTTTTTCTAGATTTTGTGTTCATATTTGGAGTCTATGAGTCTATCATAGATCCTTACTAAAAACGAATGAACAAGAAGCATGATTTATAAATTTATTATATTATCTATTTCTCCTAACTATTTAAAGCAACAGTATCTATTTATATAATAAGTATAATAGTAGCTGTAGTAACATTTGCCAATTCAATCAATTAATTTGCCATAGTAATGACCATCACCATCACCAATGACAAGTGACCATCGCCGCCCATGAACGTCTGCAACACAGGAGTCACAAACGCCGGCATGGGTTAGTAGGCCAAAACCTCCTTTCTAAGGAGAGGCCTATATCCAGCACAGGACTACTAAAGGCTGTTGGTGATGATGTATATAAATATGTAATATGTATAATATGTAATATGTATTCATAATGTTGCATATTGAAAAATCGATATTAACTGTGTGTGATCATGAATTATTTTGAGTGCCGGATTAAGACAGCGCGGGGCCTGTAGCGAATTCTATCAAGGGGCCCTTGGGTTGTTTTAGGTTAACTAGTTTATCCACAGCCTCATGCCGCCCTGAGTGTGGCCGCGGGTGGACGGGGTGGGTTTCCCCTCCACCCGCATTAGTTGGCCAGCCGCGAGGGGGCGGCGTCCGCGTGTGCCGGACGTCGCCTAAAGAGAGGAACATCTACATTGAGACGGAGCCCGCACCAGGAGCGGGCTGGCGCTAGGAGGGGTCCGGATGTCTTAACAACAGCTGTTCCCGGATCCCTCCTGTTACAGGCGCAGAGTGGCACACCGTGTGGTTTTAGTCGGTCCGAGTCCGACACACCACCCCGCCGCAAACCCCGGAGGGGTGACGGTCCGAGGGGATTTCCACACGTTAAAAAAAAAAAAAAAAAAAAAAAGGTTAACTAGTTTATGGTATCCATCATCATCTTCAAAAGCCTATAGTAGTCTATTGCTTAAGATAAGGCCGCTAGGGTGAACTTTCAAGACTGGCAATGCGCCCGACCACTAAAGAGAGGTCTCTCTGTGTGTGGTGAAGTGGTCAGGCTTATGGGTGAACCTGGATAAGACGGAGGCTCTCTTATTTCTTGGGTCCCGTCGTGGTCTACCCCCGGCGAGTTAATCGCGGTGAACACGGTCATCGCACCGGTTCAGGCCAGTATGAAGTAAGCCTGATACTTGACGGGAGACGCCGAGCACTTCCGCTAGCTGACTCCAAAACTGGTCGGTACTGCATCTGCCCTTGGGCGACATATGCCCAATTCGGATGGACCCACAAGACGGTTGTACACCGGTGTCGACGGGGGTGACGTGCGCGCCGCCGAAACCAGCCTAATCGATTTGGAGGCGGAAGTACTCGCCGAAGTATATCGGTGGGCGGCTAAGTCTTGGGCGGGTAGCTCCCGCCCGAACAGAATGCATGAAGCCTATCGCTGAGCCACGATGGCTCGTTGGTCGTCTCGGCCAGAGGTTCCACGTGCTGGTTTTGCTTCCGTAGAGGCGCTCCATCCGGTCGTCTTCTAGTGGGCAGGGTGGCAGTATGGGACCTATTCCTTCCGACTGACGCAGGTCCTTTTCGGGCACAGCTCATTCTTAACTCGGTGGCTAGGATGGAATTGAGTCCCGCCTGTCATCACTGCGGTTGCACTGAGGACTCGGCAGCACACGCTGACAGTTTGCCCGGCTTGGGCAGGATTGGAAGTTTAAAATATAGTTGGGCATTTAGATATTCAACTTTTTTTTAGTGATACATCTTTTTCGTGATAAGAATTGTGGCTACATTGGTTAGAATATAAAAAATTTAAGTTGATACTTTTTAATGGTCAGAAAGCGTTGGTTGGGCCCTGCACATTACGACCATTAAAACCAACTATTACCATTTGTTACTCATGCTACGTGGCTAATCCGCTACTGATTGTTTTATTTTATAAATTTATTTTACTAATTTATTTTTCAAAATAATTGTGTACAACAGTCTGTGACCCAATATCTCGAACTAGGTAAACACCTGTATTCCGAGAGATAGTGCCCTTCTTAGCGTTACATTTTGAATACAAAATAAATTATAATAATAATAAACAGATGAAAGATATTGCAAGCTCGATTCGTAACTTGTGCTATTAATAATGAATTCTTGGATATATTACGCGTGGGTATTATAATTTAATAAGCAATTTTAGGACTTTAACTAAAAGTTACTTTTTCTAATCGATTAATAAAACCGATTGTAATTTTTAAATTAAAATATCACACACATAATTTTCTTTTTGAGAGTTTTATACATTGAGTATGTATAAAACTCTCAAAAAGAAAATTATTGAATGGCAAGATTATAACTACCAATTTATTATTTAGTATTTACCGCGATTTAACATAAAGAAAAAATAAATACCTATTAACATAATAAAATTCAAGGGGTTTAATTGTTTGAACAAGATAATCTAATTTCGATTATAAATTAAAATATATTATTTAAATAGGTATATTTTTGTATATAAATTAGTCTGCTTTGTAAAATTATTTTTGCATTAGGTAACGACTTATTACTGTAGATAATAGGTACTTAATATCAACTTTAACAAACTATCAAATATTGTCAGAGTCCATAAACGCGGGTAATCCGTGCGACTACTTTATGTATGAATGTTTATGTGCAGTTGACTGTACACACTGTACTGTATTATTTTATATTGTTATTAGAATATCTAGTATACACTTACCTTATCCAAGGAACTTCTGTGGAACGATTTGTCAACTAAAGAAACTGAAGATTAAAACACACTTGTCGAACATTTTGATATTTTTTAATGTTACTTGTCGAATTTGATGTCACGATTGGAGTTGTCAATTGATAGTATGTGGTATACATTATTCCGGTATGATTGGGTCACGGTTTCATAATCACAGGTTCTGTTGTGAATGAATTTAATACTGAACTATCGGAAAATGACTCAGAAGGAAGTTCGTCTAGTTGATAGCCGTATGACATATGTAAGCGAGATAGCTAGCACGACAGAGTGGCAAGCCTCGTGAAGCGGACGAAGGGGTGAGGCTGCGCGCATGCGTCCTCATCTCGAAGATTTTTCTTAACAGTCCGGTACATATGATACATATCCAGGTGTACTACAAATCGTAGGTGCTATAGAATCATGGGGTTGGATAAAAAATGCCCACGTGTAACGTTTACTTATAGTGTTTTAAACAATAACATTTACTAATAGTGTTAGAGGGAGAATCAGAGAAAAAAAATAGGGTATTTATACATATACCTTAATATTCTTAGGTACGAATACAGACCTATCTTTAAATATAGGATTCAGATTTAAGATAAGTGTTTAGGTGGAATATTTTGATGATAGAAAATTTTAATTTTGATGTTAAGTTTTATAAGTTTAATGTTTGACAAGAGTTGAAATTTGTTTACAAAAATTTTGTATTAAAAAATATAACATAATCAATAATTATTTAATATCCAAATGACGTATTTTATACGAGAGTCGTGGTTAAATGCTAGTGTATTTAACAGAATACAGATATATTGGACAGGAGACGTGATGCGCTACATATTATGTGCTCCTTTGTATCTTGTGACACAACTTTTGCAAGTCGACAATATGACACATTGAGTGGTTAAATTTAGTAAATTACGATGAAATAGAAAACCTACTTAGAATATAGAATAAGCATTTTTTCTTCCTTTTATTTAATTTTACTTTTTAGTAGTGCGAATAATTTAATTAAGTAATTGTAACTATATATTATATTATAATAATTAATTTTTGTTATATTTATTAATGTAATTTTTATACCATGTTGAATGTACTTTCTATTTCATATTTGTACTTTTAATGTATTATTATTATATTGTTATAAGTGTATATACTTAGTATTTACAATAGCAAAACATTTTAATATATTCATTTTTAACACAAAAATTTCTTGAATTAACATTTAATCGTTTAAGAGGGCTTACAAGTATAAATTGACTGTCGTAGTTGTACTGTAGCAGTGCTTTAAAAACACCACCACCGGGTAATGTATTCAATATCACCATGAAGGAACGCAATTCCTCGTTTTCTTTGTACACAGGTTTTAGTTCATAGGCCGTTATTATTTTGTTTACAGTAAGCTTTAAGCAGCGGGGATAAGCCTTTAGTTGTCCATTTATGAAATGTGAGAAAAAACCAGCGACTCTCGTGATTACTCCATTCTTCACTGATAACTTGACACTTTTATAACAACTGCACATTTTTTTCTGAATTCCAGCCATTTCACAAGTTCTGTTTAAAGGGACTTTTAAAAAAAGACTGATACCTCTGTTATGACCATAAGGTTCTATACTTCTCTTTATTATTTCGTTATCGCTTATATCACTGGTGTCAAGCAGGTCCACTAAAGTGTTGTGCAAGTCAAAGGGGGATGTGAGGCGATTCTTATTCAGTCGTAAATTATGAAAAGCTATTGTGTATTCGTCACGAAAACTTCTAGGCATCAAGATGTATACTAAAGGAAGTCTTTGTTCTAAACGACCTTCTTTAATAAGATTAATATCGCCAACGTTCATTCCATGGTCACTTAAAAGTATTAGTATTGTTTTATTCAAATAGCCAGATGAGTACATATTTCTAATTAATGACGAGTAAGCATCATCCATCTTCTCAGGGTATTTTAAGTGGTTGTAACTCATAGAACTTTCCCAAAATAAACCGAATAATTTTGAAGTGTTTAGTTTCGTTGTAAGGTTGTCGATATAATTTATAAGTACTTCAAAATAGTATTTATCGCTCATGCATGGAAAACCTTGTTTTTTATGCACTCTTTCAGACTCACTCATAAACGGGTGTATATAATAGTCAGTAGGTGTGCCTCTAAAACCAAATGTTTCGGTATTAAACATACCATGTTTTGTACTATCTTCGGCAAGGGCCGTGTAGTATCCCATGTCTTTAAATCTCTCCCATATAAACGGACAGCTGTCTAATGTCGCAAAACGGTTCGGATAGCAAATGTTACGAAGTTCTGTATCATTCACGCCCATTAATAGGGCTACCATATTCTGAAATGTATCTCTCGATATTGTATTGTAGCCTTTTAACTGCAAAGCCTCAAACTGATTTAATACCTGCCTCGTTTTTGGCAGAGTTCTAAAAAAGTTTTTTCTGGATAGGGATCCTAATCCCATTATTAAAATATTATACAACGATTGATTATTAGGTAACGGATCAGCTCTAAATGTAGTGAACATTTTGTCCTGTGCAAATATGAAGAATTTACTGTATATAACCTTATCATTCTGATCGCAATTGACTTTAATAAATTCGTCTTTCACTTTCAGTGTGTCCCCAATCATTTTGCATCTAGAATACATGATTCTGTCGTCGATAGAACGGTTAGAGATCCCGTCAGTGGACCGCGGCCGGTAAAATGATTTATAACAACATTTAATGTTTGATTTGTTTTTACCCATGTAGAACTGAAAGTTTTCTTTTAACGTAATTATGTGAGTGCGATTAGAGGTTAATAGAGGGTGTTCATCCTTTTGACATGCCGGTGGTCTGCTTGGCTCATGGAAGTATCTCCTTATCAATTTATCACTTCCAGCTACAAGCGGAATTATACAGCCTTTAGTATTGATTGTGAACATTTCGTCAATAATGTTGTTATTATCGTAATCAATAGTTGTGTTATACATATCTCCAATTAGTACTGTTTCTGTCCCATATCCGACTGTAAGTACGAGTTTTTTTAACTTTAATATAACTAATGCAACTAAATAAATGCCAATTCTTCTCTTGTTTCCGTTTGGTTTATCCATTCTTCTGTGCACGTATGTTTCTATTCTAGTGTACAGTATACTTTGCATTATAAATTCGTCTTAAACAGGGAGGTAATACTGATTGTTTGATAACATTGGAAACTGTTTAATAACACCTCTCTAATACATAAAACCAACTAACTTTTCGCCGTTGCGCTATCCGCCGTTGCCAATTATTTCAATCAAAAATTCTGAAAAGTACTTTTTAAGAACCTAGGCCATGCTATGTGTTATTCTATTCTATATTGTTTGTCAAAAATCCGAGGCACGAGAGTTAATGACGAACGTGAGTTAAATTATAGAGTAAAGGCAAGAGTTTATATCGGAGCTGTCACTGGTTATCTAACAATTTTATAGCAACTAACTTATAGAAGGCAAAATCGAATTAGTTTTATAATGTCTTTATATAATGACATGATTCATTTATGATAATGATTATTTTTTGTTCGTTATTACCTGACCTTCATCGTAAAATTTGCTTTTCTTGTTGACTTGATAATAACATCAGACAGAAATAGTTCTAATGATTAGTCAATAACTGATATATACCAAATATGATAATAATACCTAATATAATAATAACACGTATTGCCGTGTTTCGAACTTATTTTATGTAGTACCTACTTTTTATGTACCTAGATATGCTTTTATGAAAGCTCATCATACCTATCACCGGTATAGATTTATTTGCCAACCCTTAATAAGTCTTTAATGTACAGGAAATAATCCACTGATAACACATACCGATTTGATTGTAAAGATTATATAGGTAGCTACGTCATATCATAACACAGACAAATGATATTTGTTGAGCCAAAATAAATTTAGGCTGTGACGTGCAACAATATATAAAGTTATATTAGTGAGAAATAATTACGAAATTATTAAGGTAAATATTACCTAGTTCTAATTCACGTTTACCACCATCCAGGTGTCAGAACAAATGTATAAAATAAATTTTCACTGAAAAGGTTAAGTCTTCTACAGACTAGTTTCTACTAGTCTAGTCTAAAGCACATAATATATGGTTATTTACTTATATTTTAAAAAGGTAGAGAGGATAGAAAGTAATTAAAACAATAGCTGTTATGTATTATGTTAGTAACCAGTTACTGACCTGTCTGTCTACGTTAGATGAGCTCTGGTTTAAATAGTGTGGTGAAGTGTATAGCGGCTAGTGTGGTAGGTACGGCGCGAACTCCTTGTTTAACAACTGTTATCAAACATACCTGTGTTTTGATCTTCTAATTGGCGTTTTATTACTTTGTTAGTGCTCAAAGTGCTTTAGTACAAAGTGAGCGTTATTTAAACTAACACATACCCTAAGTTGCATTTGATTGCATTGCCAACTACATGCGCTACAGAAGTGATTGTTTTAACTTTTTCTGATAAGGTGTTAAGTGCCGTCTGTACTTGCACGAAAGTCACCCAATCAATTTTAAGTTTGCATGACTGCGGCGCACGGTTTAACTAGTAATTGGGGCATGCTCAATTAATAACTTTTCTTAGTTTTATATATTATTCCACGTGAGCCTGCAATAGATTTATTTTATGGTTCCAAATCTCAAAACACTTTTTTGTTTTTATTTACCAAAAGGCAGGAACGTCACTCAGTCATCATGTCAACTCCATAGGAAGCAACTAATTATATCAATAGACGAAAGAGGTAGTTGATCTATTTTGTAATCCTAAATTTAAAAAAAGAATCTTTATAACAGACCCTTCTCCTGTTTCAAGTTAACTTTTAAAAAGGTTAAAGAAATACCTACGAAAGTTATGACAGTTACTGACAGTTTCGCGAAATGAACAAGCCACCTGTTACCCAATTGAGGACATCATCTTATTTAGACGTCAACTATATTTTATGAATATGATATTCCTTAGAAAATAGGTGTTCTATTTTTTTATGGAAGAGGGGGAGAACAAGCAGACGGGTCACCTGATAGAAAGCGACAGCTATTCTATCTTTCCTTAATAGCCTTTTCCTGTAATTACGAATAAATTTTTATTTCAAATATAGTCAGTGCAATAGTCTTAAAGTGCTAAGAACAAAATTAGCTCTCTCTCTCTTTCTAACTCAATCTTCGTCGAGGAAAATAGTCTTAAACGTTTTTAATAAAACGACACTGATACCGTTAGTACCTATATCCTGATACACTGAGTTTGAAACTAAGACCCCAAAGGAAAATGAATGAGTTACTGTCCTCCTCCTATATGTGTCATGTTCTTCATTGATGAGGGTCGTGATTTTTATTTTTGTGATTTTGAAACCAAGGGGTCGATATCGACCACTTTGGGAATCCCTGATATAGAGAATACCTATATTGTGATGGTATTTGGGATATCATAGCATATACAATATATGATAGAATTGCTTAAGGGACAGTCTGTTACAACCTGCTGTGTTATGCTGAGAATACAAAAAAATATTTTCTAAAATTACGCCTCTGACCTTGATTTTTCATTTTCATTCATTAGTAGCATAGATTATCGAGTTGTATATGACGGCTGTGTATGACGGCTGAAGAATACGGAGTTTCACCACTCACCACCCCTATTCATCCAGTGGGTGTCCTAAGAGCCGACTAAGTGAACAAACTACGGATAACAGCAGTTCAAAAAGAAGGAAAACTTGACACAAACCCCATACCAACCCGTCTGGCTAGCGTGGTATAGGTGGACTTCTTTCTAAGGAGAGGCCTATGTCCAGCACTGGACTATTAAAGGCTGATGATGATAATGATGATTATTTTTAGCCGCAACTTAACTCAGTTAAAAGCTTCTTGCTTTTTAATTATATTAATCACAAGTTGCTTAGGATACAAAATAAATTTCGTGGGTATTGTTCACATACGTTTTATTTACCACCGATAGATAGGATATAACTTCTGCTATTAGTATTATTACAGCTGTCATTTAATACCTGTTGTTGTTAGCAAAGTTCAACAGTCTCTCTCTTCCTACCACCTATACGCAGATGGCTTGTAAATACACTATCAAACTAATCTTAATGAGCTGCCACTGGGTATCAAATTCATGTCCTTAACAAAGATCTGAGCAATGTATATTGGTGAACCAAAATAAGTACATGAGCTCAAAGTGAACCCTTGTAAGACGCATGTTACAAAATTCGGCAGCTTTAATCACATGGTCCTCCCCAGAGCAGGCTCCTTAAGGCCGGCGAAGTACCTCCTTTTAAAATGACAAAATGAAGTTTGTGTTTTAATCTCACTTAACATACATCAATGTTGTAGTTTAAGTTTCAGGTACCTACTTATTTTATGGTGATACTCGGAAAAAAATTGTAAAAATCTTTGAAAATTGCATTACGTACAAGTGAGTCAAAATCATCCTTGTCTATTTTTTAATAAAATATCGATTTAACATACTCATATGAATACATAATACACCTGGTTGATAACATTTCTGACAGAACATTAATTACAATTCATGTTCTCGCTAGGGGGAGTTTAGATCGTCAGTACGCATGCGCGGGCAGAACCGGTAATGGTAATGGACACACAGACTCCGTTTCTTTATGTAATAATCTAGCACATTTAAAAATATCTACAAAGTTTTATTGAACATTTGCCGTATAAGAGATATGAATGAGGACCACTTCGTTCTCCCTGGAGGTGAGTCGATGTGTGAACTTTTAAGTGTAAGGTTAGGAGTTCAAGTGAGAAAATCAATAGTTAAATAACACAAGCATAACCTACGTTTTGAGTTAAACGTTCTCATTGTCAAGGGTTTAAAGGCCTTCAAGTTCATTGAATACGTTATTCTCTAACAATGAGAAATTCTATTATATGTACAAAATATCTACATTTAAAAACGTATTAGATGTAAAACAAATATAGTTACTGCCTAGCAATATTAATTTCTCAAGGACGTTGTTGATGATGATGAAATTAATCATTAGATAAATTGCTTATGATTTTCTCATAAAAAACATAAAAATCATATGCGACGGTAGTCACTTACCATCAGGTGACCTATCTGCTCGATTGCCCACCTTGCCATAAAAAATATACCGCACGACTCAATAGCTCAAAGAAGCCGTGGTCACTCATCTGCCTTTAAATGATGACGCCGCGGGAAAAATATAAAAATATTTTTCTAAAACGATGCATACTGAAACTAATAGGCAATTTGTAACTACACAGTACCAATACACAATGATTCACCTAAGGCTTTTCTAATAGAAAAGAGATAAGCATCTCATATTGCCTGACACGCGCTACCAAAAGGTTACTTTTATCTAAGCCTGGGGGATTTGTGGTATTTGCTCGCCTTACGAAGCCTGGTATCTGGTTACCAAAACCCAATTGATGTTCGAATAACAGTAGAACTCTATTCAAAAGATCGCTATCTAAACTTGTAACTGTTCATATAGATAGGTAAATATAAGAAACTTAAGTCACGAAATGTTCTTATAATATATATAATAATTTTGCAGTCTTTTCTAGCAGCACCATTGGTTAAGAATATAAGCCTTGGCTATGTCTTTGCTGATACATAAAAATCCACATGGAAAAATGATAGATTAGGTATTCGTAGCCTTGTTTTGACGATTTTTTTAGTACGATTTTGAGCATTTTAGTCATTTAGTTTCGTTTAACTAAAAGTTCACCTTATCCATATGTATTTCATTAACTGAACAACGTAATTATATATATATACCTATATAACTAAACATAACGTAGAATATTATCATCACTCTTTTTTTCTAGTTCGTTTGATTTTTTTATAAAACTAAAGGGCTTATAATTTTATATCTTCTTGTTATTCTTGTATTTATAGGTCCTGGCCTTACTCTTCCTCACACTGATCCCTTGGCCGGGGCCCTCTGTCTTCAAAATCACCTGTTCACGTGACAACTCCAAAATTGTCAGAAAAGTCATTCAGAATAAATGGCTCCCAGTGTTGGAGAGATTTCAGGTACGCAATCATGCTGTCACTTTTGTTCATTTTTATATTAATGTACGAAATTCATGTGAGTGATTCACGTTACAAAAACCGTAACACACATTGCGTCAAATCCATAATTTTCGATACAGTGTCATCTTTTATTTTTCAGACGTTTAATTTGGTACTTTTAATAAATGGGAACTGTGGAGTTGACTAAGACTAATTTTCTCTATTAGCTTCTATATTTGTGAACATTGCGCCTCTAAAGAAATTAAAGAAGAAAAAGACAACTCTATAAAGTATCCATTACGCAGGACGGATAAAAAGACCTGCACAACAAACCAAATTCCGTGATTTTGTAAGCTACGTTTAACTACTTTATAGGTCAAACTACCCTTGGAGTGTCCATTCCACCCTGCAAGAGACATATTCGCGCCACAGCACGCGGCCAAGCTGCAGCATCGACCGTCGCAGTGGACGTGTGCCTTTTGTGGCAAGTCTTTCTACGAGGAACGACACCTCGACACGCATTTCGACCACCGACACAAGAACCAGATAAACATAGTAAGTATTTTTTTTATGGAAAAAGAGGCAAACAAGCCGACGCGTCACCTGGTGGAAAGTAACTACCGCCACCCATGAACACCTGCAACTCAGAAGTCACTAGCGCGTTGCCGGCCTTTGAGGAAGGAGTACGTTCTTTTCTTGAAGGTCGTATCGGTCCGGAAATACCACAGACGATAACTTGTTGAACAGATTGGTTGTGTAAGGCGAAAAGGGTATTAGTTCGAGCAATTCTTTGGCGCACTCTCTATGACTACTCACGATAAAGAATGCAGAGTAAAGCTATATCGCTACGTACCAGTAACGCCAAGGTATCGAGCCGCTTAGAGATTTTCTGGCTATCGATGATTCGAGTCGCTCTACGTTGGATTCCAGATTGGCTCTACGTTCCAGAGGGAAAAGCTGGTACTGGGGTGCCCCTGCATAGAGATGAGAACAACATTCCATATGCGGCCGGACTTGTGCCTTATAGAGTTGGAGGCGGTCGGCCGGAGTGAAGATGCCTCGATCAGCAAACCAATCTTCTTCGAGGCTAATTTGAATTTACTCTCTAAGACACCCCGAAACTAGACTTTGCTCGATATGTCGATCCCTAGGATTCTGATACTGGCTGAGGCAGTTAGCACCACCCTAACTGTCTCGATAATCAAAAGCCTTCGCTCTGTGGCCACCGGTGTGTTAGGTAGACGAGAAGATCACCGTTAAGTAGCTGGTGATTTTCTAAATACTGGAGGAGCTAGCAGTTGATTACGGATTCCATAATGTTAGAGAACAAGGCGGTTATGGCTATAGGCCTGTAGTTGGACAGATCAGGGCAGTCACCTTTTTTAGGGATCGGGTGAACAAACGTTACCTTCCAGGAGTTTGGGACGACACCTTGGGAGTAGGATTTTCGAAATGTCGCGTTAAAATCGATACTAACTCCGGAGCACACGTCTTCAACACGATAGGAGAGATTCCATCAGGCCTACTTGACTTATGAATTTCAAGGGCAAAGAGTGCTCTAGCTCTGGCACTGAGGTATAGTCGACGGTACGTTTCCCCCGTCATCCAAAGTCGAATTGGATGGAAGATTTCGCCTAGGAGATCAGCTTTCTCCTTGGCATCATGGGTCAACTAATCATCTCCCATCTGCAGGGCTGGAAGGAATTAGCTATAGAATTTGCCCTGGCAAGAGACCAGAATGCACGAGTTCCAGAAGGAAGTCTCACCAGTCTCTCACCAATCCGGCTGATGTGCTCCGATTTCGAAAGTTCTAAAGAAATTTATTTCTTTTAAAATATGAATAATCTTCCAAACTTATTTTACAGGCGGAGGATGCAGTGTGCCTAGCGGACTATTGCGATATTATGCGGTGTCAGGTGTTGGTCGCCCATGGCCTACTCAGCGGCGCTGGTGGTCCAGTCACCGACATCGAGGTATGTAACTTATAAGTATAATATATTATTAAGTGCAACAAAAAGTATAAATATACATTATACTTAATTATATCTCTACCAATAAAATATTAAGTAGAGAAACGAAAGATGCGCGTTTACGCATTCATTGCTTCTGGAATTTTCCGACTACTCTAACAGACCTACCAGATCAGAGAGGAACCAAAATGAAGAATCAAATTCAAAATAACTAACTACGATCTAAACAACTGCTGAGAAATCGGAGGACAGGACTCCAGGATTTTTATGCTAACTGTCCAATCATCCATAGCATGTTATGTTGCGCATAAGTTCTTGAATTAAGAAAATGAATGTTTATCCTAAAACAGACTTTGGTGGTAACCTATGATACTCTTTTTAAATAGATTCTGATTATATCTTTGGCACTTTTCCAAATGTCTTTCTAAAGTCCCTGTGACTGAAAAATCACTGAAACACAATCGTTAAAACAGCTAATAAGCAATATATCTTATTATTAGTTTAAGTGCCTAAAGCTAGTTAGATCAATTCTGTACTTTTGTAGCAATGTATGCGGGTTGTTTATGTTTAATACTCGTTACTTGCTAAACTAGCCCTTATAATTTATGTATTACTAGCTGAGACCCGCGGTGTTACCCGCGTTTGTTGTTATAACCGCGGGCAACGCCGCGGGACGGAGCTAGTCTAAAAAAAGTAGCTTCAGTTACTCCTTATGTCATCAGCTATCTACCAGTGAAAGTTCCGTCGAAATCGGTCCAGCCGTTCCAGAGATTACCCGGAACAAACAGACATACAGACAGACAGACAAAAAATGATATTTTGGAATATGTACCGTGTAAACATACATATGCATTTAGTAAAAAGCGGTTATTTTAATATTCCAATTTTATTTATTTGTATAGATTAGAATTACAAATATTTTTAATTGAGCAGGTCTCTTTTTCTTGTAAGGAACTTTATAAATACAATTAACTGAATCAATATACCTACACGCAAAGACGTACCTAACATTGTTGATCGAAGTACCTAACACAAAATTATTTTCATAGGTATGGCAAGACGTAGAAGCGGCAAAGAAAGCGTTGGCTCCACCTGCGACACGAAGTGTTGCGCGTGTGACAACGCGGCGCAGACATAGGCCACGGGTCCCAACGCCTCCCTCGCCTGCAACCGACTGTCCCAAAGCTGATCATCCTAATGAAGAGCTCGGTATGTAGACATATATATACGTATAGCATGTACGACACGCTTATACGATTCTATAAAAAATTACGATTCTACAATCTAATTTATAAGTGTCTAATGTATTTAAATATAAATGTTTTTCCTCTGCTGTATAAGATAGTTTAAGACTAATTATTTCAAAGGCAGCCTAGATAATTTTAGATTTTTAGTACACTAATATGACCTACATATTTTATGATGCTTAAGCTGACCTGATTGTCTTTGGTCTTGACTACATACCCATATTCCTTAAATTGTATGACCAAAAATCTATTCTTCTTTTATATATTATAAAAGTAAATGTAACTATATGAACATAAGAAGAATAATAATAATAACAAGACACATCTCACACACTGCAGTCCCACATTAGGCAGAGTCCTGTTCTATGGTAACCAGACTGCTGATCAGTATGCTTGTAGATTTCTAAATGAGTACATACTTATTATAGATAAATCTCATTCAGACACAGAAAATGAAATAATAATGGACGTTCTTTTAAGTATTAGGCATATTTACGTAACATTTGATTTCTAAATGAATACAGACGGCGTTTATCCAAAAAGCTACCGTACTGTATATACCGCTGTATATACATAATAAATATATTCAATACAATGTATTTACTAATAAATAATACAAATTATTTATTGTTGATAATATTTTAATGATTTAATAACTATATACAAGGTATTATTCACCGAGATTCACGGTTGACCTTGTATTACAGTATAAATGCCTGAGCGCTGGGTGCTCTCCGCTCTCTATCTCGAAAAGGGTTGAGCGTACAGAAAAAGAGTTGAGACAAAAATTGTGGCAATTTTTTTTATCTTCAATTTTCATAATAGGTATTGAAGTGATTGGAACTATAAAAACGGAGATAATTGCAAAAAAACGATTTTTCGTGGCCTTGACCTCGAATAACTTACGACGCAGACACGAGATAATATGAGACTTTTGAGACAACTTTTAGAACGCCAAAATGAAGCTGTATACGAGTTTCCAGCTTATTATCTCCAATTCCGAGATTGACCCCTTTTTTTGCCTAAAGTGACTGGACTAAAGGCAAAATACGGAGTAATAGTATTTTTGCTTGCTGGCGTATGAGTTTATTATCTATTATGGCGTAGTGCACACTTCAAGTATTGTATGTCGTTTAAATGAGATTAATTGATAAACATTTAAATATTATGCAAATACTAAATTATTGCAGTTTAAAAAAATAGTGCGTTAATAAAACCAACAATCGATGTCCAGCAGTGGACTGTTAGGGGCTGTTGTTGATGATGATTATGAATAAAACCAACCTGCGTGTGGCAACGGATGAAGAATGCACAGTGTCACTATACATCCTGTGGGTGTCGTAAGATCGTTAGAGCCGACTGAGGGAGCAAACTACGCAGTGTTGTCTTGCTGCGCTGCATAGAGAAGGAAACCTTAAAACAAACCCTACACTAAACCGTCTGGCCAACGTGGTATAGTGGGCCAAAACCTGTTTAAGAAGAAGCCTATGTCCAGCAGCGGACTAGTAAAGTTTTGATAATGATGATGAACAAAGAATTTTAAGATTTTTATGCCCTATATTTGCAAGTTCTAGGCAATAATTTCCTCAGAAAAGTGCCTTATGGATCAACGGTTCATTACAGAACAGGGTGTGAAACACTCTGTACACAGGGCAGGCAGGGCTCTTAAATAAATAAAAATATTATTAATCATCTATTTATATGCAATGTCACATTTTGATATATTATGGAATATATATAATTCCAGAGACAAGTAGGTACAAAATTGTTGTGCCATGCATAGTATTGCCATTAGTAATAACCCAGGAATGGTTTAGTACAAATAACATTATTATATTAGAATAAAATTATATGTGTTTTAGAACCAGAAGAGAAAAGAACGGAAGATAGCGATGGTGATACTAACCAGACAGCAGAATTATGTGACGCCGACACGGTAGATTCTGCGCTCCCACCGGATAGCCGACAGAAGCGACTCGCGGACCTGCAGGCTGAACGAGCGGCTTGTGATCCCACACGACTACAAACACTTAAGGTGAACGCTATTTACGTTGTTTCTAACAAAGAATTTGAGTCAAAGAAGCGAATTGTAATAACATGCCCGTGACGGAACGATTTCCTTTGGTTGGCTCGATTTTGCATAACAATTACGATGTCCCTCAGTTAGGAAGTTCTTACATGTTTTTGCTCTAAAAAGGGCACATTTGAACACACTTCAAATAAAATTATTTACTTTCTAACCATGAAAATGTAACCTAGATTAATAATTATTTTGCTCTTGATGTGTTCCCAATATTTAATTTTACGGTATTAATTAAAAATTATTCAATTACAATAGGTATAATTGAAGCATAAAGTTTTTTTTTGGCTTCTTTCTATTTCAATCGAAGTTGTGTCCATTTATAATTGTACTGACAGCAGGGCGAGACTAAAGGTTTAAAACAGTCAGAATTAAACCACGCTGTGTCGGTATTAAATATTTTACTATCTTACAAAATTGAAAAGATCTTCAATTCATTTGTTTAATCTGCCCGTTATCCTCGGTCATTTTCCGGTCTATAATTATTGAACCCATATTATACATACAGGGCCGCCGGGTAGGTACGGGTGTGCAGAGCGTGCACCGCACACGGGCGGCAATTTCAAGGAGGCGAAAATTGAAAGCTTCACATAATTTGCATGTCTAATATATTTTTATTATGTCTCAATAGTAACATGTATTGATCAGAGAACGAAGATAAATGCAAACGTTTATAAGCGTTGTATTACTTTATTAAACGTTTATGTTTATTTTAAATCTCTCGAGACACAGGCACTTGATTTCCAAATATCCCATACTGGGAGATAGTTTTACGTTTGAGAAACTATAAATCGGCTTAATCGGCCGACTTACCGGCTGACGCAAAGGATGCTTTAGAGAATACTACTACTGCGATGGCCAGAACGCTTCACACGCTGGCAGAATGCCCGGCGTATATGGAGCAAAGGCATGCTGATTGCGGTCATGGTACCTACTCCGCTAACTCCTTCTGCTAAGGAGATGGCAAAATGGGACCGGGAGAGGCTTAGAACACTCCCGGGGAGGCCAGGCCCGGAAACCGACCAGATACAGAGGCTTAATGATCTCCGATCTCCATAAGCGGAGTAATGGGTGACAGATGGCGACGTGATGCGCTCCGGGGAAACCGTGGTCACCACATATGACGAGGCCATCTGTAAGCAGTAGATGACTCGGGGTCCGTCGGGGTATCAGGCATTTCCTTGGTAGGTTATACCTGGTTCCTTGCTACCACCCGAGACGGCGGCGGCGTGCGGTTTTAACCTCGCCGATGACTGACGTCGCGGCATGGCACGGCACGTCCGGGCGTCCTTCGGCAGCCCGAAGGATGCTTTGATTTGCAGTAGCATGCCAAAGCATGCCGCAAAAAGCTCAGTCACTCAATAGGTCATGGATTTTATTACGAGCCAGTGATCAGGTTCTTTTTATCTTTATTTCAATGTGTTAGGAATTCATATTACTATATTTACCGCGGGACACCGCGGCATGTCGTGTCCAGGCGTTTCATTCGACGGATTGCCGCGGCGTGCCACCGCGTGTCGCGAGCCACATAAACCACATACCCGGAACGCCCCCAAGCTAGCGGCGGGCCTGTATATAATAATAATATTCTATAATATAATTATATTATTAAAAATAATATACAATATATAAATTAATAGGTACTAACTAAACAAGGTACTTACTTGACTACTATGAACAAAACGTGAGTATTTGAAAGGTCAGTTAACTGGTTGCGCTGTTATAGCAAGGATTTGCTTTGATGAAAAACCCCGAACCTTTTCACTAAAACTTAAATCTTTTTTAAATGGTTTATATTTTTACAGACTAGTTTTATTAAGATTGTCCACAGAGTAAACATAAAATCAGAATTATCTTGATTATAGGTCCGCTGTGACAGAATAGTACATTCCTGTATAGCAACACTACTACTACATCTTACACAACATCAATTCACGGAACTGGAAGGTAAAAATTTAAATCTGCTCTCTCTTACCATTATTAATTGCTTAAACATAAAAATCGGAATCTGGTGCATACTTAAACTCTATTGAGCAACATTTACGACAGATCCTGGAGCTTTGAAACTAATGTTAAAAAGTATTTAATTAAAAAAGTAGCAGTTACGTTATTTAGTTAAGAAATTAAATGGATTTATTCCTCAAAGGAAAAACTACTTATCTTGCATAAGTAGTTTTGTATCTGTTTAACTGAACACCTATATTAAGAAAAAATATGTCTCTGTAACTTGTTTCATGACAGAGGAGACAAAGGACAAATAGGAGAATACCGCCGCCCATGGACACTTTTAACCTAAGTGTCATTTAACCTCACGCACTCGGTGAAATATAACAAAATAAGAAGGTTGCTTAACACAGGTTTTCTGTGAGGTCGTGATATCACTCCTGGTCAAGTCGCCGAAGCGTGACTCCCTCACGATTAATATGCATTCTACCGGCTACATGCATTATTAAAATCTCTCTTATTATGATGTCTGTCAGAGGAGATGCAACGCGCTGTGTGTTGGTACCTGAGCTGCGACCGTTACTGGGAGGACACGGCGCCCACGGCCAGAGCGTTCCCGTGGCCCCTACTACTAGCTCTAGCCACCGGACTCGCACTTGCTCTTTGCATGTGCTATTATATTATTTGGATTGTTTTTGAGTAAGTAGATACACATTAGAACTACGCTAAACTAAGATAATAAAAGTTGAAAAATTAATACCAGAAATCAATTACAATATGGTTACATTTTCATGACATGGAGAACAGATCTCTTACCGCGTTAAAAACCATTACCATCCTTTATTGTAATTTCACTAATGAATATTTATCCATACCTACTATTTAGAAATTTTTGCTTTACCTTATTAAAGCTCCAAATTACATTAAAGGTGTGAAATAGATGACAAAACTAATCTTATTTAAAACTCAATAGTGTTCTGATTGTGTGCACTATTAATTAAATTGTTGAAAACATCAGAGCTAACATATTTCAATAACAATATTATGGTAGGTAAATAAGACCCTAAGATCAAGTAGTTACAGCTATCTATAAAGGATTCTCGTATTATAGCTGTCATTCTTCAACTTGGCAGCCTCTTCTTAAAAGAGGGTTGAAGTAATTTCAACTTACCTTTTATGTCCATTTGTCACCCGTAGCTCTGAGGAAGGCTCCGTGGCTGGGAGTGCCTCGGTATCCATGACGACGCATTCATCTCCAACACGGGGCGAGCGTCTAGCACCAGATGACGCCATGTTAGACGATCCTGATCATGACGACCATTATATCTACGTCACATACCCGCCAGAACTCAAACGGCGGCTGCTTGAGAGGTACGACTCTAACAAACTCACCCTCATTATACTGACGCCATTCATCAGGCAGACCAGGGTAGATTGATCACTTAAACTATTTACTAACATTTAAATCGCCATACACGTCTATTCCGACTACGAATTTAGGTTAAATAGATTGGGAAGTGTTTTAACTCCTCTTTCTGCCTCTGTATGGAGATTAAAATCATTGCAGTCATTAAACTACCGTCGATGTGTTTGAGTTATGGTTCTCTGGTAGTAGTTGTCTATTTATTTATCAATGAGTCAGTCGTTACGAATTATGTGTTGTAGTTATAATTTAACATAGATATTTTTTATAGTTACACATACGTATGATAGTTATTGAATCGCACCTTTTTGCTAGGTTTCTGTACACACTAACTGCCCATTGCCGTTTTAGACATATATAATATATTATATATATTGTTTGATCAAGTAATTATATGGCATTTCAACGTTTATTAACGTAATTTATATGAATGGATCTCCTGAGATGTGTTTGTTAACTAGCAAATCATCAACACTTTTAAGTTTTTCAAAGAAGAGATAATAAATAGAAGATTATATTGAAGTTTTGCATAGTCCGATCTCTGGAAAACTGGTTGGTTCTTTCCTTTTGTAAAAAAACCTGGCGAACTGAGACTTTCTGAACTTTGACTTTGACTTTGACTGAACTTTCTGAGAAATTTTCTGAACTGGATAGATTTCCTTCTTCCTTTTCTTTCTTTCTCGATTTACTGGACTATTGTAAGAAATTACTGACAATGCTGCTTAAGTAACGTTTAGAAGTAGTAATAACTATGTTTAAATGACCATTTTTACACTTCAATAACTTTTAAGTTAGATTCAACTGAAATAGTTAAATATTATCAATAACGTTTTTGGCTCTTCGTAGCGGTTTGAACCACACATTGTTAGATTTTGTTCCTAGTTAAGGTATGGTAAGTGTATGTATAAAGAACTGACGTCCTAGACGTTAATTTTATTAATAAAGTTTTATTGTTTTAGCTGCTACAATAGAACGACCCGGCTATGAGACCCGCATCTATACCATTGCGTCGCGCATGTGTACTTTGTACCATTACAAGTAGATTTAATACTTAGATTTAGTGGCAACTTCAAGACATTATGATATAGAAAACAATGGTGACACATGTTCTGTTCCTTATATCAATAATAACAGTATATATATGATAAGTCTCAAGGTTAACGCAGGGTGAAAACAGAGCGGATTATGGACTATAAAATATCCAGTATTATTTGGGAGTATTTGTATGTGCGTTTTTTTTCTCTTTCTTTAAATTTGAGAAACGAACTTTGAAAGAACGAAAAAGAACTTTGTCATAAAAAATTATGTTTGATTGACTATACTTAGCAGTTGTATGCTTCAATGTTTGTGTGACTGTAGGAAATTGAGTCGTTTACATAGGTATAAATTTCTAGCAAAAAAAAAACAGTAGAAAACATAACAGACATGGGTATAAGATGAAAAGTATGAAGAGATCAACAATCTTTATATAGAAAACTGTCCATAATAATGAATATTTACACCAACGAGATTTGTAGGTATAGGTTTTATTTGAGAAAAACTATCAACAAAGAAAAAAGTAATAAAGGGTCCAGTCCAAAACGAAATAAATAGGTAAAACCTTTTCATCTCCTGTATTTTTTGCTACTTAACTAATCTAAATTATTGTCACCTGTTTTAGGCTCTGGTGACCTCACTCAAACTTCTCATTTAATTAATTATAGTTGATCGAAATATTGTACCAGCTGTTTCGACTGCGTTAGTTTGGGAGACGTCCACGTAAAGTAGAAAAGTGACATGTGTAGATAATGGATAGAATCACTCGAGAGGTTATAATCTATGGTTACGTTATTTAGGCATAATATAAAGTATACATTTATTAACAATTCACAGTTGTCGTTTTGCCAGTTAACCCTGTTTGCTACAAAAGTATAACATCAGAATTATCTATTATTTATAAAAATGGTATAAGGTCCAGAACTTTTAAATAAATTCTTTCACATGTTTTAAAGTAGATATTAGAAATCGGTTATCAAAAAATCTCTTAATTGATATTATTCAGATGTTTTTTTTGTTTTAGTTCAATTTTTAATATCCTTTAGATGTAGATCGCTTGTGAAAATCGGTGCCTAAAATGTTTTCATGTTATATTTACCTATAAGTATCATTCCACTATTATAGATAGTTATCTAATTAAAAATGTTGCTGTAATTACTTACATAAATATTGTACATAAGAAGTGTTGTGTTTCTGTTCATTTGTAAGTGTCATGTATCTTGAACACAGATCTATATATTTTATTTTGATATTCTGCTAAAAGTTATGTGCTTAAAGTATAACTCTTTTAATTTACATTTTTTATTTATTTAAATTGTGTGGTACGATATATATGTGCTTTCCCAAACATATAGTGCTTTAAAAAAAATGAAAATACAATAAAGGCCGGCTCAGACCAACGTGAGCAGAATGTAATGTATTAGTATCTAGATGTCAAGCTCTCGGCGCTTGTCAGACTCGGCTTTGAGTTTCTACTCATTGCGTAAACAAGAACATTGTAAAAACCATTAGCACCATTATTATATATTTACTGTTTTTTTTACCTCCATGACTTTCAGCTCATATGCGCGTTAACATGCATATCGTCAATAAATTTCTAACACTGCGTAGTTCAAAAACGACTACTTTATAGGGAAGCGAAATAGCTGTTCCAGTGAAGATGTAGTATAATTTTGTGGCAGTTCTTAACATGAAGATGGAACTGCTTTTGTATTTTTTTTACATGTTAATTTACACTGTATTGCAAACTGTAAAAATTGCATACATAAATATCTAAAAATTGTCATTGGCAATAATGGATATATATATATATATCTGCATCTCTGTTGATATATTGCATTGTTGGTAATATAAATAACGTTGTTTGCGAGATTGATTATGTCTTGTTAAATCCAGATACTCTCGAAATAGATATAATTAAAGCGTATAGATCTCGCTGTCTTTATGTACGAAATATTGCGCAGCATGAAATGATTAGATAGGTTACGATCAACGAGTGGCGGTAGAACAAAAAACTTTTTTGTCCTTAAGCTTTATATTGTGTTGTTTTTAGTAAGCTTAAGTGTTGTTTGTCGTCTCTGACATGTCAAGTACCTGAAATGATCTCACGACCAACAATTTATTATAAACGTAGGTCATTCAGTTAAAAAGAAAACAAATTATAATAAGATTATCACTCATTGTTTAGATATTATACGACAATCTACTGTACTATTTATAACTGTATAGTAAACTGCTTATAAATTATGCGTAAGTAAATGCTTGAAAGACTGAAGTAAAGCATTCTAATAACGTACAACCAACGTAAAATTTTAAATATAAAGTCACTAAATTTATGATAATTGAAAGCACCTTACTGTTTGTTTTTCAAATTTGTAATATAAAAAGTTTGTTAAATACAATTCTTTATAAAAATTACAGTTTATTTATTACAATATTCTTATATCAACAGTCTTTACATTTATACAAATATATTAATGTGTTACATAAAATCGAAGACTTTATTTCGGCAGTATAAAATAAAATTACGGCCACGAGAATGAATGTCTTACTCGTGGCTGTAAGTTGTGTATTTTAACACAGTTTGGTATTGTGATATAAAAAGTCATAAGAAACCATATTTTTGGTAAACCCTTCGGGTCGCAGACATCAGGACGCCAAGTGGATATGACAAAGCGCATAATATGGTACATGCCGCAATTCATGTGCTTCAAGAACAACTTGTAAGTATTTTATTGTGTATTAAAGAGAACATTTCCCTTTATTAATACTTATGAAATGACAAAAAAGAAGGCCATTTCTCGATCGCAGCAACATCCTGCGTATCGCTTAGAAGCAAAATTGATATCTAATTGCCAGAATTGCAGCTACCTATGAATATTTCATGAAAACAATTTGTCAGTATCAAGTCGTTGAATATAATTTGATATACATTTTATTGAGCACATTTCCTCAATTCTTACAATAGATACCTTGATTTCTTTTATATAAAAAGTGCCGGCCAACTTCTGTAGGCAAAGAATTAAAAAAAACGATATTCGTTTTAGTAAATTAAAAATGTATATTACAAGTTCGACGGTGGCAAAATGTAAGCAATAACTATACACTTTTTTAATAAGTCGTCAAAATTAAACTGTCACATCAGTGTGCCTGCCCACATCAGTATGAAGAGTTTGATTATCTCCATGATGTATACTTAGCTACTTTATTACAGATTCTTATATGCCTGCTCCCAATATCGTAGAAAACATTATTTACAAAACGTTCATAATTCATCAAACATATTTAACGCCTTTCCAAACGGAGTTACCTTCAATTATACACTTGCAGCCACAACCTGTGGGACACGTGTCGTGCTGAGAGAACCTGCCGAACAATATTTAGTACTATTATTTGCACACTACTTTACTTTTTTTTTTAATTCTTTATGCACAAGTATGAGTTGTACAATGGCGGACTTAATGCCACAGGCATTTTATCCCAGTATACCTTAGGGCGGTGCTATAAATCTGTCTGCTATAAATCTTTTATAGTTGTATTTAAAGGAGATACGGTCAGTACGCTGGGGAAGTTTGCCTAGCCACGCTGAAGGATTGCTCGTGTAGTGACTGGAGATCTTGACTGTTGAGCCAGAGGTCGTGGGTTCGACTCCTACCCAAATAATTGTGTAATAAGCTCGTGCTCATCACACAACCATCATCATTTGTTCTGTAACTAGTGTCATCATTAACAGCCTTTAGTAGTCCTGTGCTGGATATAGGCCTCTCCTTAGAAAGGAGGCTTTGGCCAACTATACCACGCTGGCAGACGGGTTGGTAAAGGGTTTGTGTCAAGCTTTCCTTCTCTTTGCAGTGTTGTTGTCCTGCGTAGTTTGCTCCCTTAGTCGTATCTTACGACACATATGTTATTCACATATTCTTAGTCCGTCACCACACGGACGTACGTCCGTGACTAAATGTAATTTATCTATGATATTTATGTATTTAGTAATAGGTATAGTAAAATTTACGTATAGTGTCGCATTATAGAGTTGTAAGATAAGAATTTGAAGGGGTCGGAGCTCACTCACCACTAGATATGGAAATTATTGCTACTTTTAAATTTTATTCATTTGATGACATGATTGGATTTGGTCACTGTGATTTCACCTGTGAGAAATTACTACTTAGATTTGGTCATAGACAAAAATGAATGCCATCAAAATCGAAACGACTTTTTTTTTAAGATTTAGACCTTTCGCCTGTCTGGCGCTAGCCTAAAATAAGTCGCAGTGATGGTGTAGGTGAGTCACATGTGTTACCAAATTATTTTAAAATCATATGAAAAAAAACACACGTTACTGTGATTTTATACTATGCCTACTCACCACTGAAGCATGTGCATGGCGTGTCCGGCGTGCGCGCAGTAGTGGCAGGCGGCGGCGAGCCCCCTCACGGGGCGCGCGCACACGCAGCAGCGCAGCGCCGCGCGGCCGCACGCGCCGCACGCCGGGCCGCGCGCCAGCCCGCCGCAGCGCGCGCACTCCGCCGCCAGCTCCGCGCCCAGCCAGCGCCCACAGCCAGCGCCGCGCACCAGCTTCATCACCTGCGACGCGATATTGTCACGAAATAGCAAGAAAATTCGAGAAACAAAAAGAGACTCCATTAACCGGGCATGAATTATTTAATTGAAAATTAATTGATGAATAAATGAGTTTAATAACTATTGTTATAATTGGCATAAGATCGAAAATAGGTTGTCGCATGATTATCTTGTTTACATTTAACGTCTACTCGTATTTTTCTTTTTCCAATTTTTTTTTTGCTCCTTAATTTTTTGAAGAGGTGTAGTTTTTTTCTCAAAGTGGGCGTTAATGATTTGGTTTGTGCTTCTGAAACTGTATAAAATAAATATGCTGATATTCCGACAGTGGCGGCCTTAGCAATTGCGAGGAGATTTTACAATATTTAATAATTTGCATGAAAATTTGCAGATGCGGATTTAAACACGTAAAATAAAAATTACCTCGGTTTTCTTGTAAATTAGCTGCCACCGGTGTAAGATATCAGCATACACTCTCTTGAAGCAGTGATAGAGATGCACAGTAGCTTCGTCTAGCACGCATGATGAAGCTCGTTCAGATTTCGAGACGGTTGAATCTGTGTAAAAGTTCTCTGCTTCCGAACAGGAGTTACTACGAAATACAGCTGCATCAACGGGCGTCCATCCGTCTGCACTTATTTCGCTGTATTGATTCACTGTGCTGTACGGTGATGTTCCATTACCCTGCAATGCGACATGTAAAAAAACATTTCATGGGCATAAAACAATCCTTCACGGCTTCTTTCTAGTAAGGTTGACTGTGCAGTCAAAACATGTTTCTCTTACTTTTACGCCAGTAAAGTAAAATAACAACTAGTGACGCGAGACTTTTGTTATCGTTAAACTATTTATATTGGATGTTTCGTTTAAAAAATTACAAAAGTAACAAACTTGATAATAATGACTAACTTCATTTAAGACAATTGATCTCATATTAAATCATTTAATTTTATTAAGACAACCTGTATACTGACAAACCAATATTGTTTTTTAACGATAGGTAATTACTATATTGTAACATTTATAAAAAAATGCGTTCTGCATAAGCTTCTCTAAGCGGGACCAAATATATATTTTGTAAATAAGTACTATTTACTGAACAATATAATTATAAGAATGAATTTAAAATTGGTACACCTACATAGCTGGAGATGCTGATCGACGATTGTGAGCTTGAATTACTTGTGTTGTTGAAGACAGAAAAGGCACAAGCAAGCATTGCTGCCATCTGGAGATTCGATGCTTTGGCATAATGAGATATTCTGAAATGAAACCAATAAATATTATACTACAAGGTACATATAGTTTTTTTGGGAATCCCTAAACAGTAGTTACTTACAAAGACTGCAATAAGTTACAGCACAGCGGGTGGCCAACCCAGCCCATGCTCTCTTCACTAGAAGCGAGATGATCAGAAACTCGCGCTCGTAAGGAACGTGCCGTTAATGCAGCTAAGTTCCACGCATGAGCAAGATCGGTCTCTCCTTCTTCTGTTGCCATCTTGGCGTTCTTCTCGCACATTTCTAGAAAAAATAAATAATTTTGTTGCTTTTTTTTTAGTTGAAGAGCGTAGTAAATATAATTCGCAGCTTTAATTTCTAGAATAATTTTACAATATTGAGATACATTTGTAATAACGAGAATATTGTAAAACTTTTCCTGCTTTGCATCAAATTTTACTGCTATAAGGACTGCGTGACTCCTTTTTTAGAATTTTAAACCAAATTCTGTAAAAAGGGGATAATATTTTCTACACGGTTTTATATTTTATTTCAAGGGGTTTTTCGTTTACAAATAGGTAAGTACAGTCCAAGCAAACTAAGTACAGGTAAGTTGGGAGTAAGAATAAATCCACAAGTAATTTTGAGCTTCTACTTGAAATCAATACTAGCCAATTATAACCAACCTGACAATGTTAAAAATTGTCAGTACGGATTTTCTTTCGGTAACTAAAAGAACTAGAATTTAACCGACCCCACCAAACAACAATGCTTACGGGGGAAGCATTCTTCGCAGGCCATTTACACTTATAAATATTATAAATGACGCGATTTTTACTTCTTATAATATACCTACCTATATTTTATGCTTACTAAAAATTTAATGGTTATTGTTTATCCAAGATAATTTTATTTTAATAATTATTAATTAGGTATTTATGAAAAAATAAATTTATTAAAAACACTATGGTTTGGGTAGGTGATTCAGAATTAAACGGTAAAATAACATAGTTTATAAATGCATTGAATCTATACTTCATTTCCTCAATTTAGAACCAAAACAATGTTTCGAAAAACTCAAAAGCGGAATTTTATTTATTTATGTATCTACATAAATTTACTGTTGTACACCTTTTAGGTACTATTAAGTGATAAATATTTTTTACTACTGGCAACATTGAGTTTGATTGATTTATATAAAATTCTCGTGTCACAATGTTAGTTACCATACTCCTCCGAAACGTCTGGCCGATTTTTATGAAATTTTGTGTGCACATCGGGTAGGTCTGAGAATCGGCCAACAACTATTTTTCATACCCCTAAATGACAAGGGTGACCCACCCCTAATTTTTTTTTCAATATTGCCTAGAAATAATGTATATGGCAAAACAACGTTTTCCGGGTCAGCTAGTATATTTATAAAATTTGACTATTACGTTGTCTGTTATGAATAAATTTTAATGACATGATTGATTAGTCAGCCCCCCATTATTCCCACATATATTTAGATGCTTATAATCACAATGTAATTATTTATTATACTCGTTTGCCGTAATGTTTCAATTTGGTCAAGCTTACACATTGATATTGGTGCTAATTCTGTTGTTCGAAAACTCTAAACTTTCTAAAAATTACTTTAGTTCTGTCAAGTACTACGTTTTCAGAATACGAAACGTTATTTGACAGGACTAAACAAATTTTTAGTGTTTTCGAACAACAGGATTAGCACCAACCTTTTTTGAGAAAACAAGTGAGGTGATGTAATAAACTAGTACTACGTTAAGTGTTTTTTACTACTTGGTATCGCTTTATAAACTACATATGTAGTTACACAACGGCGTCGTAATTTTTTCTTGCTGGCTTTTCCTTGTTTGCTCCTTTTTTAATAGGCGCTTTTTTTTAAACAACGACAAATTAAACAGTGTATTATTTTTCATTTCATTTTCAATAATTTTGTGTTCAAAAGAGTTCTTTGTGGCAGTTGATGGATGCAAGTTAAGAGGACTAGAGGAAGAAAAGATGGATCTATCACGAAATCGACGGAGGCCTTTCAACACGTTTTGGTACTACAAAAGATAGAGATTGGGATTGCACGGATGGCGTAGTGGTTTAAGCGGTCGCCACGCCGCCGGTGTTGTGGGTTTGATCCCCACATGAGACGACACTTGATTACAAATTGTTGTTCTGAGTCTGGGTGTTTTGTGTGCGTTTCGTGTATGTTCGTGAGGTATAGGAATATCCTGTGTCTCAGCGACACAGGATATTCCTAATGCGGGATTTGTCTTTAAAAAATAAAAAGATAAGCTGCAAACAGTTTTAACAAGCTTAGGATTTAAAGTTGAAGTCTTTAATTATTTTCAAGTAGTAGCAAGACAAGATAACTCTCAGGACGACTGTCTACTCATAACTGTGCTAAGTCATGGGGAATTAGGAAAATTACTTTTTCACTGAAGAGAATTGTCCTACACTTACTGGGAAACCGAAGGTATGTTTTATTCGAGCCTGCCGTGGCCTGCCTACAATAACGGTATTACATTATTACCAACCCACACCCAATCTTTGAGACGACCACCGTCGAGTAAAAATGCATCTGCACTTGAAGACGACCCTTGGATACATCCTGACTTCCTGATCTGTTTTGCAACAGCACCTGAATATTTTCCTTGGAGAAATAGATAAGATGGATTCTGGATTATTTAAAGTCTGTGTTACTGAACTGTATTGGCTGAACATGCGGTGGACTCAGATATCTTGACTATGCTGACTTTAGTCAGCCAAAAAGTAGCCCTAGAATTTGAATATTACACACCCGACCAGTTGATAACTCAGGGAAAAAAGGAAATTCCAACTTCTTAAAGCACTCTCACTCGCATTGTACACTTTAATGGGTGTTTTACAAAAAATAGTGTTGAGGACAAGGCGCTACCACGATGGTTTTATTTTTTTATATTCTGTTTTCTCAATTTCTGCTGCCAAGTAAGCGGGTAGATACTGCACTTTACACACGAAACGATACAACACGAACCCTTCTGCAACAACGTATCTACGTACACACAAATTTAAAGAAGTTTTTTTTTTAAATTATAAATTTCACTGTAACGGATTTAAAATAAACTTGGCACAGCTATAGATTATAATCGGTTATAACACATAGGCTACTGCTTATCTAAAAAAAAACAACTGACAAAAGCGAAATTAACGTATTGCTAATATAAATAAAAGTACCTGGATGACCGAGTTTTGCTCGGTATTTTTATTCTTGGTAAATTTTCTAAAAATGAAACCTAGATCGATTAATCGCCACCGACACCCCCTGCATACTAAATTTCGTAAAAATCGTTGAAGCCGTTTCCGAGATTCAGATTATAAATATATACATATATAAGTATGTTTATCAGCAGTCTGGTTACCATGGTACAGGCTCTGCCTAGTTTGGGCTCAGACAGCCGTGTGTGAAATGTGTGAAAATGTTATTATATTATATATATATATATATATATAAGAATTGCTCGTTTAAAGGTATTACATATGTATATATTAATTGTACTAATTTCCTTGAACAGACTATTGCAGCAAATGACGCATCGGTTTTTATATTGATAATATTAATCTTTATATGTAATCTTAAAACGATACTACGTTTTGCAAATCTCAGTTATATGAGGTTATACTAAAAGGAACAAAAGAAAATACATTTTTCCTTATATATATATTTCTCGATTTAAATTAACTAAGTACTGCGAAGGTCCTTAAATGTGTGAAAGTCCTTATTTAGTGTAAGATTTAAAAAAATTGGTTAAGTTTTACATTTAACAGACAAAATTGTATGTCTCGATTATAAACAGTTTTACAGTAAACGATTTACGTTTTAACTTGTGCCGCTATAGCTGCTAGCATTAAAAGATGACATCACCATTATGAATCATCATTAGAGTAAACCTACTCAATTTTCAACTATGAACACAATAACATTGAAGATATAAACTTATCGAAAAATATTTTTTTCCTATTTCATTTCCAATTTTATTAAACAAATTATTATTATTAGTAAGTTTGTAATTGTAAATTAGATTCAGAATAAACTTATAAAATACATAGAGTAGTGTAATCAAGAGTAAACAATAATGAGAGAAATGAAACATAATTTATTTGCAAACATTCTTTCAAATTGCTCTATATATTTTTAAATTATTTTAAATCATATTTTAATTTATTCGTCTGCGTCCCTGGGATAAATTTTCCTCATTTTCGCAACAATTTTCATTGATGCTCGGCTCTTACTGTTCGTAGCGTTATGTCATATAGCCTTCCTCAATAATTGGGATATCCAACACCAAAATAATTTTTCAATTCGTATCAGTAGTTCTTGAGTTTAGCGAATTCATCCACACAAACAAACTCTTCGGCTTTTTAATATTAGTATAGATATATAATAATTTTATTACTTTTAAATTATTTTTACTCTTAATTTACCTAATTAACATCGTTAGTTACACTGTTGAACATTAACTCATTGTAGCTCATTAGATCATAATAACATATCACAAGCGGAAAAGGTATTTTTATATCTTATCAGTTCAATTATACATTTGGAGGCTGTCTACATATAAATAATTCAATAATGCGGGGGACTAAAAATTTACAGACAAATTTCTACGTAAAGAAATTGCCAGACGCAACGTGACATACTGATATATATCAGTAAATCTAAAAAAGAAGAAACTGACAGACTAATTCACTGACTGATCGATTAATGCACGCTGCAACCACTGGATCTAGAAGCATCAAATTTGTGCAAAATTTTGCAGTAGGTGAGCACAAAGAATGGATTTTTTTAAAATTCCATGCCTAAGGGTGCTAAATTGGGGTAGAAAATTTATATAAAACTTCGATCCTCTACGATGTCTGATGTCAACCACCACGCGGACGAAGTCGCTGGCAAAAGCTAGTATTAAATATTTACTTTCCATATCTATATTATCAAGGCAAGTGATAATATTTTTATCGATTCATAACTATCGATAATTTTGCATCTCTATTATTTGCAATATCTACTGATTTCATTACTGTTAGTAGAAGCATATATTGTTAATGGCAACCCTGAATTAGCAGTAGCAAGATAGTACATGCTTGTAAAGACGTGTGTAAAGACGGTAATGTGTTGGTTGGTTGTTTGTTCTCGGATTAAATATTAAATCAAGAGTGTATACAACATATTCTGAGTAAGTACCTATTCTGCAGCATTGATTTTCTTTAGGACGTATATGTATATTATTAATAATTATGTAAATCTATCTATACATAATTATGGATCTAATAGAATCTCTGTCCCGAATGAGTATTTATGTGTGGTAACGGATTAAGAATACGGTGTGTCACTACCCTATTCACCCTGTGGGTGTTGTAAGAGCCGACTAAAGGAGCAAACTACGCGGGACAACAACACTGCAAAGAGATGGAAATCTTGAAACAGACTTTAGGCCTATGTCCAGCAATGGACTATAGGCTGTTGATGATGATGAGTATTTATAGAGATTTTCCACTAAAATCTAAAATCAACGATTTAATCAGGAAAGTTAGGTATAGCTATTTACTTAGTATTCAAATATAAATAGATATGATGTAGTGTGTGTAGTGTATTTTACAATCAGAGAGGCTAAGTGGTCACCAAGTCGGTTAACACATTGCAAAGTTAAGTAATACTAGCTAGGTCAGCAATGGATTGGTGAACATTCTTAACACATTGAGACACCTCCGTGCCTCGGAAAGCACGTTAAGCCGTCGGTCCCGGTTGCCATACGAACATCTGTGGTAATCGTTACGGGTAATAATAATTAATTATGTTTTTTTTTCACTTTAAATATAAAAAACATTATTCCTTTATAGTAAAGTACCGATTTGTTTTATTATAATACATTTTGGTTATACAGTTTGATAGACGTCGTAATATGATAATATCTATTAAGCTTGTATGATTGGTGTTAGCTGGTTCTCAATTATGTATGTAAACAATCGGTAACTTCAAGTGAATTATATAAGAAGTCTTTACAAGGGATTGCATTTAATTATAAAGTTAAATTATATTTTTAAGTTTGAACAAAAATAAATATATGAACCTTATGCACCTAATTAAATAAGTATATGACGGCGAATGACACATACAAACTGGTTTAATCTGGTGTCAAATTTTTTGGGTTTCATTGAATTAGTATTGCTATTGCGTATAAGTATAGCGGTTAACATCGGATGGAATTGATAAATGATGAACATCTTAAGGTCGGGTTCGCTCGCAGTTGGACACGACCTGACAATATGTATAATTTTGTTAATCAACCTATTATTGGCTCGAAATCTATATATTTTTTGATAATTTCAGTAAGCTCGTCATTGAATATTGCATAACCGTATTTCTTTTCGCGACAATTACATGGTTTTCGCAATGGCCGATCTATATTACGAAATAGCAAGGTAATTATAGTACCCAAATCAGTAATCTGATATATATCTACATATGTAAGTACATCAATTATGGCATTACATAGTTCTCTTTCATTCTATTTTTTGATATTCTCATCAAGGTATATGGGCATTTATTAATTTTAGAAAAAATACAATTATTTTTTATAGCATTACATCAAAGAATAATACATAAAACCAGGAAAAAAAGGATATTTTTCATGACAAGGCTGGGCAAGTTATACCGCGTCGTCACTAGTTTCAAAGGCATTAGTTGAAATTTAAGGGCATGTCTTGATTACGTTAAGTTACTATATAGGAAAATATCGTAACTTAATGGAAATGTAAAGTTGAGTTTACATTAATTAAGTTTTTCTTTAGACGCTCTAGTTGTTTCCTTCTCTGAGTTCCATATCTTACAGGATCGTTTTTAGTTTGTCCCTATAACGTTTTGTTCTTTCTGCTGAAGTGAGATGAGAGCCATAATATCTAAGATCTGAAAATACACATTAACATGGTATTATTCTACATAATTTTAAAATTTGCAAAATTGCTTGACACTGGACTTAAATGTAGCAACAATACAATAAGCATTTTGTAAAATTTTACAATATGAGTATGCAGCGTGTGGTGAGGATGTCATGTCCACTTACGTGAAACGTACTTACGTATATCTAAACAACACACTGTCATTTAGTACTTCCCAACATACAAACTACAATAACTCATCTCACCTGGGAATTGATGGGTACATATATAAAGGTCATGATTGTACCGCAAACAAGCAACTAACCCTACAGTTTAAAAACACACATTCTTATTTGTTTTTGTGTAGTCGGGTAAAGTACAATGTAGACAACTCTTTACATTGCCAAAACGTCACGATTATTATTCCGCATATATGTCACGTGACGACACTGACGTGACGTTCACTATCTTCTGCAAAAATATCTTGCCCATAATGCCCATGATGCTAAATGGGGATTTACTCAAGCGTCATGGGGACATTGATATAATACTTTGTTGTGTGTTGTTTTAACTCAATGCATGGGGACCTATTGCATTTGAAAGATTAGGTAATAGAATGAATAAAAGTCATGTAATGTTTCCTCTTTCAGCGATGGGAAAAGCTTCTACAGGTTTTCAAAAATGTAAGGGGAGTGAATCGAAAAATTTCTTTTCGGGCGCATTTGATATTTTGGGGATTATGTTATTTGGACTCCAAAAATGCTCCCATTGAAAGGTCTGACGATTTTAAAGTGACACAAGCTGGTAGCGAATTATCGAAAATGCAAACTGCAAATTAGAAAAAACGCCATTTCGAAATACTCGACCGTATTAGATTTTATACAGGCGGTTCAGCTTAATGTTGCTGTCATACTAGCCAAAAATCTGACGATAATTTTGCAGGGTATTTTAAATCTGACGGTTTGAAATATTTTGAATTTTTGTTTTTCTATTAATACAAAGGCACGAAAAATTATGTAGACATTTAAAGATTTCTTCATTGTTTGCTTCAAAATAAAAAAGAAATGTCAAGATCATGTGTTTTTTTGGAACTTTGTGACTCTCCCACTGCTTTATGTTACGCTCAAATCGTCTGATTTTTTAAATCCACACTAATGTGCATGTAATTGACCTAACTTACCTTAATCTTACACGTTCGAGTATTTCTGGCCATCGATTTTTTTTCTAATCCCGAAAGCTCTTCTAGGGTTTCCTTACTATTGATTTTTTATCGTTTTGATAGACTGTTGATCAATTAGAATATTCATACAAACAATTAAAAAAATATTTGAATAAAGCATAAATATAATAATAAATACTTACAGTTCAGAAGAAATGCCGTGACTATTGCGGAACAATGCTTTTCGTGTATTTTTGACTATATAGGATTTTCCATCATATGCGAATTTCGTGGACAGGTTTAATCAATGATATTTTAGTTTTTGTAAGAAAATATGCTAAACAATACTTTCAAATAAAACACAATAAGACACATCTGCATAACCCTTTTCTTTTATCAAATATTTATGATCTAGTCAAGTTTAAAGCAAACTCAAACTCCAATTCTCTTTATTTCATAAAAATTTTAAAATTGTTTGAAATCGTCTTTTAATGTGACTAAAGACAAAGATCAACACACACAAAAGCAACAATCTCTGTTTTGTCAAATAGTAAGCAAATAAATTTAACAAAAATCATACCCATACAAAATTTATGATATGCCTGTGCCGATCTACAACCGCCCGTTTCTAAGGGGTTGAGCCTTATGAGAAGAAAGGGCAAACTAACTCATGGCCACTCTTTTGCAATTCACAGATAGATACAATGACACTATTAAATATAGCACAACATTGTTTTGATGTGAGCCAGTATGTCCGTTATTAAGGACTAAAAGGTAAAAAGACAATGAAGAGAAAACAAGATTAAGAAAAAAACACGAATAAAAGAGAAAATGAAGTAAAACAAATAGAAAAAATAATAATAATAAAAAACACACTAGCCATATCACATTTTTACTTAAGAAAGAAATAGCCTGCGCTAATTAATCAAAAGCATTCTTGTCTGCCATGTAATCCATAATTGAGTAGTAGGCCCTCTGGCACAAGCCACGTTTTATTGGATTTAAATTGGTTAATACTTAACTAATAAATATTATTTGGGATTTTATTATAAAATCGGACACATTGACCTCGAAAGGACTTGTTTGTCTTTTGGAGCCTAAAGGCGGGTACTACAAGTTTATTTCTATTTCTGGTATTTATAGAATGTACATCACTTTTTTCAAAAATCTATCTTTGTTTTTATGAACATATATTACATTTTCATAAATATATTGACTTGCCACTGTTATTATCTTTATTTCTTTCAAAACATTCAAAGTTGCCTGATACAACATAGCATATTTGCAGTTTGTAACATTAAAATAAAAGTTTTCTTTAACAAAGTAAATTGAATGTAGCTTTTATGCTTAATTTTTATGAGAAAAACAAAATAAAACAACGGTATTAAAAGTGAGAGAAATAGTGAGCAAAGCTTTATTGAAGTTTGGACAACCGTTTTTACCCGTGTGCAACATTTCGTGAAAATACACATTTATAACTAGATTCTCATCTCGGACCTTTAATTATTTAATTCATGGGGAGTAAAATAAATATAGCTATTATTAAAGAAAACTCAACATGATACAGGGGATTTCCCTAGCGTCAAACCGCGGCTTTACCCGTTATCGCGAACACTACAAACATTTATCGCGTGCAAAATACCTACAGTCAATAAAATCTCTAAATAATATAAAAATATTATGTAAATTTAGCATAACCAATTGTCAGGAACAGATCTAATCGTAACACACAAACAATTGTCGGTTAACGTGTCAAAAAGTATGTTACTCGCTGATAATGTAGCTTTCCATTGCTGCATTAGTGAAAGAATGATTAAAATCGGTTTAGTAGTTTAGGCGTGAAGGCGTAACATAGTCACTTCCAAATTTTTAATATTTTTATTATTTTAAAATATATAATATATATTTTTTTATTTTTGCCCGCGGATTCGCCCGCGTATTGGTCATCGTGGTAAAAAGTACCCATGTTACTCGCTGATAATGTAGCTTTGCTTTGGGGAAAGAATTTTTAAAATCAGTTTAGTGTTTTAGGCGTAAAAGCGTAACAAACAAACGAACTCACTTTTTCATTTATCATACAAGTATGGTATGTATTTTTTTTCTTTTTACAGGCACGTTCAACAATGCCTCAACTGAAAGTCCCTGCAGAGAACCCAGTTAAGAGAGGTCCGGGTTCGTATTACAGGCCTCTAGAAGTTAAAGATATGTATTATAATATGAATCGTAGGTATCGTGGATTAGCGCTAATATTTAATCACGAAAATTTTGATAACGGATACCCTTCAAAGCGTCGTGGAACAAAGCAAGATAGAGATAGACTACAAACTATTTTAAAAAACTTAGGATTTAAAGTTGAAGTGAAAAATGAGATGACTTATGAGGAGATTTTTAATATTATTCAAGCCGTATCAAAAATGAATCATTCTCACAATGACTGCCTACTTATTACTGTTTTAACTCACGGTGAACTTGGAATGTTACACGCAAAAGACACGATTTATAAATTAAGAAACCTCTGGGAACCATTCACTGACAAGAATTGTCCTACACTTGCTGGAAAGCCAAAGATTTTTTTTATTCAAGCCTGTCGCGGTGTTAAATATGATAATGGAATCACTTTGAAAACTGATGGATCTTCTGCATTGACTGAAAATCCAACTCATCCCGACTTTGTTTTTGCTTTTTCTACAGTACCTGGTTATTACTCTTGGAGGAATAGCAGTAACGGTTCCTGGTTTATTCAAGCTCTATGTGACATACTGGTTGATTGTGCGATTGATACCGATATCTTGAAAATGCTCACGTATGTTTTACATAAAGTTGCTTTAGACTTTGAATCTTATACACCTAACGACTTGGAAAGTCACAAAAAAAAGGAGATGCCTAGTATTCATAGCACACTTACTCGACTCTTAATTTTTAACAATATGAAAAAGAGGAACGACTGCTGTAATCAGTCGTGAGTTAAGGGTTAACGTGAAATGTATGTAGCAAAACATGAGTCGTTCTGACGTAATTAAACCTAACATATTGGTAATAAACATCCTAAGAAAATGTACAGGACCTATTTGTTTATGTATGTAAATTGTGGTTAAGACTAGTCTTTTTATGTTAATGTTCCTTTAAGTTGTTAGATATTTTAGTTGTTGGTTTTGAGTATAACATATCAGTAAAAAAGTCCTGTACCTATATTTGGGATCGGAATAAAATTATAGTAGAAAATAGGAATCTAAAGAGAATTTCAACTTCAATATTCATTCAGGAGCAATTAATGAATTACAAATAAAAGATAATAACAAATACTGACTACTAAAATAAATGAATGCCACTAGAAACAACAAAAAATATGAAAAACTTTAATGAAGAAAATATACATACATCTAATAAAAAAAATATAGAATGGATTGTCTTGTATAGGGAAAAGCCTTGGCATAATATAGTTGTATTGGATTTTTATATTACACGTTAAATATTGTGATCAAAATTTATACTGCTGGTACTGTTAAAGTTTATGGTTTCATTGTTTAGAATCTTAAATACAAGATTATCTAAACTATACAGGGTGTAAGGGACATAGTAACGAATACAGCTCACGGGGAATGAGCTTAACATTTGACAGCGAATCAGCTGTCAAAGGTTAAGGTCATTCCCCGTGGATATCGCACAAAAGTAATAACTATATTTGTATTCCGTGCAAACAGTCTTAGCAACGGGGGAACCCCGCAGGATTCGGCTGTTTTTGACCGTATGCGTTATTTATTAAATTACTTTGGGTAAAATGTTCTTTACTCATTGTGATATCTTATTTCATCATTTTTAACCAAAAACATGGAAAATTAATAATTTTCGGGCAGAAAATTCATTATGATGGTCTGAATACACTATTTCAGTAAACGACATCCCTAGCACCCTTTTTTTCCGTGCGCAATCCCCTCAGATACCACCTATCGGTGGCATGTCGGACTCGAACCGACTAAAACGGCACGCCGTATCGGGTACTAATAGCCGGGGAACCAGGTATACCCTAGAAAGGAAGTCCCTGGTGCCCCGACATACCTAGGGCCATCTACAGACGAGTAGACGACCCCCTAGTGTGGGAACCCCATGTTCCCTCTGCTCCCTGGAAGCGAGTGAGCTTCGCAACGCGCTCGCCGCCACCCATCCCTTGCACCCTGTAGATAATCTTGTATTTTAAGTTCATGATAAAAAAAAGTTCAATGCTGTTTTTTTATCAAGTTTTATAGTTTTAATGTCATTTTCTAATTTGAAGTAAATTTTTATACACACGATAAATGAAATTTAATTAGCGACATTTCTGCGGTCTTCCTCATTGTGGTAGTTAGCTTTTTCTTTTTAGTTTGTCGCTATTGTATTGAAAATTTAGTGGTTTATAGCATATTCACGTTGATATACATATACACACACACACACACACATAATACCGAAAATGGTATGATATTATGAAAAACTTTGTCTATATTCCCATGTTACAATGACGTAATTGAACTATAGGTATGCATAGACATAGTAGGATGACATAGCTGTGTTTAATCTTTTTAATTTGTTTAGGCCATATGTAAAATTTGCGAGCTCATTTGTTACTTATGTATACGAGATTATAAGATAAAATTTAACGTTCTATAGATATAATTATTTTTTAAATTTGTATAAGATAATAATAGTATTATTAACTTAATTATAATTATACATATCACTGTTTAATTTAATATAAGGCAATAAATTCTAATCCTGTATGTTCCTAACGTATCAAACTGTTATCATGTTACTATACCTTTACAGGGTACATGTAAGCATGAATTAAATTAATAATGATGAATGATTTTTTGTTGTTTAATAACACCTCTGTAACAACTATAATATCAATAAACAAAAAGCAATAACAAAGTATTCCAGTATTTCACAACCGTTATGCAATTAGGATCGTTTTAATTCAAATACTATTTTTCGCATAATATTAACCACGTCACATTTCTTGAGTGTTAGTAAACCTAAAAGAAGAATTTATTTATGGTTAATTTACACCGCAGATGATTGTGGATACGACCTTCAAACCTTAAGAAAAGAGCGTACTCTCACAGCCAAGGCTGGTTCATTATGACTCCTGGGTTGCAGGTGTTCATCAGTAAAGAGAAGGCCTAAACAATGGCCCACGGCTTCCCTCACGTAAATATCAATTTTCTCAATAAATTAGACCGGAATGAATTGTAGCTTCAGTGCTATTTTAGACATAGACATTCTATCTATGTGTCAAATCTTGTCTTCTTGTGTTGTGATTGAGTAACAAACATACGTATTGAAAAGTTAAAAAATGGGTACCTTATTAATATTCTTTAAATAAATAATTAAATTAAAAAATATATTTATTTGATTTAGAATATAATTACTGAGAGTTTGGAATCGATAAATTAAAAAATAGTTAAATTAAAAATTAGTAAAACCGTTTTTTTTTTTAATTTTAATATCATCACATCAACAACCTATACTAGTCCACTGCTGTACATAGGCCTCTCCTTAGAAAGGAGGTTTTGGCCTACTATACCACGCTGGCCAGACGGGTTGGTATAGGGTTTGTTTCAAGTTTTCCTTCTCTTTGAAGTGCTGTTGTCCTGCTTAGTTTGCTCCCTTAGTCGGCTCTTACGACACCCACGGGATGAATTGGGGTGGTGACAATTTGTATTCTTAATCCGTCACCACACGGAATAATTTTAATATAGAGAATTCTTATTTATTTATTTATAACATATATTTTTTAATTTAATTATTTATTTATTTAGGTTGAAAACGCATTTACCAAAAATAACGAAATTACATATAAATTTCCAATCCTCATTTTGCACCCTCAGGGATGGAATGTTTAAAAATTATTTCTTAGTAGGTGTACGCCACCTAAGGAACATTTGTTCAAAATTTCATCAGCAGTGCGTTGATCAATCAGTCAGTGAATCAGTCTGTCAGTTCTTCTTTTATACATATGTATAGATAAAAATATCTTGAAAGTTTATATTAAATGCAGACTTACCTTCAACGTTTTTTCGTTATTAAAATTATATTTCAAAGATAGTTTTATATTATTCGTAAAACACATATTAGACAAAATAAACGAAAATAAAAACATGTATGGTTCACGCATTGCCATTACGCTACACAAGAGTTATGTTTTCAGTCCTCTCGTACGGAACACAACAGGTGTGGATTACAGCACGCTCGTTGGGAACAACGTGTGTATTATTAGCACGACTGTAAGGGAACACAACAGTTGCGTTTTATACGCACTGTCGACTATTCACAATACTTCAGTGCTGAGAACACCCTCTACGTACATTAGGCAGCAGTCTAAGCTTATTTCTTATGAGTATATTTTAGGCAGCAGTGAAGGTGTTAGTTGGAGGTCTTAGATAATTACAATTTAGCGGTTATCAATGAGGTAGATGACTTTCAAGTTAAATCAGTATCTTTTTATTGAACGTCAAAACGATAGACGCGGTACATTTACAAACATGAAATTATATATAAAGACAATAAAGACAAATGAAGGGCTTTTATTTTAAGATGTTACATTTAATGATTCAGGCAATTTTTTTTAAAGATAACTCCCGCACGTTAAATAAATTCTGTGTCGCGGGGGACTTTACAAACATACATGAAACGGACACAAGGGACACCCAGACTCAGAACAACAATTTATGGATCACACAAAGTGTTGTCCCATTAGGGATCGAACACAGCTCACACAACACGCATAGGCAGCGGCGAAGTGACCGCTTAAACCACTACGCCATCCATGCAGTCAGTCAATTTCTTTTAAACCTAGAAATCTACTCTATTTTATATTTTGCTTATCTAATAAACTTGGTAGCACTGCCTAATATTTAAACTCATCTTTTTATCATTATCCCATGTTACTAATGTGTCGATATGTCTTTGTATATCAGCGAGCCGTAACCGTTGCATGTACTGTTCCCAAAAAACATAGCGTGTACGTGATTCAGAAACGTTGACGCTTACAAGGAAAACAGCGTACTATAGAACCCTAAGGAGAAAGACTATTATAAAAACATTTGAGACAGTTCGTCTGACACCGTTGAGTTAATAACCAATAGAGTTACGATCACAGTGATGAGGGCTTCCCGTACACACTAGAACCTCGTTACTCTATCTGTTTAGTTACAGTTACAGCTCGCTAAATGAGTACGCGCGGTTAATGCGTTCAGATGACGGTGTGCGCCGAAACCGTAACACACGTACACACTAGAAAATCGTTACTGTTTAGTTACAGTTACAGCTCGCTAGTGAGTACCCGGCTTTACTAAATCAATTTCAGATGAAATAACGATATTTTATTAATCGTGATATAAACTACTTGTTGTTCTCATTTGCTACACCATTAAAGCACTGCATGAATTATAGTAAGATTCGCGAAATACATCCGACTCTTCCTCTTTCTCTGTACTTTGTTAACCCGTGATGAAGTCTGCCTGCGTACTAATACCCTGTTTTGTCGAATCTAAATAAAGTAACTACAAAATTGAAACGAACTTGCTATTTAAATATGAGACACTTATTCGTGTTAAATCAGAATTTCTTCGCCCAGTTTCATCTTTATCTATTTTTCTTAAATTTGCCTGATAATTGCCTGCTTGAAAGTAATGCTTGCTTGCTCCTTGGATCAATTGTAGTAAAAATAGAGAGCTTATTAAATTTTTCAACATCATATTGTATATTTTGAGCATACATACCAACAGGATCGTCAGCATTGATGATATATTTCTCAGCGAGGCTGCGACAGAGCGGGAAGAGATCCGGCGCAGCGTACAGCACCACACGGGGAACCACACAGCCCGATATACTGCCGCGACTGCGCATGCTACCCGCGCGACGCCCTTGCGCTTTCTAAGTAGAAACATATTATAGAGAACTACAAGCTACTTGTGACAATAGAAAGCAAAGAATATTTATAATGATGCAATTTGCTATTATTGTTGTAATGGTTGAATAAGTTTTTTTACTTGATTTCTTCTGGCTTTGGGACCATTTGGAAATGGGTGTTTATAGATTGAAAGAGGTAGAGATGATATTTATTAATTTATTTAATTTATCCCAAACACATCTCACACAATCCCTACAGGAAACCCAATAGGATTGTTATCTTATTTATTTCTCATTTTTTTTGTTTATTATATTTAAAAGCAATCTGTTGTCCCCGTGACATTGTGTTCAACCATATATTTTTTTATTTAAAAAGACAATATATTAAAAATAATTGGTATTGAATTTTATGACATAGAGATACATAGATAGGTATTGAATTTTATATGCTTTTTTGGTCACATTTGCATCATATTTGAGTATTTAATTCATTCATTATAAGTAAATTAAAAAAATATATTAAAAATAATAATAATAATAGCAATAATAATATTAAAAAATATTATTATTGGTAGATTAAAAAAAAAAATTGGTGAATGTTGTATTAAATTGGTCGTATAGGTATTGTACCAAACTAGCCAATTCGCCAAAAAAAAATCAAAAAGGATCAAAAGGGTGATAACTGGTTCATCGTAATGAGTAAATTAACATACGAGCATATTGCATATCTATATAATATTTAAAAAACTTAAGTTGGTCTAAATTAAAATTACAATAAATAAAAACACAAAAAAATCTGCACCAAAAACATGTATATCGTGTCAAAATTTGAGCTCATCAAATTTTGACACGATATACAACCACAACCACAGCGAAGTATGTTTATAAACCAGTACTAAATTCTGGAACTACTATAAAAAAATGTACTCACCCATCTATCTTGGAAATAAAAAGTAGTTATTGAATTTGATTGATGTCGGTGATGCAGCTGTGGAAAACCGTTCGCATTTGTCGGTGACGGAGTAGTGGTGGCGTGAGGGGACACAGAGCTATACCCAGTGCCAAACAATCCTGGTGTCAGAGATAGCGATGACATCGACCGTGGTGTTCCTGTTTCATGTTTGAGGGACAATCTACGTGCATTCGGCGGTCGGTTAAAGACAACTAGAGTGCTCACTCCACACCACTTAGCTCCACAGGTCCGAGGAAACGGAATGCATGAATCACCGGCGTTTTCGCTCTCCGATTGACTTCTTTGACTAGACTTCATTGAATCAGAATCGTCACTAGACTTTACTGGAATCTGGACAATCAAACGAATACACTTTAGTGCATTACTTAAGAAGAATAAACACATTACAAGCGTATCTAGTATATGTCGTAAATTCTTAATTATTACAAAGTCAGAGTAGTACGGTATGTTTCGAACTTATATCGATATGTATGAATTAGGTGAATGAGCAAAACCTATCCCGAACAACAACCGAACTTCTAATTAAAGTACTACCTATTTATCTATGAACTTGCATGTAGGTATATAGTTTTTAACCGTGTTGTTGCCTCATACGTCAGCTGTTTCTGCTTATTGATTTGTGTGTGTCTTGGGGTCCTGATATCGCAGTCAAATTACAAAGCTGGACGGGCTAATGAAGAAATGGATACGGTTTAGGGTTGAACTCCTCGGCTTCCGACCCTCCATAGCGGATTCAGTGACGTTGGTACCACCTACTTAAGCAGGTAGCCTACGACTTCACAAGCGGCCACTATCACTACAGCAAAACAGTGGCGCTTTTTTAATACAACCCAAAAATGGTTAAAGTTATTCTTGAAACCATCATTTGGGACTACTAAGACCATAATCGGTAGGTAATTTGAGCTATAATATATTTAATAATTATTTTTGTAATAAGTGTATAATAAGTGTTATAATAGAAGAATGTAATTAAAATAGTTACATACCTCATCAATGGATGTCGCCAAAGTTTTGACGCAATGCAATAAACATCGGTTTCCTTCTTTCTTTCTTCTGTAGGCAGTTCTATTAATGGCCTGCAATATTTTAATAGTGGTAGGACTATCGACATTGGTACCCGACAGCCAGGAGAATTTTGGTATTGTCTGTTCATTGTTGGTATTTCTTGGAAATGTAACTTGTAGATTGGCTATGTAACCGTTTCGCTCAGAATGAATCTGGCATGTGCGTGTCTCATTGTTGGTATCAGTAACCTCTATGTTAGCCATCTCCCGAATTGATTCAAATTCCTCGTTGATGGACGTACTGCTTTTTTGGGAAAGTTTATTCTGAAATTAAAATAATACATTTATAGGAGGAATTCTTTGTTTTCTGGAGTGCAGGCAGTTAATAAATACGTCGTACATAGGTACATAATGTGTGTTGTTGTTGCTATAGCGAAACAACAAAAGAATAAAACAAACGCTAAATTTGTAGGATAATAATATAGCCCAACTTGCTAAACAATTAATTTACGTATTCATTTAGTATTTGGAAAAGAAGAGAGGATTTTCATATCTTAATAATTACGTTACTATACATAATTCGATTGTCAAGAAACTTGTGATTAAAATACTTACAGGAATACAATTAAAAATGCAAGTACCTATAAACTATATACATTTTTATTTGTGTAAATTTAAAAACTCATGTATGTGCACAGAGGCGGATTAAGTGTAAAGTGCGCCCTAGGCAAGAATCTCATTGGCGACTCCTGCATCTCTCTATCGCCCATAATACATTACTAATAGCTATTATTTGACGTTACTAAATGAGTGATAGTGATAAATTTTCGTGATCCGATAACAGCTTTTATTAAGACATCGACGACGACGATGAGGCACTGGAAGGCACGCCAGCCTTGGAGCGTCGAACTGCTGGTAGCAAGAAAACCTCTCCACTGCCATGAGCGCCCGAAGCCACGTTGACTAGTGTGTGCTGAGCCGAGTTCTCACTACAGTCGCAGTGGTGACAGGCGCAACTCGATTCTCTCCTAGCGATCGACTGCTGGTATTTTCCTAAGCAGACGTGCCCAGAAAGGACCTGCTTCAGTCGGCAGGACAAGGTCCCATGCTGCCACCCCGTACATTTGACGATGACCGGTTGGAGCGCCTGAAAGCCAGTACGTGTAGCTTCCTGCCAGGATGACCAACGAGACATCATGGCTCAGGGCCTTACGCTACTCATTTCTGCCTCTGAGGGTGCTAGAGGCGTCTCTTATTCTGGACTGTCAGAGCTTACGCCCACACCGGTGCACCATATAGTGCCATTGACTGAACAACCCTTTACTTTTACTACAACCCATAGAGTAATCTCAACTACAGCTGCAGTTGTAGCAACAGATTTTTATGTACACGGGTACACTAAATCTTCCTAGGTATCAGAAATGGGAATCAAAGAAGTAGTGGCAATTACGTAATATAAAACCTAGATGTCAACCTTATACATCTCTATAGAATTAAAGAATTGTTTATATTGTGTAAGAATGTGCACACTTACTCAATATAAACTCAAAAAAAAGTTATAGATGGGTTCACCTTTCATCGTTTTTTTTTAATTTTGATGTAATCAATTAATAAAATAGTACCACCAGAAATGACACTTTGGTCACTGATAGTTTGATCAAGGAGTACCTAGCAGCAGTAGTACACTTTGTAGTTCAGGAAGCTGATTATAGGTGTTCTTTGTTTGAGAATACGTTAGTTAGTAATAATAATATTTTGTATCAGACGGGACGACGACCGATGGACTAAGGCAGTTACCGAATTGTGGAAAAGAGATATGCGCCGGCCTCGAGGCTGACCACCTCCCCTATGGTCAAATGACATTGTGAGGGCGGTTGGAGAGCTCAGTATTGAGTACAACAGGCTGCTTAGATATATAGATTGATCATAAATTAATCGTGTTCTAGACTTACCAATAAAATATCTTGAGTCTTACTGTCACCTCCAGATATATCATTATTAGAGCCAGCAGTTGATGCATAACTCACATCTGAAACAATATACAGATTTACAAGCCTCGCTAAAACAGGCGTAGCAGTAATGTAATTAGTAGTTATAGACTACTTCCGCTCTACGAATGATTTCTGATCACAAACAGCACATGAAACACCAACTCGGACGTCTCGACCTGTTTAATACAGGACAGTACTTGTCATTTGCTATAAAACAGGTTTATCTCCTTTTAGGCAATAACCCCACCAAAGATAATCAAATTAATTTGTCGCCTGTCAATAATGTATTAGCATCAGTGTAACATGACGACGACTTTTTGCTTATTAAACGCCTAGGTCACTTAAATAGATATATTATTTATTGGCGATCCGCCCTGGCTTCGCACGGGTGCAATGTAGATACTACTAATGAGGTGTTAGTTTGTAGTAATTATGATAAGACATTTTTATATGCAATATTTACAGGCCCGTTCCGCTGCTGCCGGGCACTGCCACCCGGGACGGACGCACGGCACGCTATTTTGAATATCTGCTATCTACTAAGATATTTACTTTAATGATATGCTGTACAAGGCAATTTTGATCTATATCACATGTACAATGTATCTAACGCATTTATTTCGATATGGGATAATACTGCATTGTTCAAAATGGCTTCGTAAATTACCGATTATTTTTTGTAATTTGTAAAAAGATAAAAATGGGTACTGTGGATTATGCTTAGGAGATTGACATATACCACCGGACTTTTTCGTAGATCTTTTAAGATATACAATTCCGGAATACATTATTTTGAGCTATCTCGAGCTAAGGTTTAGACAGCGTTGGCAATGTAATCGCACAAAAACGTGTTTTATTACGACAAATCTTTGAAATTCTTGGATTTTCCCTCCTATAATATGCATGTATTATACATATAAACCTTCCTCATAAATCACTCTCTCTATTGTTGAAAACCGCATTCTGTTGTTTAGTTTAAAAGATTTAAGCGTACAAGAAACAAATCGACTTCATTTTATACTCCAGTGACACTCTGTATTCTTAATCCTTCACCACACAGACAAGCATTCTATAAAAAGTTGTGTCTTGTGTGTTGTGTCTTTAGCGGGTCTATTTTCTTAAAGGAGATAGACCTGTTTTCACATCTGTACAGTCATAACCATGACCTCGTTTAGTACAATTAGTACACGCTCATTTGGTGCTCAACGAAACATGCTACAACAACAATCATGACAAATAACACTTACTATCACTGTTATTATCATCATCATATTCATCATCTGGCAAGTAGTGATTACACATCTTTAGTAATGTCGGGTGCATTGTCCATACCCTTAACGACTGATCTCTGGCCCATGTTACTAATTGATAATTAGATGGTGATGTATTTGGTCTCCAAACCATTGTTTGGACAGTATCCGTATGACCTACAAGTCTGTGTGCTAGCGCTCCACCTACCCAAATGCCAATCACACCAGCCTGCTCAACTCTTGGCATTCCACCCCATCCTACTCCAATGGTCAGTAAACCATTGCCAAATGGTGTATATATCGCACGCCAAACTGGGAAATTCGTCATGATTACGTTTTCTGGTCTTCTAGCATTGTTAATATCAAAATACTTAATGCTTCCATCATGACTGGATGTGACAAGTTGATATTCGTGATGTGGACTCCAATCAACACCATGAATCTTACAAAGATGTGCAGATATATACTGGATGGGAGTGGAGTGCTTCCGGTAGTCCCAAATTTTGATATCTCCGTCATGAGCTGTGGCCACTATATGAGATGCTACTTTGTTCCATTGTACTTGTGAAGCTCCAGCTGTAATGTAAAATATACCCTAATTAAAAATTCAGTCAAAACTTCAGTTTATTAAACAAAAAAGCTCAATCCATTTAATCACTACTGATATTAAACACAATAAATATTTATTGCACTTTGCCCCTGGACAGTTAACATCCCAACATCTGCATTAATTTTGGTAAATAAATAGGCAGCCGATTGCAAGCAAGTTTGTATATTGTTGATACAATGTTGATAAAATGTCGACTTATAATTTTAAAAGCAGCACAAGAAAAGTAATTTAATTGTATTACTAACCAACTGCACATAAAGATAACACAGGTTTTCTTGCATCACGTAAATCCCAAAGATGAGTGAAAGTGTCTATAGAACATGTAGCAATTAGGTTATGATCTTGACGATGGAAATGTGTGTCACTGACTACACGTGTATGTCCACGAAGGGAACAGACACATGTAAGATCATTGCCACCTCGCCATTCATACACATCAACTCGTTGATTACTCTGTAAATATTATTTTTTTATATTAAAATTAATTCACAAATGACTTCATTACAAATCATGTGTAAGGCCACATCTATTTAAAGAATTAATGTTTATTAAAAATGATCTAACTATTTCATTGCAGAAAACATTGAACACTGATCTATTGATTTCCTTAGTATTATTGTATAATCTATACAAATAAATAAAATAAAAGTGTCTGTTTGTAATGTCAAAATAATAGGTTTTTTTCATGTTCACACGATTATTTGTATGATACCTATGCCTAAAAACCAGTGTTTTTTTGTCTGTCTGTTTTTTGTTCTTTAAAACGCTAGACCGATTTTGATATTTTACTACCAGGTAGCTGTCTATATAAGGAGTAACTTGGGCTGTTTTTCCCCTTCAAAACAATATAAAATTTGCCTGCTCAAGGAATCAAACCCGAGACCTCAGGTTTCATTAATTGACCTTAGTATTGAGTTATATTAATACCTCAATACTAAGGTAGTGCTTTCCAAATTAAACGTTAACGAAGTCACGGGTCCCAGCTAGTTATATAATATAAGGCTACCATTAGAGGGCTTTCCCACTAATGGTAGCCTCATAGCCTAATGGTACGTAGGTAGGTAGGTCTAGTGACTTTCCACTAGAGGTTGAATATTGCTGAACATCATACCCTGACCAAATTCGTGATATTCTGAAATGGCAGATCAGTTATAATTGATATCAGACAGCTTGTATGGAATAGCTTGTATGGTTTAATGATAGTAGAAACTGGTTATGAAATATGAAAACATAGAAGGGGCAGGCAGGACTTTGGTTGGTCAGTGATGTCCAGTGTGTTTTAAAAATTTTCTAAACACAGATGAACGTAAAAATTAAATTTACTGAAAACAAATTACTGGGGTACCTCTCTATCTGTTACTTTCAATATCGATAATGCCTATAATACCTTATTTAAATCTCTTAGCAAAGTATACAAACCGCAATAGCGCATAATTTTTGTCCTTGATAAGATTGACACCACTCTGCACCAGCCGCATCATACTTGCTATGGCGAGGATATTTCTTTACAATATCAGCTGAATCATCGTCTTGAGAGATCTGTTTGATCGCTAGCCATCTACGTCCTGCTAATAAAACATTATTGCCCGAATAGTCTACGGACATAGCAGTGGCCTGGAGATCTCGAAATTCCCATTTCATTGTTTCCGAACTCCAGTTTTTTAATGACATCATCATTTTATTATAAAGTAGTCTGTTTAGAAAGAAAATCGCTAAAGCTTCAACTTATTTGGTATAAGAAAAACATCTTCTAATTAAGTTTTCAATCGTTGGTTCCATTTATTTATTTTCTTTTTCTGTCACATTTTAAGTTGACAACTTTGACAGGAATTTATGTTTTCATTGGATAAGGTTGGGCAGAACATCGATATATTAAAATTAGGTCATTTTTGTTCCAATTCAAATTTTAGTTTATTTTACTCGTATTTAGATTATTGTTTCAGAGTATCGAAGTTGTATCAATTTCAATATTTTTATTTTTATTTTTACTAGATACTCCTAGAAGATTCTTGATTCTATACACCTCGTCAGTCGTTTGTCTTAAAATATCCCTCTCAAATCTTCGTAAAATATTTGTAAACTTATCGTTTCACCGTGGTAGAGCCATGCTATGGCACATATGGACGTGCTCGACAGGAGTAAAGTTAATATTGATAAAATTTATTTTCTTTTTTATTTTCTTCTAAAGCCACTAAAATTAAAAACCATTTAATTTGGTAGTTTTTTAATTTAAAAAAATCATATGGATTAGAAAAGGTAGTTCCTATTAAATTAACTGACGCGACGTGCGGTAGCAGCACCCGGCTACGCGAATAAGTGGACAAGAGTTATTGCACCACCCGAGGCGGGTGCAACCTAAGTTAGGACTATTTGGTCTGGTTTATGACTGGAAGAGCGAGAGAGCTAGCAGATTTGTTGAAAAGAAGAAGAATAAACGGAGCATGCTTGCAAGAAACAAAATGGAAGGGTACGAAAGCAAGAGAGGTAGGATGGAGCAAGTGATGGGAAGTGAAAGGGAGTAGGTGTGTATTGGATAGTGCCCTGAAAGAGTGTCTGACGAATGTGAAGAGAGAAAACGACAGAATAATAGTGCTAAAATTAATATGGGAGAGCGTGATTATGAATATTGTTAGCATGTATGCACCTCAAGCTGGATGCAAGGATGAAGGGAAAGAATTTTTTTTTTGACAATTTTGACATGGTTATGATAGGTATCCCTGAAAGTGAAGAACTTTTGATAGGTGGAGATTTTAATTGTCATGTGGGAACAACGAATGAGGATTATGAACGAGTACATGGAGGAAGCGGGTTCGAAATTATAAACATTGATGGTGAGTCCCTATTTCAGTTTTCCTCTTCGTTTAACCTAACAGTAGTTAACACATGATTCCAAAAACGTCACAAACATCTGATCACGTATAAAAGTGAAAAGAAGTAAGTTTTTTTTTAGAAAAATGGAAAGGGGTACCAGAGAATGAATGAATATTAAGAGTGGAAGAAAAAGGCAAAAAAAAAACGGTAGCGGTAGCCAGAGCTCAAGCTCAATACAAAATTACCAACTCAACACCTACAAGAACCTAGAGATCAAAAAAGAACTCTACCGCATTACAAAAAACAGGGTAGAAAGAGCAAAAGACCTAAATCATGTGAGATGTATAAAAGATGAAGAGGGGAGAGTGTTGGTTACAGATGAAGATATAAAAGAACGATGGAAACCTTACTTTGAAAAATTTATGAATGACGAAAATGAATGGAGCGGAGTCCTGAAGGATGTGGGTGTGAATGTCGGACTGGTGAATGAGATTAGTATAGATGAAGTCAGATTTGCAGTACGAAGTATGAAAAATGGAAAAGCAGTTGGCCAAGACCTGGTATACCCAGGGTAAGTTTGGAAGTTATTGAAAGAAGTCGGATATGAGTGGCTGCCTCTATTTTTCTATATGCTGTTGCATGAAGAGGTTCAGGAATGCAACTATCGAGGAATAAAGCTCATGTCACATACTATGAAAGTCTGGTAGAAAGTGATTGAGAGAAGAATAAGAGATGAGAGTGAGATAACCCAAAGTCAATTTGGGTTTATGCCAGGACGCGGGAAAATACATGCTATATTTGCAATGCGTCAACTATGTGAGAAATACAGGAGTGTGCACAAAAGCTTGCATATGGTGTTTGTGGGTCCTCGAAAAGGCATATGATAGGGTACCCCGAGATATTTTGTGGAGGGGCTTGAAAGAAGATAGAGTGCCTGTTAAGTATGTAGAATTGATTCGTGTTATGTACAGAGAGTTCAAGAACTCATGTAAGGTCGGATCCGCTCTGAGCCCATACTTCTTCCTGTTGATAATGTATGCTCTAACATCAGACATTCAGGAGGAGGCGCCTACGTGCCTGCTATTTGCAGATGACTAGATGGTGAGGTCCAGAGCAGACTGAAAAAAATGGCATCAAAGGCTTTAGAATGTTGGTTTAAAAATCAGAAGAAGCAAAACTGACTACATGTTCTGCGATTTCGGTGGTCTCTCCCGTCCTGAAACCATTTCGTTGGATGGGATAGCGATAACAGTCTTCTCCAATTTCAAGTATCTCGGCTCCCTCTTACAATGTAATGGTGAGATCGATCGAACTGTACAGCATCGAATCTATACGGGATGGATGAAGTGGCGACAGGTAACCGGAACAATTTTTGACCCCAGTGGGAAACTGGGGTCAAAAATTGTTCCCGTTACGTTGTTGTACAGTTCGATCGATCTCACCATCACATTGTAAGAGGGAGCCGAGATACTTGCCGGGACAAATTTATAAAACTATCATCAGACCCGCCGTCCTGTATGGTTCTGAAAGTTGGCCCATTTAGAGAACGGATGAGAGGCGCCTGAACGTAGCTGAGATGGATGTGGGGTGTGACTCCGATGGACAAGGTTAGGAATGAGTATATACGAGGGAGTCTGAAGGTAGCGCCACGGGATGAAAAGTTAAGAAGTAGGATAGGTTAGCTTGGTATGGACATGACATGCGGAGGGATGAGGAAAATGTGGCGAAGAAAGTTTTAGGTCTGGAAGTTGAAAGGTGCAAGGGAAGAGTAAGACCAAAAAGGTGAATGCACTGTGTAAGTGAGGATATGGCTAGGAAGGGAGTAAACAGTGAGATGATAAAGTAGAATTTAAGAATGATACTTACTGCGCCGACCCCTTATAAAATTGAGATAAGGGTAGGCAGATGATGATATGTGAATTTCGATATATCGCTGCAAAATACCGTTTCAAAATTACCAGGAGCAATATTTAATACTAAAATAAAATATTTTTGATTAGATATATTGATATTTTATTATCGGGCTTGCTTCTACCTACAATTTTCAGACAGAGTTCTTTGTGTAGTTATGGTATCTATATTTGTGGTGATGGTTCATAGTAGACTTGGAAATTATAGCAGTGGTTTTGTAAATCAGTCACAGGTGTCATGTTATTATTTATAAATCGTATGAGTTATCACTTTGATTATGATTTTACCAACCCTAGTCCATAGTGTTCATGGTGGTTCAGCAACAAATTATCGTTGACTTTTAGTTTTTGTCAAATATTTTTTTATTTTCATAGCAATAAAAAAAAAAATACTAAGTTAATATGATATAATGTATGTTCAAGTTTCAATACATAACATAATTAATTATCTGCTATCATCAGTGTTTACATTTCATATGTCAACGACAAGGTCAAGTACATGTAATTGTAGTTTGAAGTAGTCTGAACCGAAATGTAAAACATAATATCTATTATCTAAATTTGGTTCCTAACCTACTATACTTTTTTAATTAATTTAAAAATTGAATACTGTAAATCCAGAAATCCAGACGTCTAGCGAATGCTAGGAATTATAGAAAATGTGGTTTAGTTAAACTTTAATTGCTTACTTGCATAACACTTGACTAATAAAATAAAATAAAAAGTAAATATACAATAAGCAACGATAAGCTATGCAAATAGTTTAATTTGTGTGTGTGTGTGTTTATGTCTTTGTAAAAAACTATATAATAGCTAAAACTTTATCCCATGGCTTTTTTCTTAGCTATGTTTCGTCGAAATTTTACAAACATTTTTCTGCGATTATTTTTTGGCTTAGTTTTTATTTACGTGTATTGTGAATACCTAATTTATTACGTTACACAAATTCAGGTTAGTTACAATAAAACCATTTTTCACAGCTCTAAGATAAATCAAAACTAAAACAGTAGATTATTATTTTAGTGTGGCTGGTCATCCTTAAGTCATGAGCCTACTGAAGGAGTTGAACCTGTGTATGCATTAGTTATTGCTGACACTCATCTGCTTGGATCTAGAGAAGGCCACTGGATTGATAAGTGGCGAAGAGAGTGGCAAATGCACAGAGCCTTCCAAACTGCTATAACTTTACATAAGCCTGATGTTGTTTTTGTTCTTGGTAATTATTATTATTTATTCATAATTAGGCCATAATTTAATCAATATTATTATAAAAACATTACTCATCACTCACATCCTAAACTAGGCAGAGCCTGTACTATGGTAACCAGACTGCTGATAAACATACTAAATATATTTCTAGGAATATACATTTTACAGATAAATTACACCCAGACATATAACAAATAATTATGCCCATCACAAAGCAATTGGTCCTGGGTTTGTTTTTTTTTTTAAAAAGACATCTCACGCATTAGTAATATATCCTGTGTCATGGGAGACTTTACAAACATACATGAAACAGACACAAAGAACACCCAGACTCAGAACAAAAATTTGGGGATCACACAAAGTGTCGTTCCATGTGGGAATCAAATCCATAACACTCAGCATAGTAGTAAGCGGGGTGGTGACCTCTTAAACGACAACGCTATACCTGCAGTTGAACCCAGCTGCCAAAGCAGTCAGTCAGCAGTCACTAACCACTAGACCGACAGGCCCGTTTAAAAAAAAATGGATCATCATCATCAACAGCTTTTAATAGTCCACTGCTGGACATAGGCCTGTCCTTAGATTGGAGGTTTTGGCCTACTATACTACGCTGGCCAGACGAGTTGGTATGGGGTTTGTGTCAAATTTTCCTTCTTTTTGAGGTGTCCTGCGCTGTTTTGCACCCTTAGTCTTACGACACCCATAGAATGAATTGGGGTAGTGACATTCCATATTCTTAATCCGTCACTACACGGAATAAAAAAATGGATATTAAATAGTAAATAGAAACTGATACCATGAACTACTCCTCAACAATTTATTTTTTGTTTTTGTTTTATAATTTAGTAATTTTTACTTTGTACACACATTTTGTTTTTTATGAAAATCCCTTCGGGTCCCCTGCTTCTCGGGGACTCAGGAGCCAGAAGTATGTGGTGATTCCATTATAAACCACCCCAACGGCAGGCCTTAGGTGCCCTACTCCGGAAGGACCTGGACCATGTTGTTTCAGCTCCTCCCCGAATTGACGCCATGCCTTATCAGGCCTTTTCCTAGGGGAAATACACTTGGGTCGACACAAATACGTCGCGGTTGAAGTGGGGACTTTAATCGCGACGTGGTGGTCCAATTGTCTTAATGCAACCAGGCCGCCATTCTATGCCCTACCGCAGCATTCAAACTGCTACCAGAGGTCCCCATTCTCTGGCGGCCTGCGGCCTCTACGCTCGGAATCGACCAGGACTTAGCGTTCAGACGCCCCAGCGCGGCAGTCTTCCAGCGTGTGCTGAACGGAGTCCAAGTCGGCTGCGCAGTGCTGCCATTGTGCCGTCGAATATGATTGAGGTACTCACCGAAGCAACCATGCAGAGTGAGTACCTGCGTTAGTCGATAGTCGGTGACGCGACCACCAACCCTACCTACCCAAGCTTCGAGGTTAGGTAGAACAGCACCGATTGGCGTACATTCCTCGCCTGTACCAGTAGCTCGCGCTGCTGCACCAGTGCCTGTCGGTGAGCGTTCCGCTGCATTTCGAGCTCATCCTGGTCTTTCCCGCTCTCACCACGGTGGATCGCGCTAATCTGGTCATAGAGCCTCGCGTACATATCCTCCAGGTTTTCAAAGGGCGGTAAACGTGCCAGGACCGTCGCCGCCTCCGACGAAAGAGTGCTGTATACTTGTACGAGCTTAGCTCGGCAGCGGGAGGAGGCCGATAGGCGGACCCCCTAGGTTAGGCAACAGCCTCTGTAGTGAGCTCGCCACCCCACGAACTCGGGGATTATCTCTCGGGCGGCTGTCCAGGGTGAAATAAAGGTATTTGATGTGTTGGCCAACCCCGACCTCTGTTCCCCCCACTCTAATAAGAGAGCGGGTGGGAACTGCACCTCTGCGTTCCTGTGGAACCACAAGGCTTCCTCCTTGTAACATGCAACCCTGATGTTTGGGATGACACAAGCCACCCCTATCTCGGCGAGCTCAAGGACCTCCTAGAAGCCATGCACCCCATGCAGCACTAGAGTATCATCTGCGTAGCAGACTACGCTTAATCCTGGGGGAAGGCCTCAGAACCTCATCATACGCGAAGTTCCACAGAAGGACCTAAGACCGACCCTGTGCCCCCCCCCCTCCCCTACTTGCGAGACATCACCGGTGATACACCACGGGAGGGAGTTAAAGGCGTTGTCTATGTCAAGACTGACAGCCAACGCCACTCCCCCCGACAGACAACCTCTTCCGACATGGAGCGGACACGTACGATCGCGTCGAGCGTCCCCCTGTCGGTAGCCAAACTGGTTGTCTGATAATTCCCGGCCCACTCGCGACAGGTGCTGGCTGATACGGGCGGCAATAGCTCTTTCAAAGAGTTGTGTCGCCTCGTCCAGCAGGTGCTCCTCGTGCAGATTCTGCAGCCCTGCCAGGTTTATGGATAAGCGAAGCGAATATGCTATCACGGAGGCAGCTGGTAAACAGCCCCTTCAGCCTATTACCTAGAACCGCCAAAGCGCAAACCCATGCTCGGGCCGAAATCCCATCAGACCCGGGGCGGTGTTGCGGGCGGCGAGTCGCTTCACGGCTCGGCCTAGCTCTTCCCCCGTCACGTCAAAGTCGTCAGACCACGTAATCGGTTCCGACGGTGACGAAGGACGTTAGGGTAGTACTCTGGTTGCTGGGGAAGAGGGTATCTACTATTCTGCCCAAAAACTGCGGATACAGGGTCTGTGTCAGCGGCGGGACCCACGGTCTCAGCTTGCCTAGAACAATTTTGTAAGCGTGCCCCCATGGGTCTCTGTCTATGAGCTCCTTCTACGACCGAGCCTTGGCTTCCGCGATCGCAAGGCTAATAGTCTTTGCGTAGCGCCGTACTCCCGCCTCACTTCAGCGATCTCCTCGGCCGTGGCTCGCCGTCGTCTCCGGGTTCTCTGAAACCGGCCTGACAAGTGGCATCCACGCGTCACAGATGTCAGTCATAATGCCACGAAACCAGGCAGCCTGCGCTTCTGGATCGGATGAGACCTGTTCTTCTTCTCTCTCTGACCAATCCGCGACGATGGCTACGGCGACGAGTATATTACGGTTTAACCGCTTGACTGCCCATAGTAGCGGAGGGCAGCTATTGCGGCAGTCGAACACGATTTGGCGGTGGTCCGACAAAGTGACCACCTCCTCCGCCAACCTCCATCCTGACACCTGGTCGATGACCGAGGGAGTCGCTCATGTCCTGCCACCGCACGCAGGTACTGACTGAACCCTGGTTCAGAATGCCCAAGGTCAGTTCCGCAGCCCACTCAATGAGTGTATTTCCTCTTATGTTGTCCAGGCGATCACCCCACTGTGTGGAGCGGGCGTTGAAATTGCCTAGGACAAGTACTGAACGGGACAGAAAAGTGCAAATGCAACTTCAACTAAGTCCGTCCAAGTACGCCTCGAATACGGGGACGCCGCAATTCGGAGATATGTAGCAGCCCACAAAGACCATGGGGCCCCACTCTACTGCTACAAATCCCAGCCCTCTTTAAAGAAGGGTGCAATGGAGGCCATTCTCCACCCCTGCCCAGTATATGGTGGTGGCGGTGCCGTCATCTTACCCAAACCCCGAGGTTGATCCGGGACGCAGTACGGTTCCGTCACCACCGCGTTCCGCCACCACCGCACTTTGTACACACCTAATATGTAGTTATTATTTTTAGGTGATTTATTTGACGAAGGCAAGTGGTGTTCTGAAAAGGAATTCAATCATTATGTACAGCGATACCATGAAATGTTTCATGTACCTGAAGACATATTAATGTATAACGTTGTTGGCAATCATGATATTGGATTCCATTATAGGTATGTTATAAATAGAAAATAACAGGCTAGACAGGATAAGAGGCCTAGGGGTTTTAAGAATCAAAACATGGTCATTGATATTATGGGCCTGGATAAAGAACTGGAACTTTTAGATATCAATACAGTGTTTGCTTGTAATATAAAACTTAGTTGTTTTTTAAGTCATACAGTTATTTGCATGATACCTAAGTCAAAAAAACAGTTTGTTTAAAAATTTTGTTTGTCTGTTTGTTCCGGCTAATCTTTGGGACGGCTGGATTGATTCTCATAAGATTTTAATGGTAGGTAGCTGACTATATAAAAAGTTACTTGGTTACTTTTATAGCCGAAAATCTTTAGGGGTTCGAGCAAAAAAAGTCGATAAGGTTAGGGATAAATCTTTGTTACAGCTAGTCACATTTGTGAGACTCTCCACCTTCCTTCCTGACATCACATATTTTGCATTTTTACATGTAGAAATTATTAAATTTAAACAGCAGTTCCGAATTAAGTTTTGTTTACATTTAAATAATTTTATAATAAAAATCAACATCAAATCACACAGCTGCATAATTAACAAAATGAAAAACGATGAATTTAAATATGTGTATGGTGTTGAAAATTTCACGTTTTACTACTTAGCTATATTAGAATCGTAGGATACCCCACTTGTCACACAATGTCACACTTCCTCAGCCCCTCCTCCCCTTAAATAAAGTGTGACGTAGTTTATAGATGGCCCCTTTTTATATTTCTTTTGTTTTTTTTTATAATTTCTATTACACTCACGTTTGCTGAGTATAATTTCTTTTTGCACTTTTGAATATACAATTCTTCTAAATGAGTGACTGTTATTTTCACTTGAAAGCCTAGATAGTGAACTTTTGCGTGTCAATAAAGGGATGTCTGTATTTCTAAATCACAAAGAGATTTTGTTTTCGCTTTAAAAGGGCTTAACATAACAAGCCTCTTTTGCCTCGATTTCGTATACTCAGGATTCAAAATTATTGGAACCAATCAGAGACAAACATCTACAGTTATTCTGTATGTGAGAACTCCATGGCGACGTTGTTGACGGTTGATGCTGAGCTGATGCTTATATCTACGGACTTCGGGTATGATTGTACACAACACGTTTTTTATGTGTTTTTTTAGTATTATTTTACCTGCAAATCATCATTCGTAAAACATCAACCGTTGGGCAGCGGCCCGCTAGGCATGATCACCTCGCCTGGTCGAAGGATCCTCCCTTTTCGTTGGAGGGACATAACACCCGTTCCTCCACAAGTCCGTGCGTCCGTGTATACGACCATTAAATATACATGGGGTACGGTACGGCACGAAAGGTGACTACTAACGAAATTAACATTAAATAGTTATTGTAATTTAATTACGTTTTAATTTAAATATCTAATAATTGCTATTTCATGACTTCACGTAAACTTTTTAAAATAAAAATAAACTCTGATTGTTCAAATTGTTTTCTTTTCCATTGGAAAGCTGTTTCCAAGGCTTTAAATATTTCTGCTTAAGATGACCATGAATTATTTTCTTCATTTTTCTATTGTAAATACGAAAACGATGAATCAAGTTGGGACCCCTCAGTGCATACATAGGTTAAAAGTACACCGCGCCACCATCCGGATAATTGCGAACCCGTACAATTGTGGTGCGGATAAGTTTGTGATGATGATGATTGAGTCTCTACTGTATATCATCACATCACATCACATCAACAGCCTTTAATAGTCCACTGGACATAGGCATCTCCTTAGAAAGGAGGTTTTGGCCTACTATACCACGCTGGCCAGACGGGTTGGCATAGGGATTGTATCAAGTTTTCCTTCTTTTTGCAGTGCTGGTGTCCTGCGTTGTTTTGCGCCCTTAGTCGCCTCTTACGACACCCACGGGATGAATCGGGGTAGTGACATTCCGTATTCTTAATCCGTCACTACACGGACAACGTATTTGTATATGATTTCTGTGAAATAGTTTAGTCATACATACATGTTTACTCTTTTAGGTCTAAAGCTTAAACACAGCATAGACAGGCAGGTTCCGCAGGAATTTTTAATATTTTATATAAAATATATTTCAAATCAAAATTTAATATAGTATGTTTAAAGGATCACACCTCATCTGGCAAAAAGGTTTGAGAGTAAGCTGAAGTCACCTCCAGTGCAATTGGTCAGCATTAAGGGGAACCACTTTATACTGATTAACTCCATGGCGTTGGAAGGCGATGGGTGTTCACTATGCTCTCGTGCTGTTGCAGAAATAGATAGAATTTCCAGTAAGCACTTTCCTATCATTATCATATTTGCAGAATTTAGTACCCTAAATTCTTACACGGCTGTATAATATCGATTCGAATATATTATTTCTGTAATTTGATTAAACGTGCTTTCATATATCTATGTATAACACTTTCACAGACATACTAAAATGTAGCAGTGGATCTAGTTTATGTAAAGGAAATACGAAACTGCAAAAATACAGCAGGCCGATAATAATGCAGGTAAGCTAAATGTAGATAGCTACATCTCACATATAGTTCAATAATGGTATCTGTCTCATAGAATGAGAGATTAGAACCTACAGTGATATTCTCTAAGGAAACAGCCTTGCGTACAGCTCTGCGACAGCGTTCAATTTCAAACTAACTTAACTTGAAATTCGATGCTATAGCAGCGCTGTACGCAAGGCTGTTTCCTTAGACTTAGAGAATAGTACTGCTAAAAATTTGTACAAACCTTTATTTTGAAATTATATATTCTTTTCTCAAATCGTAATAAATGCACGTGAACACGTGAATATTCAGCATTAAAATATTAACAGTCGTACACTTAGAATGTCAAAATGAAGGTTTATTATACACATTTTTCATTAGACCTATGTGCGGCAGGATTTGCATTGAATTATGTCAACATATTACAGCATTACCCTTTATACCGAGAGTCAGACAGTATGTGTACGGAACCTGACGCTGCTCCTCTTCCTGAGAGAAATAACATATTTGAGGAGCGCTGGGATTGTTTGTCAAAGGAATCAACAGAATACTTAGTAGAAAGTCTTCACCCACGAGCGGCGTTTGGCGGACACACACATCACAGCTGCGTCGTACGTCATAGTTTTGTGCCCACTTCAGATCACAAAATAGAATTTGTGGAGTACACTGTGCCTTCGTTTTCATGGAGAAATAGACTGGACCCTAAATATTATTTGGTAAATGTTACTCTTAAAATTATATTAGTTAAGTTAATATCAATTTCCATTTAAAATAACAATGGCACTTTGAGCTAATAAAGAACGCCTGTCAGTCCTCTTTCTTATACTTGCCCGCATTCTATAGCCGCTAAAAGAATTGGTTTGGGTGATGCCATACTAAATGTAAGAATAATATATATGTTTCGACTTTTTAGAACTTCCATAATCTAGCCCTTGCCTTGAACACTTGAAATATTTATAAATTTGTTAAAGGTTAAACAATCCCGTATTAAATACAAATATCTTCTTGTAACGTATTTACGGGTCGTTCTCTGTGCCAATGTAGTAGTAATTGTATATAAAATCAGTAATTAAATCAAACAGATTTTTATATTTATCTCTCATGTATTGTTGTATAATACCTACATATGGTAAAATGGTTTCTCTTTTCAGTTAACAATTACACCCGAGGAAGTGAAGGTATCAAAATGTGCGATGCCCACGGAGAGAACCATGAAACTCACGGCAATACTAATGACGCTGGGTTTACTGGTCTACTTGAGATACTACGGTTCCAGTTTGAATACCTCTAGTCAAAGCTATAAGTTTTTGTGAGTTATTTTTGTTATGAAAAGATTAGGAATTAAGACTTATAAGGTCTACTCATATAAGACCCGTTTTCTCGTTTTCCTTGTCTCGTTTTATTTCCTCATTAATAAGCATTGGTTATAGTGAATAATCAGTGAGAGGGAAGCACATATGGTGGTATAACGGCCTCATGGAAAACCGGTACTAAAAAATTCTTTCATTGCGTATCACTGATTTCTTGAGGTTACTCGAAGGCCTAAACTCTGAGGGGGGAGCTCACTCAAAGCGCGGCACCACATTTGGGTCGCAGTCTTCATGGGCGAAGGTAGTCACTTACTGTCAGGTGACAAGTCTACTCGTTTGCTTTAAAAAAAAACAAAAGTTGAATAGACATTTTTCCACCAATACTCGTTTATATTTTTAAATTAGATCTTTGGTTTCAGGTCAGGAAAGAAAGTATGAGTACTTACGTAAATGTAAAATACCGTCTCTTCTAACCAAGATAACTAAGTGCTTCAGTGATTGAATAGTCGAGCAGTAACGACCGTCTACATGATTTGCCAAAATCAATAAAATGTTGTACTTAATAAAATTATAGTCTACTTTGTACCTAAACCTTTATTACGTTTAAGTAAGGGATTATGTGACGGCGAATCGGAAAATTATAAGCACAGCCATAATCAGTGTCAGTTAATGATAAAATGCATGATTAATGACTTATTATGATTAAGTTTATTTGTAAACTAAGTAATAAATTCAATCACAGATACTAACGAATGGAAATGGAAGTAAAAAATTCAATCACAGATGGTGGAATCTAACCTGGGTGTCCGGGTGTGGATTACCTACTGGGCGCTCGACTATCGCAAAAAAATCACCATAGATTAGATAACCTTATGAGTTTTCTACATTATATTTTATAAATTCTTGAGACCTATAACAATAATCATGTGGGATTTGAAAATGTTAGAATACCCAAGTACAAATTTCGTTTTCGTGATGTGAAGAGCTGTTACGGACTACGTCCGATCCGAATCTCCGTGGAAATGCGGATCTAGAAGAATTCCGATCCGTGATTATGAATTTTATGAATTTCCGCTGGTTAGAGACGGATGTTCTAGTATATTATGGCGTTCCTCGAGGAACTGGTTTTTTGCTTATATTAATGATTGAATTTTTCTCACAGTTTTTCAAATAATTCTTTTTTTTTTATTATCAGTACAACAACTATCCAGTACAACTATCCATCGCAATTCTTAAAAAGCCCAGAATGCCTGTAGTTTTACACAAAATTCAATCAAAATTTTTTTACCTAAAATTTTAAAAGATTTTTACTTTTACTACACTTTCAGTATTTGTGGTGTAAAAAAAAGTTAGGACACTACTATGTCAAGTTCTTTTAAAAATTGACCCAACTAACCAAAATTCTAAAATGGTATAATACTCTAGGAAAAATAACCTCAAAAAAGTATGCAGACAATTTTTAAACAGTAACCAAATTCCATAAATTGGTAATAATCACTTTAACTGCACATAGTAAAAGTGATTACAAAAAGGTTTTATTTGTTGAAAAACGTTAAATTACTCAAAACAACAATTTTACATAAAATTTTATTAATCTATTAAATTACAGTAAATGTTTGCCATCGGCATTAATACAAGCACGACATCGCCTTAAAAATATCGTTTTATTTTTCTTGCATATCTTCTACCATGGATATGATCAAAAAAATCACTCGCCGCAGTGATTTTTTGCCAAAGCTCGTCCAATGTTGTAATGGGTTTTGAGTAGACCTTATCTTTGAGACAACCCCAATAGAAGTCCAGAGGGTTTAGATGGGGTGAACGAGGTGGTCATAAAATAGGACCAAGTCCTCGCCATCGCCTCGTCCTCGGATCCAACGCCTCGGATATTCTTGATTTAGGTATTATCGCACAGGAAGGGTATAGTGAGCTTGGCAAACATCATCTTGAAATCACATGTTTTGTAAATCACTTGTGCGCATGTCTTCCAATAATTCTAGCAAATGATTTTGTAAAAAGTTCAAGTAACTATTGCTATCTAAGTTTCCTCATAATTCAAAGGGCCAAATCCCTTTTCCGTTTAATGTCCATAGGTTAACCTTGAATTGCTCCCGAAGAAGAAAATATCAATAAAACACAAAATGTTTGTTTTTCATCCAAATTTATATGATCACCTTCAAAGTATGCTCCTTCAGAAACGATATACTTACGCCAACGAATAATCCAATCATCAAAACATTTTTTAAACGCTGTTTCCGGAATTGAGTTCAGTTCTCAGTTGTTGCTCGATGGTAATTGTTGAGTGTGTGGTCAAAAATTCGTTCACAATGATGGCCTTGTGCGAAGGCGCATTATCGTGGTGCAAAATCCATTAATTTTCTTTCCACAAATCTGGCCTTTTTTGTGGAATTTGCTCTCTTAGATGCCGCATACCGCTCAAATAATATTCTTTATTAACCGTTTGACCTTCCGGCAATAATTCCGAATGCACAACACCGCGATAGTCAAAGAAAACAGTCAACATGACTGACTTATGATCGACTTTGGCGTGGTTTTTAACACGCTTTTATTAGCTTCACCTGTATGTTTGTTTGTATGTAACCGACTCCTTTGAGCTCGATTTTGCCCTACTTTGAACGATCAGATTTGATTCAAACTTTGCACACCTGTCAAAGGTGCAATGACAAAGGACAATGCAATAATCAATAATAATACTTTAAAAAAATTTAACTAAAAAATGAAAAATAAATAATTCTTTAAAAAAACTAAAAAAACACGCTTTTATAGAAAATCCAACTAAAAAACAGAAAATAAACTTTAATAAATTTAGATTAAGAATAGTGTAAATTTGATTAAGTTTGATTAAGTACAGTGTAAAAAAAATGAACGTACATTACAGTAAAAAAGCGTGGGGTGCATCTGAAGTGCTTTTTATGATATTATCAAAGTGATGATTTTTCTACTCATCTGACAATAAATGTTTATAACTATTGACACTATGCACCCCACGCTTTTTTACTGTAATGTACATTCATTTTTTTTCACACTGTACTTAATCAAACTTAATCAAATTTACACTATTCTTAATCCAAATTTATTAAACTTTATTTTCTGTTTTTTAGTTGGATTTTCTATAAAAGCGTGTTTTTTTAGTTTTTTTAAAGTATTATTTATTTCGGTTTCGGTTCAGTTGGAAGGCGCCAATCCGAAGCTTGTTGACTAGTTTACATGTCAAACTCGTAAACCCACGTCTCGTCACCAGTAACAATGCGGTTCATGAATGTTGGGTCGGCATTGACTCGTTCTAGCATGTCCTCAGCGACTCTCACGCGATTGAGTTTTTGAAAAAAAATTAGGTCGTTTTGGGACTACCCGAGCGGTAACATGTTTCATACCCAAATGATTAGTTAAAATGGTACGGATCGACTTGTGACATACGGAAAGTTCAGCGGCTATCTCTCTCAAAGTTGAATGAGGATTTTCAGTCACTATTTCCTTCACTTTTGCGATGTTAACTTCAGTTGCAGACGTTGATGGCCTACCAGAGCGAGGCAAATCTTCCATCACATCTCGACCGCTTTTGAACGCTTTGTACCACTCATAAACACGTGTTTTTGATAAAGTCGATTCACCGCAAGCCTTCTGTAACATTTTCAGTGACTCCGAACATAAAATTCCATTGGCGATGCAAATTTAAGACAAACTCTTAGTTCGATGTTTTTGTCCATTATGAAATTCGCAATACACATTAGATATGATATAACTAAAAACAGCACTGTATTTAATATAAATAACAGATGGAACTCAAACTCAGCGCCAAAATGGAAAACAGTTGTGCCAATCTAACAACAACAAAAAAAAACAAATATTTGAATTTGGAACCATTAACAAATCATCCATTCCCGAAACTTTTTTGACTGAATGTAAGTTAATTAAATACGGAACGGTGCACAGAAAATAAAGGAGCAAAGCGTATTAAACTGAGGAAAAAAGAAACTTCTCTACCGCAGTGTCTGCCCTATTGTTATTCAACAAAGAACATCTATCTATCTCTCTAACGTATAAGCTCTCTCTATTTATCTATCTCTAATTTCTAGGCACATGTCCCGTTCGAATTCCAAGAATTTGCGACTATTTTGAGCGCACAGTAAAAGCGATTACTCTCAAAAACAAAAATGTATGAAATTTTGTTATTGTTTAAAAAATGTCTGCATACTTTTTGTGGCTATTTTGCCTAGAGATACGTTGGTTAAGGAGGCGTTGGCTCCTTGCGGATCAGACACAGGTGATCCCCGAAACATCCCTTCCCAGTGATCACCTGCGTCAATCGGTATGAGAGGGTCCCATGACGCCTCTCGAGCCAATCCTCCATAACGGGTCTTACCGCCGCGATGATGGCGTGCCCGGCGCTCGGTTGCTCGAGTCGTTCCCTCCACTCCCCTATGATGACCTGGCGGAGTTGGGATTTCCGGTCATCGATTTCTCGAATCTCGGGGCATCGACCCAACTCCCGCGCCTCCTTGCGCCACTGATACAGAGCCGCAAGGGCTCTCGCCTCCAGGTCCCACGGTGGAGTTCCGGCCACGAGACTCGCCGCCTCAAAGGAGATCGTGCGGTACCCCCTTTTCCTGGATCCCTCCTATTTCAGGCGCAGAGTGGTACACCGTATGGTTTAAGTCGGTTCGATTCCGACACACCACCCCGCCGCAAACTGTGGGGTGACGGCTCGAGGGGGTTTCTAGACGTAAAAAAAGGTATTTATTTATTACATTTCGTAATTGTAACCAAGGTGACCTATTTCAATTAAAAGAGATTAAAGGTATGCTGATATTTCCAAATAATTAAATTTTTAGAGTTAGCTTACCAAGAATTCTTTTCAATCCGCAATATGTAGCATAATACTAGTGTTCACTTTATTAAACTTCATTTAAACGAGCTTTATTTTTTGACTTACCATATTAACGTCTTGGAAAGTGAACTTGCTTTACCGCCTCTTTTATTAAGAAGACGATACCTCGCATATAAATACTGCTTAAAAAGTCAATCACTTGCTCATAATGTAACTATAGAACAGATATCTAAATTGAACTCTTTATGTCTTTGTCGGTACTGGCAAAACAAAAAAAAACCCTTACTAGCTTCAGCATATAATGAAACCAAACTCTGTGAAGTTCACTGTACAGCACCTTTACCTAGATTTAAACTAAATAAGTGGACAACATACATAAATACAAGAGATTTTATTCATGCAAATTTAGATTGTATGACTAAAAGTAAACATGAATATGAAGGATATTCTATTAAATGGAAAGTATGTAACGAGATTAATTTAAAATACCCGGGATGGCATATGATATATACAGATGGCTCTAAGAAAGACAACTCCCTTGGAGCAGCCTTTTATGTTGCCACTGCAAAACATAGTGTATGTTATAATA